GGCGCATCATGGCGCGCCATTGCTGAGTCAGCTTGGTAGAGTTGAGCCGCGTGTTGTTCTCCTCCTTGGCCAGCTTCTCCTGCACGGGCGAGCAAGCGACAAAACACTCGGAGCATTCGGTCGGCCGTTAAATGCATTTAAACGGGACATTTTTATTCAACTGCAGAATCTGAGTTTCTTAACAAGGTCCACAATAATTTAGGGCATAGTCCACTTAGGGAACAGTGCACATTCGACTACCAGTTTGGTCACATTACTAGCATGAATCTTTATTGACATTTGCTTTCAAATATTAATTTAAAGCCTTGATAAGTCTCAAATGGAAGGTTTAGCCAATTTCTTTGTACAGCCACTGGACGAGAAAGTGGCCAGAAAATGGATTATTAAATCTAATATAGAGCTGTGTTATCTCCTTGTATGCGTGGGTTTTCTCTGGATAATACAGTTTCCTCCCGCGTGTCAAGCACTGGTTAGTGATACTCATTAATGACCAACGTCCTTTACTGGCTAAATCATCTCAGGGGGCTCCATGCAGACAAACACGCTTCTGCACACCTTAAGGTACTGCATTAGCATGTCCTCCTTTTTCCGACGGGAATCTTCCTCCGCCAGAAGCTTCTGTTGAGCTTGCAGCAGCTGCTCCTCCTCCGTCAAAAACTTTTTCCGCTTAGCCGGCATCTGTTCAAGATTCGCACAAGACACGTGGAAGTCGCGTAAACGTGCAGCGCTTGCGAAAGACAGTGACGCACGCGATGCAGGAGCGATGCGTCTGTCACACGCTCAAGTGACTTCACCTAGACACAGACTCTCGCGCACATTATCCCTCCTATAAGCCTCCGCGGGAAAGACAAAAACTCCATGAGGGTCCACATCATTGTAGAACAGAGAAAGACAGGCTTTTTGGTGGCAGCATGCATCACGAATGCAATGTCAAATATGACATTCAGAAGCACACAATGTCACGTAAAGTCGGAAGACTTAAAAAAAGAATTATCCTATTATATTTCAACTGTGCTGTTTGCATTATACCATGAGACAAATACATTTCCATTTGAACCTCTCACAGTGAACAGGGCACCACCATCTTGTATCAGAAGAGCCCTGAGAGTTGATGTAAGTTAAAATATATTTTTGGAGTAAATTCAGTGGGCATCTTGATCAACACTGAGCACACCTTGTATTTGTATCAAGGCTGAGGCCATCTGTTTGAGAGCCCAGCTATGAAAACATATTGATCAGAAACATGGACACTGGCGAGAAAAATGTAATAAAATATGAACAGTGCATGCTTCGGTGGACTTGCACAGACCCATAATAGGAACACACGATTCGACACATACAGTACTACTATTAAACAGCGGGCTTGAGCAGAACATAACGCAAGTAGGGATGATGGTAGATATATGGAAATGGTGACAAAATAGCAGGCAAAAGGGAGAACACACCACCACCATGGATTGGTCACCCTCTTAGTCACTACCACCAACGATAACGATGTTAACCTCGTGGCAACTGAAACACACCAATCGCCCATTACCTTGGAGTCTTTGGATGTGTGACCGAGCAGTTGCGGGTAGCGCGGGTAATGCCCGGGTAACGCTGGTGAAGAGAGGAATTAGTACAGGGGGTTAACACGTGTAAGCGGCAATGCAGGTAAATAGGTTAACAAGAGTAACCATGCAACTCAAGGTGAAATGTAAAGAGGTTGATAATAGTTGGAGGTTATAGGGGTAACGAGGGCACGCCGGTGAGTGGGCTAACGCGGGTAGGGGGCCGAGGCGACACGGGGTAAGGGGGTAACGTTGGTAGAGGAGGTCGCGCGGGTAACGCAAGCGAGGATGTTAACGCGGGGGTAACGAGAGTAACGCAGGTTAACATGGGTAACGAGAGTAACGCAGGTTAACAGGGGTAACGAGAGTAACGCAGGTTACATGGGGTAACGAGAGTAACGCAGGTTAACATGGGGTAACGAGGGTAACGCAGGTTACATGGGGTAACGAGAGTAACGCAGGTTAACATGGGGTAACGAGGGTAACGCAGGTTACATGGGGTAACGAGGGTAACGTAAGTTACCAGGGGTAACGAGAGTAACGTAGGTTACCAGGGGTAACGAGGGTAACGTAGGTTACCAGGGGTAACGAGAGTAACGTAGATTACCAGGGGCAACGAGAGTAACAGGAGTAACGCGAGTAACGCAGGTTACCAGGGGTAACGAGGGTAACACAGGTTACCAGGGGTAACGAGAGTAACGTAATCACCAGGGGTAACGAGAGTAACAGGAGTAACGTGAGTAACGCAGGTTACCAGGGGTAACTAGGGTAACGCAGGTTACCAGGGGTAACGAGGGTAACACAGGTTACCAGGGGTAACGAGGGTAACGCAGGTTACCAGGGGTAACGAGAGTAACGTAGATTACCAGGGGTAACGAGAGTAACAGGAGTAACGCGAGTAACGCGGGTTACCAGGGGTAACTAGGGTAACGCAGGTTACCAGGGGTAACGCGAGTAACGCAGGTTGCCAGGGGTAACGAGGGTAACGCGGGTTACCAGGGGTAACGAGGGTAACGAGGCCTCACCTTTGTATCCGCCTGCGGCCGCCTGGCGCTCAGGGCGTCCTGCGTCTCCTAGCAACGCGAACTCTCGCGAGATCTCAGCGATCGCGTGGGGAGGGGTCGGAGGGAGCCCCGCCCCTCCCCACGCAATCCCTGAGAGGGGGGCGGGGCCAGGGTGGCGGGGAGGGGTAATCGGAAATCAAATCGTTGTCGAGCGCCTCAACGTGAACGTGGCAACAAGGGGTCAACATCCTCTTGGTTCTTTCGGTAAAGTCACGTCTTTCCGACAGACCTGAGGACGGCTGCTTGCGTTGTGGCCAAAACGTCGGAAGAATTATTTTATTATGTTTTATTTTTATTATTTTATTATATCCCTTCTACGTGACTTTACCGAAAGAACCAAGAAGATGAATCCCTGCAGTCACGAAAGCTTTAATTCGAAATTTAAGGGGTCAACACTCACCCTCAAGACAACTGGGGTTCATCTGAACGCAGCTTCACCCTCTTGGCATCTCCGTTGCCTTCCCAGCCGCTATCTCCCAATAAGGCCAACGAGAGGGCATTGCCTCTCTCCCATGTGCAGATCATCGGCCACGGTGGCGAGATGCGATAAGCATCGCCAGAAACCCAGGTGCACGTGGGTCCGACCCCAATTCCCGACCCTGGCGCCTGTATATATTTGTAAGTGTGCACGTCTCTCTCCCAGTTGTGGCCTGGCTTTTCCCCTCCACATCTAGAGACGTGCCTGCAGACTGTTTGGCTGCTCTGCATTTCCACGCCACAAGTCACTTTGTTGAGCTATCATTTGTGGCCAGGTTGCTACTGAAAAAGAGCTATTTTATATGTTTCTCAGTGGGCCTTAACTGGTAAAATAAAACATTGTTTTAGTTGCTGTCAAACCTACTCCCTGTCCTTTGCCAATATCAGGAGTAAGACCACGAGACCATCAAATATAAAACCGTAACCCATTCACGACTTTCATGATCGCTTTGGAACACTGACAGCATTTCTGAAACTTGGTAGCTTTGATCGTGTCATCGTTTCAGATACGTTTATTCCTGAATATAGCAAAAGTGCGTTTTATTGATTATAAACCTCACTGCGTATTGTATAATCCCATATTTTGGGTGAATTACCCTTGTCTTATGCAGCCGCGTGGTGTCAAATATATTCTGTCTCAAGCGTCGAAAAGCTGCCCGATGGCCAGTGGCCCATACCGCATGCATTTTTAATGAGTGGTTTGTAATTGCAGCTGAGCGCCTGTAACTCTTACTCTGAAGACCCATGCACTAATTGTAAAAGCCTCCGTGTCGCCTGCTACGGCTGCTAAAACGCAGACGAGGTAGAACAATGACAACAGTACAATCAATATATTTGGGGTATCTAGACCTGTGAATTATTTGCCGGTCTAGATTCTATGCATTGTCTAGATTCAAGGATTTATGATTATTTTTTATATCCTGTTTTGCTAAGTACGGTGGGGTTAAACCTTTCAGGCATGGCAGCTTTTCAATTACGCGGTGTTGGCAAGGCATGTTTCATGTTGTGTATTCGTGTGCTTTGTGTTGGCAAGGCATTTTTCATGTTGTGTATTCGTGTGGTTTGTGTTGGCAAGGCATGTATTTCATGTTGTGTATTCGTGTGCTTTGTGTTGGCAAGGCATGTGTTTCATGTTGTGTATTCGTGTGGTTTGTGTTGGCAAGGCATGTGTTTCATGTTGTATATTCGTGTGGTTTGTGTTGGCAAGGCATGTATTTATGTTGTGTATTCGTGTGGTTTGTGTTGGCAAGGCATGTGTTTCATGTTGTGTATTCGTGTGGTTTGTGTTGTGGATTGCTAAGTTTGCAATGAAAAAAAATCTAGATAAGTTCAGCTCCGGTGTTCAGTTTTCTCTAAACTTATGAAATAAACAATTGACATGAGTCCGTCTCTTTATTTATACACTGTGCCTATCCTTGTTAAAATTTTCTTCAAGAAACAACGACAGAAACATCGTGAAAATTGAGTTTCCGTAGGCCCTAGGCACAGTGCCGACTGTGCCTAATTGGACAATAAGGCCCTCTTGCCAACTCCGCGAATACAATAGAGAGATCCTTGAGTCGAATCCCACGCCTCGCGAAAGCCACAATCCCAAAGCACCTCGCTTTTAAAAATCACCCTCCCCCGGGGTCGGAGATTTAAAAAAGAAAATCTGCCCCAAAAAAAATTTCTCCCCAAAAAAATTCCCTCTAAAAAATTTCCTTCCCAAAAAATTTCCCTCTAAAAAATTCCCCACCCCCCCCCCAAAAAAAAACAATATCCACCTCCTGTTCGTGGGACTTCACTTCTAGGAAGGAGCGTGACGACATATGGGAAGCTTCGTGAGCATGCAAAACATTCTCAACGCACGGGGGCGGTAAGGATGAACGCATTGAGTCCCAGTTCACAGCTGTGATTTGCTGCATTTTTCCTCTCGGTTTCTCAGTTGTCCTCCACACGAAGTTGCGGTGCCAGTTCTTCAGAACTGAAAACTAATTTCTTTAGAACAGTTTCTGTGTGTGTGTTTAGTTTGTTGTCCTTCCCCCCGGCACCTCCCGATTAGCACGATTGGTTACGCACGGTGCGAACGAGGTTCAGCGTCCACGCGCACTTCACTCTCCAAACTTTGCTGAAAGCCATGTCGAGCCTTGCGAACACGGCGCTCTGCAGCAACACCCCGTGGCTGCCGCTGCTTCTGCTGCTGTTGCCTGCAATTGCTCCAGGTGAGTGAGGACCGCGTTCGCACACGGGGAGATGAACACCAGCCCGGGGAGAGAGGTAGAGTCTGCGTTCAACTCTAGAGACTTCCCCAGGGGCTACCAACCACCACAATCCTGTCCGGGCGCTCCTTGCCCTGGAAATACTTTTATGCAAGAGGTGGCCATAGCGCGAGGCTTATTTGCTTACAAGAATCACGTAGAAGGGAAGTAATAAAATAATAAAAATAAAACATAATAAAATACGTGACTTTACCGAAAGAACCAAGAAGATGAATCCCTGCAGTCACGAAAGCTTTAAATCGAAATTTGCTTACAAGAAGTTTGCATTGATGAGTAATTTTATTTCTCGATTATTGTTTTTTTTTATTTCTTCACAAGTTGTACGCATTCTTAGTAAGCTCGCTAATTAGTACATTGCTACGTCGGTGTTGTTTTAATTAAACTTGTTTCGTCGTGAAGAAGTGAAGTTGATTTTGTTTGATTTGTTGCTTTGCTTTTTGAATGCCTCTCGCCCCCTGTTGTCTCCACAATCCTCCAATGCGTCCGAGAATCTCGCTGACATCCCCCTACCTCATCCTCCTCCTCATCCTCCTCTAGCCGTTGACTACACAGTTGATCATCATCGATTCATTATCCGGCGGTTTCCAACATTATCTGGCGGTCACGGGCCGATCCGTCAAAAGCAGCAGAAACAAAGGCTCTTAAATCAGTCCGGCGATCGGCACGCACACAACACATGTGTTCGTGCCGATAAATAAAGTAGCTACGCTTTGCCGTTTGAATGCCTCTCGCCCCCCTTGTCCTCAAAACCCTCTAATCGAGTGGATCTTACCCTGGGGTACGAGATGCCCTTTGTGGGGGTGCGAGACATGGGCAGATTTTTTTGTAGAAGGTAAATCATCTAAACACAAATAAAAATACGGGCACGCAAGTTACAACTTACTTTGTTTCATCAAACCTCATGTATTTACCGTATAAACATTATTTAAAAACATGTTTGCGATTGAGAACCAAATGGGTGCAAGGCTGCAGTCAAGGTTAAGAACGACTGCTCGAATGCGTCAGAGACTTTAGGGCCTGCCTCACTTTCTCTCCCTTTCATCCTCCTCAGCCGAGGGACCACACACGTCCTGCGAAACACGTTCGCTCATCCCAAAGACAAATTCGCTGCCCGTGTCGGGGTCACGATGCCCCCCCCCCCCCCCCCATCGGCCGAGACTCGATCCGCCAAAACGGGGTGGCTTCGCGTGGCTTTATTGCAAGGTCCCGCGGGGCCAATTTCCGGCCTCTGGTGGCCTCCAGTGCGGCCCCTCACGTGCCCCCCCCCCCTCCATGATAATTCACAAACAGTGAAAACAATCCCCCGCATCATAATCATCACCATCGTCGTCTTCGTGGTGCTGTCACAAACCCAACAATGGTTTCAAATGTGTGGCGGCCTCTGATATCTTATCGGTCGTAGGTCAACCGAGTCGCCTTGGAAAAAATTATTCGATTCTTAGCTTCTCCCATCGTGCTGGGATTTTGTAGGATGCACGTTGAGATGTATAAGGGGCACGGGGTGACCACTACGGTCTGGACTGGTATGTAACAAGGTAGGGGGCACTGGGAAGGGTTGACAGCTTTGTGAATCTCACCCAGGGGTCGGCCAACGTCGCGGCTCTGGAGCTGCATGCTGCTTTTTGGCGTCCCTCTTGCGGATAGCCGTTACACACAAAAAAACGTGAATCTTAAACATCATTAAACGTAAAGATGATGTATTAAATGTGGCATGGAATAGGTGTCTTGGTGACGACTAAATGTACAACAGTCGAACTGTATTGTTGAAGAATAACTAAAGGGGGGAAATAACCTAAATAAACGCAGTTTTATTCTATCACATATTTTGTTCAAGTCAGATTGTGTGTTGTGTTGTCGTCTGCCGTATACCCGCTGCTGTGTTTGTGTACAAGTAGCTGGGCGTGTGGTACGGCTGTCCGAACTTGTTTGGTCAAAGACGAAAACAAACTACAATGGCTCCTACTCTTCTTCTTTGAAATGCTGCCCAACCACGTGATGGACCCACCTCTCCAATGCTGTTCTAGATTTGAAGCTTTCGTGACTGCAAGGATTAATACTCTTAGTTTTTTCCAGTAAAGTCACGTAGGTAAAAATAAATAATAAAATAAAAATTATTGAAATTAAATAATAAATCACGACGTTTCGGAGACAACACAAGTCTCCGTCATCAGGTGGGACCGTCACAGCTAGATTTACTGTATCAAGCGAGGCAAAAATTATTACCTTGTTATCGCGGCATCTCTTGAGGAAGGCCAGCGTCTCGAGAAGCTGACTTCTTGTCTCGTTGTCTGTTAAAAACTCTAACAGATAGGTGCAATTCCTCCCCGTAGATGGTATTATGCTGCCCAACCACGTGATGGAACCCAACTCCCCCATGCTGCCAAATCAGCTGATGGAACCCAACTCCCCCATGCTGCCTAACCAGCTGATGGAACCCAACTCCCCAATGCTGCCCAACCATCTGATGGAACCCAACTCCCCCATGCTGCCCAACCATCTGATGGAACCCAACTCCCCCATGCTGCCCAACCATCTGATGGAACCCAACTCCCCCATGCTGCCCAACCACGTGATGGAACCCAACTGCCCCATGCTGCCCAACCATCTGATGGAACCCAACTCCCCCATGCTGCCCAACCACGTGATGGAACCCAACTCCCCCATGCTGCCCAACCATCTGATGGAACCCAACTCCCCCATGCTGCCCAACCATCTGATGGAACCCAACTCCCCCATGCTGCCCAACCATCTGATGGAACCCAACTCCCCCATGCTGCCCAACCATCTGATGGAACCCAACTCCCCCATGCTGCCCAACCACGTGATGGAACCCAACTCCCCCATGCTGCCCAACCATCTGATGGAACCCAACTCCCCCATGCTGCCCAACCACGTGATGGAACCCAACTCCCCCATGCTGCCCAACCATCTGATGGAACCCAACTCCCCCATGCTGCCCAACCACGTGATGGAACCCAACTCCCCCATGCTGCCCAACCATCTGATGGAACCCAACTGCCCCATGCTGCCCAACCACGTGATGGAACCCAACTCCCCCATGCTGCCCAACCACGTGAGGGAACCCAACTCCCCATGCTGCCCAACCACGTGATGGAACCCAACTCCCCCATGCTGCCCAACCATCTGATGGAACCCAACTCCCCCATGCTGCCCAACCACGTGATGGAACCCAACTCCCCCATGCTGCCCAACCATCTGATGGAACCCAACTGCCCCATGCTGCCCAACCACGTGATGGAACCCAACTCCCCCATGCTGCCCAACCACGTGAGGGAACCCAACTCCCCATGCTGCCCAACCACGTGATGGAACCCAACTCCCCCATGCTGCCCAACCATCTGATGGAACCCAACTCCCTCATGCTGCCCAACCATCTGATGGAACCCAACTCCCCCATCTTGCCCAACCACGTGATGGAACCCAACTCCCCCATGCTGCCCAACCAGCTGATGGAACCCAACTTCCCCATGCTGCCCAACCACGTGATGGAACCCAACTCCCCCATCCTGCCCAACCACGTGATGGAACCCAACTCCCCCATGCTGCCCAACCAGCTGATGGAACCCAACTTCCCCATGCTGCCCAACCACGTGATGGAACCCAACTCCCCCATCTTGCCCAACCACGTGATGGAACCCAACTCCCCCATGCTGCCCAACCAGCTGATGGAACCCAACTTCCCCATGCTGCCCAACCACGTGATGGAACCCAACTCCCCCATCCTGCCCAACCATCTGATGGAACCCAACTCCCCCATGCTGCCAAATCAGCTGATGGGACCCAACTCTCCAATGCTGCCCAACCAGCTGATGGAACCCAACTCCCCCATGCTGCCAAATCAGCTGATGGGACCCAACTCTCCAATGCTGCCCAACCATCTGATGGAACCCAACTCCCCCATGCTGCCCAACCACGTGATGGAACCCAACTCCCCATGCTGCCCAACCATCTGATTGACCCAACTCTCCCATGCTGCCCAACCAGCTGATGGAACCCAACTCCCCCATGCTGCCCAACCACGTGATGGAACCCAACTCCTCATGCTGCCCAACCATCTGATGGACCCAACTCCCCCATGCTGCCCAACCATCTGATGGACCCAACTCCCCATGCTGCCCAACCATCTGATGGACCCAACTCCCCCATGCTGCCCAACCACGTGATGGAACCCAACTCCCCCATGCTGCCAAATCAGCTGATGGAACCCAATTCACCCATTCTGCCCAACCATCTGATGGGATTGCTAACTCGCTCCAAAGTCCCCTCTGCCGTCGCTTCTCGTGCAAGCGGCCACTGCTGCGATACCTCTCCTCACTCAGAGAGACCTCCGCGTGTTCTTGCCGCCCCGTCACCAAACGTCAAGAGGCCTGACAGTTTATTTAACAAAGGAGAAACACGTGTTTTTTGTTGTTGTTCCCTTCGCTTGATACCAACGGAAAACGTGTGCGGTGTTTTGTTTCACAGCGTTTGCTCAAGTTCCCAGCAGTAAGTATGCATGCGCCTTGGACATATGGTTCGGCGAACAAGAAGTTTTCAAGGCAACGGTAAGCATCGATCGATGTTTATTTCACGTGTCAGTATCGTCCCTCAATAAAGTGGGCATCGGTGCACATCACAACGGAACGGGAGCGGTACGGGGCTGGAGGGGGGACCAGAGCGACAGGGATGATAGCAGAGCGCCGCCACGAACCTCGGCCACTAACACCGACTGAGCACCACTTCACTGTCTCATGCGATGAACAGCACGAGACGGTGTGACAAAAATAAGAACAGGTTTTGCCCTTTTCTGGCAATAAAACAGGAGTTGTGTTGAGATTTTCAAACACCAAATAGAAACCTTTTGCAAGGAACCAAGTTCGTACTAAGCACACGCAGTGCTTGTGGTGAACATGTAAACAAACACGCTCTGATTATAATTATAATATTTATATAATTATAATCTGTGCATTGTCTTTGAACAGAGACAGCAGCAGCCTTCTTTATGGCCTCGTCTCACCACCAGTGGCACACCAGATAACATCAAATGGCAATGCATGTAACATTATAGTTACATTATTGTTTGAGACAATGAATATATTATCAGATCATGTTTTGTTTGCATGCTCACCACGAGTGCAGAGAGCAAGTAAGATATCTCGATCAACTCTCCACAACGGAGAACTTTACATTTAAAATTAAATGTGATCTCAGTAGTGCACTCTCAAAATGCACAAATGCGCATCTGTAAAAGTAGTAAACTGTGTGTCTGTATGTCTCCTTCTTTCAGATTGGCATCCCTGTGAATCCATCAATCCTTTGTCGTGGAAGTCAAATCACACAAATTATCAAGGATGTTCAGATGACATGCAACCCTGGTGCTGCACATGGAAACTCACTTATTAAAATGGAACAAAATCCAGAGAGCCTGGACTATTTAAAATATAAATTGGATTGTGGCAAACGATTAGAAGATTCTGAACTGAATTATGCAGATATGTTTGGTAAGTCAATTTAAATGGCATTTTAAGTTCACAAGATTGTCGCTTGTCACTGGCACCTTTTATCATTGCCATCAAATCACAACCCATCACGTTAAAAGTACAGACCTTTAAAAGGGGTGGATTCTATGCATTATTTTACGTATGTATATGTATATTGAACTTCCTTCGCACCGTACGTAGACAACCGAGCTAATCGGAGGTGCGGGGGAAGGACAACAAACTAAACACAAAAAGCAGTTCTCAAGAAAATATTTTTTATTTAGATTTAAAGTGCATAGCTCCAGTGGCTTCGTAATATCGGAAAGAAGAGCGTTCCAGACGGCCGCAGAAGTGCATCTGAAAGTGCGCGATTCAATAGTCATCTTTGTTTGATGTTTAGCCAAAAGCTGCTGCAAGGATGACCTGAGTTTGCGTGATGGTTAATGAGACCAGCAAGGTATTGCGGTTCATTCATGGCAAGCACTTTGTGTGTAATGAGTGTAACCTTAAAATGTTATTCGTTCGGCAATCGGAAACCAATGCAGCCCTCGGTGAGCACATGGTCGGATATTGCAGTAACTGTCACGACGCGTACAATTGCAGTGGTGGCTGTACAAGCAGAACTACAAATGTAGCAGATAAACCTCGTTTCAGCACCTCACCAGCACTGATGCAAGTGATTACACCGTGTGTATGAAGTGTAGTTTAGTTGAAGGTTTCGGCCCAGTCAAAAGCTTCACGGTGGTGAGATGTTAACTGCCTCGCCTGGTATGCAGGAGGTCGTTTGTTCGATTCCGACCCTGATGCCTGTTTATTTGGAGTTTGCGTGTTCTCACCGCGGTCGCGTGGATTTTTCTCCGAGTCCTCCGGGTTTTCCTTCCACATTTAGAAACAATCTTTCAGAGTATTTAGCTGATATACATTTTCAAGCGATAAGCCACTTCGTTGAGCTATCATTTATGGCCAGGTCGCTCATGAAAAATAGCTGTGGAGCTCAGTGAGCCTTACCACTGCATTGGCAGTGGTGCACAAGCAAAACTCAACACATTCATCAATGACACCGTGGCCTTAACTAAAAGGAAAACATAGATAACGGCGATGTTTCAAGAAATGTACCATGAGGAAGGGCCATTGCTTGAAACAGTGACTATTCTACGTTTTCCTTTTAAGGCCACACAGTGGCATTGGCGAATGTGTTGCGGGTTTGTTGTTGTTGTGAAATGTAAGGATGTTCTGCAGATTAAAAAAATTGCAACTTAATATGGATTGGATACAATATGCGGGGTAGTGACACACCATTAATTCTAGATTTTAAGCTTTCGTGACTGCAAGGATTCATACTCTTAGGTTTTTTCGGCAAAGTCACGTAGGTAAAAAATAAAATTAAAAATGAATAAAAGTAATAATATATATTTTATTATTTATTTCTATTATTACTTTTATTAATTTTATTTTTTACCTACGTGACTTTACCGAAAAAACCTCAGAGTATGACACACCATCAGCCTAGCGAAGGTCTAACTGAGCCCTTCAATCATTATGTCTGCTGCATGGTACAAATTATTAAGAAAAAATATTATATTTTCTTACCAGGTAAGGTCCACTGAGTTACACAGCTATTTTCCATGAGCGACCTGGCCACAAATGAGAGCTGAACTAAGTGGATTAATCACGTGGACATTCTATAGCAGCCAAATTCTCTAAACGCACGTTTCTAAATGTGGAAGGAAAAACAGGAGGACTCGGAGAAAAATCCACGTGCTCACGGAGAGAGAGACATGCAAGCTCCAAATATACAGCAGGCATCAGGGTCGAGATTGAACCCACGACCTCCTGTATAGCAGGGGAGGTAGTTAACATCACGTCACCTTACCGCCCTTAACCAGGGTGGGAATCATGCATGCCGCAGCCTTCGTTGGGCAACTGACGAGTCGAGTTGGGCTCGTCTCGCTGGGACCTCTAACGTGGCAAGTTCTGCTCGATTTGGTACTGGTCATCGGGTGCTGCAGTGCAAACATGTACTGCTATAAAAAAAACAATTGAAGGAACTTGTCAAAAATAATTTGAAGGCAAAAAAACACGGAAGTTGCATTCAATGTGGTACTTTGCAATTTTTTTAAAATCTCCAGTGCTCTCCACAACACCGCTGATGAGTAATCCACGCGATGTGCACTGTGACTACCACTTGCACGTGTGCCACGGTGAAGAAGAAATGTCGTGGGATTTTTACGTGAGTACCGAACTGTATGGATGGCAATACATTTTCAATCAATGCTTCTCAATATCAAATGCCTCTCATCCTTCTTCAATCCACAACCACACCAAGACAAGAGTCTAAACTATTACAACTGCAGCACTCGTTTTTTCAAGCTGATCAAAAAAACGACACCGTTTAATCGTTCCTCCGTGGGCCATATGAGCGGTAGAAAGCTGTAATTGAATTTGAGACGGGAGAAGCGACGATTAAGCTGACAAGTGGCTGCTGGGTTTGTGAAAATATCAGTGGATTAGTTCTCCCAATTCATCCAAAACCCGGAGAAGGCAACATTCCCTCCACTCGGTTGAATTCCCCACAGCAGAATAAGCTGCGATGTCTGCTGCACGAGAAAAGCGGACATTGCTTGGAAATCCATGTTCTGCATTTCTGCATGAAAAATCCATGTTCTGCATTTCTGCATGAAAAATCCATGTTCTGCATTTCTGCATGCAAAGGCACGGAAGAACACCCACACAATTCGGCATGGGGGGAGGGGAGGTGAGGTCATTCCACACGATTCGCGGTGCAACCCCACACACCAAGACCATCTAAGATAAATCTGTTTCCTGCTTTGAGCTCGTAAAATATGGTCTGCTCCGGCAGAAATGCGCGGACAGATTGTTCCCCGCTTGAACCCCATTGACGCAGCTTCTGCATTGTGAATGCAGCTGTACAGACACATGCACAGTCGCAGTATAACTACACAGGGCGCTTTGGTGGCTTCGCTGCACCGCCACTTCTGCTTTAGGACTGGGTGCCATCCGTGGAGCGAAGAGTAAATTATTATCATCATGAAATGGGCAAATATATGCCCCTGTGGAAGTTCCCACAGTCTGAACGTTTTATAGTGGAATCCATGAATTCAAGGCCTCTGTTAACATGGAATGTGTTTTTGTATTTTGGCCAGAACTTACATTTAGGGGAGAACCCCTACAATGGCATTACGCAGCCTGGCAGTTAATGGCAGCCCCGGGGGATCTATGTAAGAAGTGGCTGGTGGGTGTTTACCCCACTGTGACCCCAACCGGGAGGCAGGGCTCTGTAATTAGACAATCGATATCAGTGTACAAATTGCGACCTCAAATTGGTGCCGCTATGCTCATCACTGAATTTTTGCACCTTTGCATTTCACTTCACAAACGGAGTCTTTGACTGGAATTCATGAATGTTTGTGTTGGATGCTGAGTGTGTGGACAAGCATTATAGTCCAGGCTGTTTAAAAACATTTACGTTTCATTGTTGCAGTGCTACAGCAGCATACTGTGTGATCTCAGTCGTGCTCACTCAAAAGGGTTCTGCACCTCCGATTAGCACGGTTGGCTATGTACGGTGCGAAAGAAGTTCAGTATACATGCATACTTGTTCATGGGTTGTGCACACTTGCTTTGATTTTGCTATTTAAGTTAAATATAAAAGTTAAATATAAAAGTTAAATATAATTGTAATCTATTCATTTGTGTTCCCGAAATGTTAATTTTAATCAGGAAAATTACTACTCAATGTTTACTTTGTCGCGCAGTGTTTATTTATTATTAATCTTACCCCAATTGATTTTGTTTTATTATCAATGCATGAGGTTATCCGCATTCACAAAGTGCCAACGCTTTTTCATCATTGCACAATTGTGAGTAACGTTCCTAACATTTTATTTTGCAGGTTGCATTGTCACGTTTGAAACTACAATTATTGTGCAATGTTATGTTACAACCATCCGTGACCAGATATTGTGACAATGAAGAAAATCCAACCAAGCTAAACATGACTTACAAGAATCCAGATATGTATATTTGCGGATGGAATTTGGTGTGCCCAACAGGTATGGTATTAAAGCACATCTCCACCATTCCCACGATATCACACATCACCAAACACATCCCTTTATCGGCTCCATAGTCTTGAGCAGCGAGCACCGTTAGCAAACAACTGCAGTAGTGAAACCACGATGGAGTCAGCATTACGTCCCAGCAGCCATCTGTGTCTCCCCCATTCACAACGTGGGTGCAGTCAAGAAGTCTGTCTCCAAGCCAGACGAAACAGGGCGGAGGGGAGAGCATTTTCAGTATTGCAGGTGTCCAGCATTCGATGAATAATGAAGCCACACATGTAAAGTCACGTGCACGTGTACGTACGCTCCGTGTTGTCGCCTAATGGGGCCACAAAAGAGAGGGAGCGAAGGGAGTGAACCAAACTGTAGCAGAGTGGCGAAGGTTTATCTAGAAACGCCATCAATTCATGTAATGTAATTTAGCTGCACGATATTGTGCTTAATATTCTGGCGTGGTGCTAAGCTAGACCTGAAGGCGGATTGAGCATCACGCAAACCAATGGCAGCCAAAACAGGGCAGCAGGACCCTGGGTAATTATCTGAATACCGCAGGCAGATAGGCACCTCGAAGACTAATGGTACCCACAGCATCATCGTGAGATGCATTGTTCAAGGCAGATGAGCCTCAAGTAGACCAATTGCGTCTATAAACACTGGGCTCGCAGCTCTGTGTGTGGGGGCACGGATACCTACTGGCAGTCATCGAATTACGAACGTCTGACTTAAGAACATCCGCACTTACGAACGAGCTTCGGTTAGTTAATTTTTTTACTATCAACTTGCGAACGAAAACTCACTCACACTTGTGAACCGAACAGCGGAACTATTTTGTTCAGCAGAATGATTATCCGTGAGATGTAATGTGTGTGTGCGCACGTACACTTGTGTGTGTGTGAAAGTGAGTGTGTGTGTAAAAGTGTGTGTGTGAAAGTGAGTGTGTGTGTGAAAATGTGTGTAAGTGTGTGTGTGAAAGTGAGTGTGTGTGTGTATGTGTGAAAGTGTGTGTGTGTGAAAGTGTGTGTGACATCTTCGCCGGTTGGAAACATTTAGGCTGGCCTGCCTACGATCCATCCTGGGTTTAACCAGGCTGGAATGTGTGAGGAGCTCACAAGTCCTTGAAAGATCTGGGCAAAGTCCCATCAGTGAGCTCCTCCGGCAGGCAAGGCTGCGTTGGCTGGGTCATGTAGCCCGCATGCCCAGCCACCGCATGCCTAAACAGCTTTTGTTCGGCCGGATCGAGGGGGCTAAACGGGCGCGGCACGGGCTAGAGAAGAGATTGATTGATGTGGTACAGGAGGACGTGGAGCTGAGTGGACTTGCCGATGACTGGTACTAGCGGTGTCAAGATCGGCCTCAGTGGAGGAAGCTCGTGAAGGACGCTACTGGGCAGTTGGAGGCAGTCGCCCTCCAACAACAACGGAGGGCGGAGGAGCGACGCTCACAACAACGAGCGGAGCGCCGGGTGGCTAAAGCACAGCAAGTTGGTACAGTAGGGGGCACAGGTGGTGCATCAGCCAGTCATCTCGGTCATCTCGGTCAGTCGACCCGTGGCACCTGGGTCTGCCCCGTGACCTCCTGCCAGCGGGCGTTCGACACTTCACGTGGCCTCAAGGTGCACTTGGCCTGGCACAAGCGTCGTGGTGACGTCACCGCCACTTAGTGGCGAATGGCGGTTGTTGTGACAGTGAATGTGTGCATGTGCGCGCGTGTTTGTGTGCGTGCACACGTGTCCCCGTGTGTGCGTGTGTGGAGCGGTAGTGCAACGATTAGCGCGCTGCATTACCAAACCAGTGACTCGAGTTCAATGCCCACTCACAACCAACCACAGTGACTATTATTTGAATGGGTCCTGGGCCTCCCCTAGGTCGACTCAGCCTCAAATGAGTACTATCTGGTGCGGTGTGTAAACATCGCGTTTGGTGAGGCAAAGGCGGCCGGGCGTGATTTTGGCCACCCACCCCCTCGTGTGCCGTGCCGGCCTTCATAGGTGCTCGATAACAGCACTTGCCCCGACAGTCTGTTAAGGCTACACAGGGGATCTTTGTCGTTGGTGTGTGTGTGCGTGCGTGTGTGCTTCTGTGTGTGTGTGTGTGCAGATGTGGCGGCACCTGATCCCACCACTTCTAACAAAAAAAACAGCGGTTGCGGTAAGAGAAAATAAAACCGATTCGTAGTCGAGGTATTTTTGGGTTAGATCGCATAAATATAAGTGTGTCGTTAAACCTGCCACCACCCGACACAGCCAATGAGTATGGTTTGTCATGTAAACCGAACATGCCAATTCGTTACGGGTACAGCACACCGGTGTGTTGGAGAGCAAATCCACAACATTTACAATTTGAGTAACGTGACGTTACGCCAGTAATGACAACTGGCATCATCAGGCGACAGCCAGATTTGTGAAGGATCCTCCTCCTGTTTCGTTCTCAGGGTCGAACGTTACCTTGCAGTCAAAAACCTCCAGGAAGTGCCCTGGAGGTTCTTGAGACATACTTACAGATTCAGGTCTCTATATAGATTACATATTTATCACAGTATTCTATGCAAATGTGCACTATTTTTTATTCATGACTTTAGCAATGCTTCCATATGAACATTTAAATACAGTGCATTGTTGTGTTCCGAATTTCGAACCGTTTCACTGATGAATGAGTCTCAGGAACGGAACCCCTTCGTAAGGCAGGGACTGCCAGTACCATTCTCCTGATGCTGTAAAGGGCCAAGGACGATATTTTTGGGCTGTCAAGCCAACTTAGCAATTGTCATTAAAGTATCAACTCTTGGCCAAGGTAGGCCTCCGCAGGAATCATTCGATAGCAGTATTTGCACTCTCAATGTACTATGCAAACCATATATATATGTTTCTGAATTATGGTTGTGTAATCACAGGCCCTGAAGTGGCATGCAGTGCTCTTAAGCTCCACCCTGGCTGCATTACTCCCTTCATCATCTTCCTCTACATTCTAGTCCAGTCGGGTTAGTTGGCTGCAGCAACTCCTGCATTGCAAGGTCAGCAAAGATTACCGACTGTGCTGCTCGGTATGTGTGTCCATAAATGTGTCTTGATATGCATTTCCAAGTGTCCAGATTACATTTTTATATACTCTGAGAAGACGAAACAACATTTCAATATACAATTGTGATCCTACGTCACAGAGATACAATAACAGAATGTTCCAAATGAATACATTCTTTTACTCTTTTGACCCACCACCATTAATTTGAAAAGTTAACAAACTCACGATCACACAAACCATTTCGCAATATAATTATGCATTCCGTGTGCATAAAGGCACAGTGTGGATGTCAATAATTGATGGCAGTGTGAAATGTAAAGTTCAGATGACGTCCTGGGTGGGATGACAGCTAAGCCTGGTGCACGTACTGATACATCCACGGTGGCAGCTCAAACATAACGGGTACGGAGGATTAAAACAGGTGCCTCAATTTGAGACCGACAATTCATGAGCTTAGGGCGGTGTTTGTCAAACCTCATCGGCCCGTGGACCACTCGACACCACCCAGCGCCACCACACGTGGTGACGAAACGCATTCACTTCTCTCTCTAAATACCAGTCATACAAAATCATTCACATTACTGGAACATGAAAAAAAATGTAACGCAGTTATAATTTGTTTTTTTAGGGTAGTTTAATCAGGGTAGTTTACGTAACTTCATTATTGGGGGTATAACGGTGATCTGAAACAAATCGACTTGGCTCCTCCTGAAGCAGTCGAATGAATATAAATCTTTAATGAATATAAAATCTCGACACCAATTTGTAATCTGTTGCCATCTCCAACAATGACATACGAAAGAAGAATGGAGTATAACACAACAGCTGTCCACCCCACCCTTTACCGTGTAGCTCATGCCTGAGCACAATCTGTTACGAGTTTTAGGATGCTTTCAGCTCAGGTCATGTGTAGCGTTATACCTCCACCACGCAGCTCAATGTGCCTGTGGTCAAGGGCCAGCGACCCTTGAACCCAACTCAATTACGATAAGAAACAAAGCCAGGCCTCGAAGGGACGGATCAAAATAGAAATGACTACGAGACAAGGAACTGCGAATCATAGAGGTCAACATCCGTAGCCTGAGATCCAACATCAGAGAACTCGCTTACTTGTGCAAGGAGAAGGAGCCCACAATTGCCATCGTGGTGTAAATATTCCTGGACCCAACTGTTCAAGACGGAGTGGACTGCATTGCAATAACCAGTTACACCACGTGCTGTTGAAGAGATAGAGCTGCTTCATCTGGAGGGGGCACTGCAGTGTACTTCCTACAAGGAATTGCCATCCATCATGACTACCAATGAGATCCAACAGACATGGAATTTATGTGACTCACAGAGTGCCCTTACGTTCCCAGAAGCTACTCATCGGAGCTGTGTACAGACCACCCAGTGCAAACAATGACATATTTGACGACCTGAACACTGAAACTCTGTCAAAAATGACAGAGTTTGATGCATATTCCATCATGCTGGTGGGAGACCTCAATGTCCATCATGAAGACTAGCCAGGTAGCCAAACAACAGACTCAGCTGGCCACCAAGCTCTCTGGCTTGCGAGCTGTAGGCAGGACCGGATTAAGATGTTGTAGACCCCTGGGCTATAGGTCCTGTGAGGCCCCCAGTAATATTTTCAAAAGGAAGCAGGCAAACGGGACGATAGTTGGAGATGCGGTTGGCATCGAGGGATGGTCTATTAACGAGAGGGGTGATGATGGCCGAATTTCAAAGCACCGGAGGATAGAGAAGAATTGAAAAGGGAGAGTAAGGAGGGAAGGACAGAAGTAAGAAGGGAAGCAGGGATAGGGTCAAGGGGTGAGGTGGAGAGATGGACTTTGTAGATGGTAACAGAGAGAAGTTCCTCCACACTCACGGGGGGGGGGGGGGGAGTCGCTGAGGGCAGGCGGAGTGGGGAGCTGGTCGGGGGCTGAGGACAGACGGGGCTGAGTGGGGGACGGGGAAACTGGGGAAGAGGAACGAATCGCATTCGTTTTGGAAGTGAAGAAGAGGGCAAAGTGAGCATGGGATGAAACAGAAGTATTCTGTGAGACTTTCGCACAGAAAGGCCGTCTCCAAGATGCAAAAGGTCCGGCCCCAAACATCTAGCCAAGCAATCTCTGCTCAATTGAGAACATCACCTTCAAGCCCAAAGACAACAATAGGCTGCTGAAGCGACTTTGAAGAGAGATATAACGTTGAGCTGTGAGGTATTGAATGTAACGGGATGCGTGTTCTATTTTGCAGGGAATGATGGAACGCACGCACGAGTTGAAAATGGCACTGGTTTATACAGCATTGAAGTAAACACACACACACACCATAGTTATGCAGCACACAGGTCACGTATGCAGTCACCACGTGACCACCACACACATATTAGTATTTTGCTATCGAAAATTTGTGTATTTTTATACCTCCGTTGTACCGCAGTGTGTCGCAGCGTGAAAGTTGCTTCACGGGCCAATGCACCATGAACACCCTACACACTACACCATGAACACCCTATACGCTGCACCATGAACACCCTACACACTGCACCATGAACACCCTACACACTACACCATGAACACCCTACACACTGCACCATGAACACCCTACACACTACACCATGAACACCCTACACGCTGCACCATGAACACCCTACACGCTGCACCATGATCACCTTGCACCACAAACAGCCTACAACATGCAGGAACCGGACTGAGAATCCTGATACTCGGACTACAACCCCACACACCTAGGCTCTCTGGAGAGACGCAGTCTCGACGTCGTCCTATCATTGCATGCTGCTTCCTCTATGTATTCCCGCATTGGTTCTTCCACTGGCTCTCACGCCGCTTGCTATAATCTTGTAGCAATAGTGCAGCTAGAGTGACATCGCTATTGAATAAATGCGGGGTTTCATTGAGACGCAAAACAATGTTGCGGCACCTGCATCTTGAAAATGCCGACTTTGCTTAAACTTCGAAGTAGATCACCTCTCTCTGCCTCAACGCTTGAGGAGGAAGTCACTGTCACGTGTTGACTACGGTGTACACGTGACGTTAAAAGATCTCTGCATTTTCACGATGACTTCATAATTCTTAGGTCTTTTGCTGCCATGTTATTTTTTACACTGCAATGGTTTTGTAACGGACACTGCTGCCGAATTTTTGGGACCCCATTGAACCATCGTATGTACCTACCACAATCTCTTTTATGGCTTTAATACTATCTAAAGTTGCCAACCGACACGAATGCAAATGTATATCCACATCATCGGTACCAAAGTTACATGAATCCGTCTGAATTATATGCTTGCGACAATGGAACCTAACTACAGAAACGAATCCCTATAAAGCTTAACATTTTGTATCTTTTGTTATTGAATTAATTTGAGGGTTGTGTTCACCTATGCTTATCACTGAAATTCGCTTTTGTTTGTAATAAAAACCAACGTATCCAATATCTTACAGGAGTTGCTTAAAGTCTGTGTGTTGATGAGTGAGGTCGTCTGAACGACGTTGTCGATTTACGTGTAAACGTCGATCTCGTTCCACGCTGCACGAGCCCGACGATTGTTTAACACGTCCCACGTGACGCGCCAAACAAACGACGCTGTCCACGTCACGTGGGACCACGTGCACACCCACGCGCGGACCACGTGCTCACCCACGCGCGGACCACGTGCTCACCCACGCGCGGACCACGTGCTCACCCACGCGCGGACCACGTGCACACCCACGCGCGGACCACGTGCTCACCCACGCGCGGACCACGTGTAGACACCAGAGGTCGCAACCCGGTTTTGATTCCTTACCCGTACCAGGCCGCACCAGGATCGCAAACGGGTACCCGTACCCGGCCGTACCTGTACCCTACCCGTACCCGGCTGGGTACGGGTAGGGTACGGGTATCGGGTACCTGATTGCGACCTCTGGGTTGAAGCCATTTTGCAGGCGCGGGTGGGTTGATTCTAGGAATTTGAATTGTGAGAAGAGACAAGAGGTTGGGAAATGAGTGACAAACAGTTACTCACCAGTGACTCACGGTTTACCCGTACCCATACCCGGCCGCACCAGGGTCGCAAACGGGTACCCGTACCCGGCCGGGTACGGGTAGCCGGGTATCGGGTAGGGTACGGGTATCGGGTACCCGGTTGCGACCTCTGGTAGACACACGCACACACCGAGACCTCGTTCTTTATTTTAATCGGCGCTGTTCGCACAAACGGCGCATCACGTTAGACTGATTAACAATCATCGGACGCGTGCAGCGTGGAACGAGTTGATTTGAATGAGAGGAGAACATCGGTTAACGTGGAGTTTGGGAAACTCTGCACTCGATGCTGCAAACCCCGAACTCGAATATCGGTGGAGTTGTCCAACAAAGAGTCGCTCCACCCGAGTCGGCCACGTCTTCACGGCCTCTCGCCACGACGACTTAGGGGCCGTCCATAAATGACGTCACGCGATTTTGGACGATTTTTGACCCCCCTCAAATATGACGTCACAAAGCTCTGCCCCTCTCCCCCCCAAAAAAAATATAAAACGTGCTTCAAATCGCTTTAAACTATTCTCATTGTAGTGCGTATTTAATGTGGCACTGCACTCTGATGTTGTAGGAGAAAACATTTATTAAAAAGTCTATTTAATTAAGTAGAACGTGTTGTCTATATTTATTTAAAATTGCGCATTTTGATGTGACGTCACATTTCTCAACCCCCCCCCCCCCTCGTCACACATCGTCACAAATGTCTGACCACCCCTTCCCCCAGGTGCGTGACGTCATTTATGGACGGCCCCTTAACACAACTTCGCAGGCACTCCCGCCTGCCTCTTGACACGCGCACCTGAATTCAAGGACCGTGCACTCAAGAAAGCGTTGTTCCAGTGACTCGCGATTAGCACGGTTGGCCTACGTACGGTGTGAAAGAGGTTCAACGTAAATACGAATGTGCCATTGCAGAATCGAGATGAGAACGAGTCGGGGAGAATCGGCGCGCCAGCGTATCCGGCGTCGATAGTTACATTGACTCGGATTATTCAATTCAATCTCTCGAATTTTCTAACTCGCCTGGTACAATTTAAACGTCGTGACGTGGGTGACACCAGCCAGGAGCTTCCGTGCCACCCGTAGAGTTTGCTGCGATGTGATTTTTTTTATGACACAATACGATTAAAATGTGTCCGATGCGTGTCCCCGTGTCTCTGTGTGTGCGTGTCCCCGTGTGTCTGTGTGTCCCAGTGTCTTTACGTGCCTCTGTGTGTCCCCGTGTCTCCACGTGTCTCTGTGTCCCCGTGTTTCTGCGTGTCCCCGTGTCTCTGTGTGTTTGCGTGTCCCCGTGTCTTCATGTGTCTCTGTGTGTCCCCGTGTCTCCACGTGTCTCTGTGCGTGTCCCCGTGTCTCCACGCGTCTCTGTGTCTCTGTGTGTCCCCGTGTCTCCACATGTCTCTGCGTGTCCCCGTGTCTCCACGCGTCTCTGTGTGTGTGCGTGTCCCCGTGTCTCCATGTGTCTCTGTGTGTCCCCGTGTCTCCACGTGTCTCTGCGTGTCCCCGTGTCTCCACGTGTCTCTGCGTGTCCCCGTGTCTCCACATGTCTCTGTCCCCGTGTCTCCACATGTCTCTGTGTGTCCCCGTGTCTCCACGTGTCTCTGTGTGTCCCCGTGTCTCCACGTGTCTCTGCGTGTCCCCGTGTCTCCACGTGTCTCTGTCCCCGTGTCTCCACATGTCTCTGTCCCCGTGTCTCCACATGTCTCTGTGTGTCCCCGTGTCTCCAGGTGTCTCTGTGTGTCCCCGTGTCTCCACGTGTCTCTGTGCGTCTTTACGTGTCCCTATGTCTTAGCACTTCTCCCGTGTCTTCTTCATGCTGCCCATTGTCTCTGTGTGTCCCCGAGTCTATCTCTGTGTATCTGCGTGTCGCTATGTGTCTCCCCGTGTCTCCACGTGTCTCTACGTGTCTCACTGTGTCTCGGCGTGTCTTTGTGTCTCCCCGTGTCTCCCCATGTATCTGTGTGTCTCCGCGTCTCTATGTGTGTCTCTGTGTGTCTCCGCGTGTCTCCCCATGTCTCTGTGTGTCTCCCCGTGTCTCTGTCTCCCCGTGTCTCTGTGTCTCTGTGTGTCTCCGCGTGTTTCCCCATGTCTGTGTCTCTGTGTGTCTCTCTGTGTCTCCCCATGTCTCTGTGCGTCTCCCCATGTATCTCTGTGTCTCCCCATGTCTCTGTGTGTCTCTCTGTGTCTCTGTGTGTATCTGTGTCTCCCCATGTCCCTCTGTGTCTCCCCATGTTTCTCTGTGTGTCTCCCTATGCATCTGTGTGTCTCTCTGTGTCTCTGTGTGTCTCCGTGTGTCTCCCCATGTCTCTGTGTCTCTGTGTGTCTCTCTGTGTCTCCCCATGTCTCTGTGTGTCTCTCTGTGTGTCTCTGTGTGTATCTGTGTCTCCCCATGTCCCTCTGTGTCTCCCCATGTCTCTGTGTATCTGTGTGTCTCTCTGTGTCTCCCCATGTCTATGTGTGTCTCCCCATGTCTCTGTGTCCCTCTGTGTCTCCCCCCATGTGTCTCTGTGTCTCCCCATGTGTCTCTGTGTGTCTCTCTGTGTCTCTGTGTCTCCCCCCATGTGTCTCTGTGTGTCTCCGCGTGTCTCCCTGCACCCCGACCCGTGTCTCTGGGCGGGGTCTGTGGCTCCTGGCAACGGCGTCGCGTCCCCAGTGACCTCGGCAGCCGGCACCCCCACGACAACCTCCTCGCTCTCTCTCCTCTCTCTCTCCTCGCCTGTCTCCGTCTCTCTGTGTCTGCCCGTGCCATGGAGTCCCTCCACGCGGACGAGTCGGCCCCACGGGAGGAGGCGGCCTTGCCCCGCACCTGGTTCCATCCCGGCACCGCGAGCGACGACGCGGGCCCCGGCTGGGCTGCGCAGACTGCCGCGGGGCTGCGAGACGCGGCGGTCGCCATGGAGGAGTGGAGCCTCCACAACCAGACGAGGTGGGACACGGGGGTGGGACACGGGTGGGACAGGGGAGACAGGTGGGACACAGGTGGGACAGGTGAGACACGGTGGTGGGGCAGGTGGGACACGGGTGGGACAGGGGAGACACGGGTGGGACAGGTGAGACACGGGTGGGACACAGGTGGGACACTGGTGGGGCAGGTGGGACACGGGAGGGACAGGTGAGCCACGGGTGGGACAGGTGGGACACGGGTGGAACAGGTGGGACACGGGTGGGACAGGTGGGACAGGTGGGACACGGGTGGGACAGGGGAGACACGGGTGGGACAGGTGGGACAGGTGGGACACGGGTGGGACAGGTGGGATAGGTGGGACACTGGTGGGGCAGGTGGGACACGGGTGGGACAGGGGAGACACGGGTGGGACAGGTGGGGCACGGGTGGGACACAGGTGGGACACTGGTGGGGCAGGGGAGACACGGGTGGGGCAGGTGGGACACGGGTGGGACAGGTGAGACACGGGTGGAACAGGTGAGACACGGGTGGGACACAGGTGGGACACTGGTGGGGCAGGTGGGACACGGGTGGGACAGGTGAGACACGGGTGGGACAGGTGGGACACGGGTGGAACAGGTGGGACACGGGTGGGACAGGTGGGACAGGTGGGACACGGGTGGGACAGGGGAGACACGGGTGGGACAGGTGGGACAGGTGGGACACGGGTGGGACAGGTGGGATAGGTGGGACACTGGTGGGGCAGGTGGGACACGGGTGGGACAGGGGAGACACGGGTGGGACAGGTGGGACACAGGTGGGACAGGGGAGACACGGGTGGGACAGGTGGGACACGGGTGGGACAGGTGGGACACGGGTGGGGCAGCTGAGACACGGGTGGGAGAGGTGAGACCCCGGTGGGGCAGGCGATCTAATCCAAAAATATTGTATGATAGTCTTTTGAATCTATACGGGGAGTCTTCGTCTTTGAGTAACACCACCACCACTGGCAGAGTGTATCCAAAACCCGGCCCTCTAACTCGGTCCCCAATAGCACGGATTTTGTGCAGCGTGTTTAGTTTGTTGTCCTTCCACCCCCCCCCCCCCACCTCTCGGATGAGCCCAGGTGGGTATCGTGACGGTGCGAGGAGGGAAGTGGAGCGCACGGCACGTTGTGTGCATCGCTCCGTTCGGCCATCGTGCTGTCAGCTGACTGAAGGCGCTCGACAAATATAAATTCAGAATCGATTTGCACCATAAGTAAACAAAAAGTTAGTCGTGAATTTCATCGTGACCTTAATAGAGGATGAATCATTAACGCGTGCAGGGTGGACAATCATTCCACGATGCTTAATGATTAACCAGCATCTCGCTGCTCCTGTATTGATTGTGCAGGTACCCGTATCCCTGTGAATTCATGTGTGGCTCATGTGCGCTGCCACACGTCCTTGCATGCGCTCACGTCTCTACACGCTCGTGTGTGTGTATGGACATGTGCTGACATGAGTGTACAACAATGGGGTGTCTGTGTGTCTTTGTGTGCGTGCATTGTGCTTCATAGGTGCTCGCTAACAGCACTCGCCGCCAACAATATGTTGAAGCAAGGCCGTAGCCATGGAGTCAACATTGGGGGGGGGGGGGGGGCAAATCTTCCCGGGGGTCTGGGGGTCTAAATTTTAAAACGAATTTCCTGCCATTTCCTGCCTAAAATATTAAAAATTCACTAACACATGGGATGGACTTTTTATTTATCTTTTAAAGATAATCTCTTAGTGTATTGTGCTTTTTCTTTTTTCCCTTTTCTTGTTCCATTGTATGTAATGGCAAAGATTAGGGATTAATAAAGTACAACCATAACCACAATCATATAAACAGAAATCTATTTTACAGAAATATATTGGGGGGGGACATTTTGAGCATATTTGAATATTGGGGGGGGGGGGGGATGTGTTGTGTGTGATGTGTCCCCCCCCCCCAATATACATTATGATTACGGCTTTGTGTCAAAGGCTTTCCGGGAGAGTTTATTTTTATCTCTGTGCACGTCTTGACACTTGTCGGGGGAGCGGTGGCGCAATGGTTGACGTACTCTATCACAAACCCGGCCACGCGAGTTCGATTCCCACTCGCGACCGACAACAGCAGCGGATATCTCAACTCGGCCACGGCCCTCCCCTAGGTTGACTCAGCCTCAAACGAGTACCTGGTTGCGGTGGGCAACCATCAGCACTGGGGGGGTACGAACGGCGGGCCGGCCGTCCGCACTGCCCGTCGTGTGCCGTGCTGGCCTTCAAAGTGCGAACGGCACTTGCTCCAACAGCCCGTTAGAGGCTACACGGGGGACCTTTGTCTGTGTACGTGCGTGCCAACGCGCGCGTGAATTCCCGTTCCGTGTTGAACGCCAAGGCAGCAGTGCTGCCACGTGCGTCGTCAAACGCGGCTCTGGCCGAAGCTTTCGTTGAGGATGGAGACGCGACGTGCACACACACACGTGTCGTCGGTCTGTACAGGGCGCTTCAAAAAAATGTGAACATTTCTGAGAATTTGCAACAATATCACGATAAATGTGCCGCCTCCGGGCACTCGAGACCACCTGGAGAAGATTCCAGGCACGTGTTGACAATGACGGCGAGCACGTGGCGACTATTTGAAGCTGTTAACATTAATTTGTCATCATGTTACAGTGCTTATTATCCGTTCTTTTTCCATTGAAAACGATTGTCCCATTTAAGTGTTCACGTTTTTTTGAAGCACTCTGTGTATACACCACACACGTGTACAAGTGCCGTGGCACACACGTAGATCACACGCGTGTCCTACACCTCACGCGTGTACACGTGCCGTGGCACACACGTAGATCACACACGTGCCCTACATCACACGTGTACTACACGAGCCGTCCTACTTGCTGTGCTGGCGCCCAGGCACGCCGAGACGCGCACCGCCGTGGAGCTGCCTGCGTGCGCGCGCACGGCCGCGAGCGCGCGAGTGGCGGAGGAGCGCGCGGGCGCGCACGCGCGCTACGCGCAGAGCACACGGCGCATCGGGGAGCGCCTGGCGCACGTGCACGCGTGGAGGAGCGAACTGGAGCGCGAGATCCATGAGGTGAGGAGGCGTCCGGGGGGGGGGGTCTGCGTGCACACCGCTACCCGCCCCCCCCCCAACGCGCGCAACCCCCCCCCCCCACGCATGCACCTCTCCCCCCCCCACGTGCGCACCCTCTAACCCCCACGCACCGCTCCATCCGCCCCCACGGGCGCACCCCCCAACCCATGCGCACCCCCCCCACGCGCATGTACCTCCACCCCCATCCCACGTGCGCACCCCCCAATTTCCACGCACCCCTCCATCCGCCGCCACGTGCGTACCCCCCAACTCCCATGCGCACCTCCATCCGCCCCCACGTGCGCACCGCCCCCCCCCACGCATGCACCTCTCCCCTCCATCCCACGTGCGCATCACGAGCCTAGTTTAGGAAAAAAAAATATTCGTACTGCAGGAGGAATCCGATGAGCTATGAAGCTCTTTTTCATAGATGGCCCAGTAGGGGCACGGGGTCAGAACGTCACGACAACGAACACAATACACACGCAAGATCAGAGTGCAAAGTACTGGAATGACTTAAGCGCTGCTGCTGCTACTGCGGGCCCGTTGTGAGCAGTCGGTAGTTGTAGATGTGGATTCTATTCTACTCTTGCGTACGATGGCAGCAGCAATGTTGTTGTCAATGAGCTCAAGGCACAATGTCGAGGTTTCCTGCCTGCTGCTTCTGGCCACGATGAGGGGATTTCAGTGATGAGGGGACAAAGCTTCACAGCGATGATGTATCTCACGACTGTCAGCCCGATAGCCTTCTGGGAGGGCATAATCTCACCAGCATAGATTCAAAATAAGCAAAATCTGGACAGGTTTTAATATAGCATCTCATCAGGAGTCGGATTTTTGCTTGAATCAACGCTGACGAACGACCAGATGTTATAGGTAAAGATTCCTCTCTTCACGGCATGGGTGCGAGTTCGATGAAACATTTATATATTACAGTCTGGTCTCCTATAACGTGTAATTTGATAACGCAAATTGGATATAACACGATGCATGTGTTTGGGAATGAATTTTTATAACGCGGATGCGAATTGGATATAACGCAATTGAGCAAACAGAACTACGTCGCGGGAGCAGGGATAAGCGGTCTCTGCGTAGCGTCATCACACAAGGCGGGATGCTGCTGGATGCTTCGAGATGCTACCCACGCGCCTCCGTGTTTGTTCCGCCTGCGTTACGCGTCTCACGTGTTATCGCGGACTGTGCCTCACCCTATATATATTCTTTTTGTAACGCGATAATTCCATAACGTGGAGACAGGAACGCAACTACCACCGCGTTGTAGGCGAAACAGACTGCGCAGGCGCACAAGACGTTCGCGAGCGTCTGCGCGCCAGCGAAGCGGGCGCTCAAGAGGGCTGCGTGCGTTGTGGGTGGACGCCTCGCAGGTGACGTCGGAGACGGAGCTGCTGGTGGAACAGAAGCGGCGCCTGGAACGAGCTCTGGACGCCACGGAGATGCCCCTCGCGCTCTGCACGGACAACCTCCGCGCCCGCGAGCGCCGCCCGGGCCCCGAGCTCGTCCACGACGGGCCGCACGAGCAGCTCCTGCAGGCCCGCGATTTATTTACTATTTCAGCCACACGCAGTAGCCCAGGCGGTGACAAATACAATCTGTGGGCTGTCGTGAACTGCGGTGGTTCTCTTACAGGGCGACGGAAGAAGCAGTCTAGTCGCACCTCCGGTTAGCACCGTTGGCTACGTACGGTGCGAGATCCGAAAGAAGTTAAAACTAAACGACCTTTTATTTGACCAGGTAAGGCCCACTGAGCTCTATGGTTCTTGTTCAGAAGCAACCCGGCCACAAATGATAGCTCAACGAAGTGGCTTATTGGGTGGAAATTTATAGCAGCCAAATGCTTAAACGAGAGAAAATCCGGAGGGACCCGGAGAAAAATCCATGCGACCGTGGGAAGAACATGCAAACTCCAAAAATACAGCAGGCATCAGTGTCGGGATGGAACCCACGACCTCCTGCATACCAGGCGAGGTAGTTCACATCTAGCCACCGTTGCGCCCCAACATACATACCATACAGTCAAGAATTTAGTCACAGACACTGTTTTCCTATTCCACGTTGGTTGTGAAGGATTCATAATTCCCAGTCACCGAAAAATAATCCAAGTTGTCAAGTATAATACTGCAAATCCAAGTTTCCTTTGACCAAATCAGCCAGAGTTCACCCGATTCCCTCGTACCTAAAAGTAGCACTGAGCCTGGACAGCGCTTCGATGAGTGACATCCACGCACAGCAGGCGTTAGACACTGTGTAGCTACCTTTGTACAATCCATTGTCTCATACTATGCTCTAATGCACATGATTCCTGTTCTCCACCAAACCCACGCTGACCACGTGATGAGGTATGGGCAAATGACCCCTTCGACCCACACAGCACAGGGGGGGGGGGGGGGGGGGCCTCGTCTACAAGTGACGAGACACGGAGTGGGCTCTCTACGTGGACACGCCAGGCGCAGTGAGTTGACGATCTGGACCTGGTCACAATTGGCTGCACCCAAAAAAAATCACAAAAATCACATCAAAGTCACAGCAGGGCCTGCGTGATGGGCATAGCCCCCCCCCTTCAGTGGCAACTGAAAGGGGTTTCTGTAATGAGCTGTCGTGCTGTCACTCACCCTCACGAGGCCACCCTCCAACACGGGACACGACACGTGATGTTTCCGTGAGCTCTGAATGGAGAACTTCCTTGGCCTCGTTAGCACGATCATTGCCTTGTGCAATTGGTGATGTCATTTGAAACGTTTTGCCGAACCGGGAAAACGAGGCCCTGCTAAAGCACGGACTGGCAGTGGGGTTACATGGGGAGTTTGTTATTGTGGGGGGTGAGCGGAAGGCCGGCGAAGTGTTGGAGAAAGTGCCCCCTCATCCTGAGATGTGAAACTAAAGCAACTCTGAATATTCGTCAGCAGCTGGTTAGGGATTCGTGGTTGTCTGGCTCGCTCAAGGGGTCGGCAATTCTGCGGCTCTGGAGCTCCGAGCGGCTCTTTCAGGAGGATTGCTCCGTGATGTTATTTGTTGAGGGCCACCATCTCGTAATCACCACGAGCATTGCGGCGTTTGAAATATTGATTTTATTTTTGGTTATAGAATTTTTAAAAAATGTCTCTTCTTGTTATTTTGGTTTGCTGATCCCTGGTCTCGCTCAATGCTTGCACTCAAACTGATTTCCTCTTCACCGTATGTGGTGGCCTTTACAGGTTTTGTCAATAATAATGGAATACCAGGGTAGGGTGATTACCTCTTCTGTCAAGTCAAAGAACACGTAATTCATCAGCCCCGTGACCTCCTAGATTAATGTTTGCCAGTTATATTTGTCTCCACAAGGGGAATGTCAAGCAAGCTGGAGGTAACCATTGATGAGGCCACAGCTTTGGATGAGATTTAAAGTTCAGTCGTTTAAACTGATCGGAGGTGACCCAGATTCAATGGTTTTCAGAAAGTTAATTAGGGAAATGGCAGGCAACTGATATAATTTAGTTGTAGAAAGTCACTGTGAGGAAAATACAAATAACACATTCAACTTATTTCCAGATTGATAAGTAGATTATTATATTATTATATTGTCGACAATATTTTTAATTTTATTTTATTCCTAACTACGTGACTTTACCGAAAGAACCAAAGAGTATATATTGTAGACACTCTAAGACAAATTACGAAAACGGTATTTTAAAAAATACACGACTATTGATTCATAATTGTTTTTTGTTGGTTCAGATCGCGTAATAAAAATGTGTCGTAAATCCTCCTCCACCCGAGAGGGCCAATTACTAAAGTTGCCACGTGGTGCGGCATGAGCAATCTCGCACGACATTTAAAGCGGTGCGGACATTTGTCCTGACGAGTTACTCCCAGCATCATCAGGCAGGAACAAGGATTGATGGCTGGTTTAGGACACATTCTGTTTACGCGATCTAACCCTAAAATAATCATAATTTGATGACCCCAGCTGATTCACTCGCCCCAGTCAGTGATTGTGGGAAGACAGCAGCAGTGACAACATGCAGTTGCCAGAACATTGCTCCCTGCACAGAAGTTCCCCTTCTTCACTCCGCTGTCCGGATATGGAACTGCCTCCCTGATGAAGACATTGTCAACGACATCACCGACTCTGGTGTTCAGGCCTTCGAATGGCGAGCACTCACGTGGTGCATCTCCTGACTTCACCGGCACGCCTTGCAGGGATTGAGTCTTTGAGCTGCAGTGAACCCAATGATCTTGGCCGATTAGATGTACTAATGTCTGATATAGCTATTCACAATATCACCCAATTAAACAAATACATTAATACAAATATTAATAAAAATATTAATTAAAATAGTAATAAAAATATTAATTAATGGCCTAAATAAAAGTGAAAAGCGTTGTCATTCGTTCCGGTGCAATCTGCGTTTGCATCACAGCCCCGCGGATTACTTGGAGGACTGTCGCGAACCACTGCTGAGCTGCATTAAACCCAATGATCGTGGCCTATGAGATGTACTCGTGGCTGATGTGGCTACTGTTCACCCTTCCTTTGCCCCACACTTCCCCGTAGCAACACGATGACGACGCACCGTGACGGTCCCGTACTCATGTTCATTTACCCCCTCACCGCCCCTCCCCCCATTCTCTCATTCCTCTAACAGGAGGTGGAACTCATCTCCAGCGTGCAGGCACTGCTTAGGCGAACCCTGGACAAAGCCATAGAGCAGATACGGTGAGGAATGCTTTGGGAAAGAAACGACCACCTGCCTATTTCATGGTGATGCGTGTTGCTGCTCGTTGAGGGAGATCGAATAGAATCGATCTCGTCGAACTGGCGGCCTACGTCTGGACTTGCAAGGCAGATATCGCCAGTTAGATTTAGAATCTCCCAGCGCGAAAGTTGAATGAATGATCTTAATGCAACAACAATAACAACACCCCCCCCCCCCCCCGCTTCTATCCAGTCCAGCAGTATACAGCGCACGGGTACCCCACGGGTGATTGGCAAGGTTGCGTCTCGTTCGGTACCCCCATGACATCTGCCCAGCGTGGAAGAGTAGGCCAAGTAGAGCAGACACGCGTAACCTCGTGGGCCGGGCACGGCACGTGACTTCACGTCACGCGGCCCTTGGCCACATGAGGGCCTGCCACTTCGAACGGTGCCACGAAACGATGTTCATTCGTTAACCGCAAGCAGCTTGGCAGCAGCTAATTGTGGACCAGAAGAGAACATTTCTGTGGCCTCGCAACGCTGCGTGTCTCATGTCGGCACGCTCGGCCACGTCAAGGATTCAGTGCAGTGACCGCAGCGACCTGAGGTCAGTGCCGGATCCGAGTAGCAAAAGTACATGCTACGGAACCCGCACTTTCAAGGGCCCCGCGCTGAAATGCTTTCAAGCTATCAACTCTGGTTCAGTGATTCTGCACTTGCTCTATTACTATAGTACTATATCGCCTTCGACTTTTACGAACGACTGGGTGTTCAAGGTTAGCGATTTGTCGTATTATCCGGCTGTATCTCAAGTGAAAAAATATAATGACTTTACTATGCAAGTAAAAAATGTGTGTTTTAATATTAACATTTATTTATTTTAGGGCCCCTTAGGTGCGTGGGTCGATGCGTTGCGTCGCCCGCCAAACGCTGCGTGAGAGTCCCCATTTGACCCCCGGTCTGCAAAAGGTTCCTCGAAACCCCCTCGAGTGACCCTGGCGGGCAGGCGAGGGAGTCGATGTTGGCGCGAGCGTTGTGGGTGCGCTGAACGCCGCCCCCGCCAGCCCCCCCCCCCCTCAGCCCTCTTCACCTCCCCAGCCCTCCTCACCTCCCCAGCACTCCTCACCACCCCCCCGACGCTCCTCACCCCCCCGGCCCTCACCACCCCCCCAGCCCTCCTCACCCCCCAGCCCTCCTTACCACCCCCCCAGCGCTCCTCCTCCCCCCCAGCCCTCCTCACCCCCCAGCCCTCCTCACCACCCCCCCAGCCCTCCTCCCCCCCAGCCCTCCTCACCCCCAAGCCCTCCTCACCACCCCCACCCCTCCTCACCCCCCGCAGCTTGAACCGCGACGCGAAGCAGGAGCTGGAGGCGGATTGGTCGGACAAGCACGAGGCTTACGCGGCGGACGTCACGTGCGGGCACCTCAACAACCAATCGGCAGGCGCCGCGCGGCACGCGCACGCTGCCAGCGCGCACGAGAAGTGAGGCCCCCCCCCCCCCACTGGGACGTCGGCATCGTGGGGGGTGGGGCGGCTGGGGGGGGGGTAAAGGTCGGCGTCTGTCGCATATTGCGTCCTGAGAACGATTGTTTTAAAGGTGCTTTATACATTTGAAAAAAATATAATTGTTATGATTATAATTATATAGGCCACAGTGTATTTGAGTTTGCTGTTCACAGGTTATGCGGGGCTCTGTACTGTCACTCCGCTGCTGGCTCAGGGCCTCGCCACGCGCCATGCGGGGCGCGGCGAGCCGCTTGACCATACTTCACCTCGCTCCTCAGTCGGGGGGTTTGACGGTGCGGAGGTTCGATGTGGGGTCGTATAAACTGCAGTCGGACAATGGATTTCGCTGCACCCTCGGTCCACCCTCTCGTGCAGTGCTCCTTAACCTGGGGGTGCACGCTGCACCCCCTGGAGGTGCGAGATGCCCTTTCTGGGGGTGTGAGACGTGGCCAGATTTTTTTTTTTAGTAGGTAACTCATCTAATACACAAATTAAGCACGGGCATGTTAAGTACAACTACTTTACTCTTTGGTTATTTCGGTAAAGTCACGTAGTTGTTTCATCAAACGCTACGTGTTTATTAACATGATAGACATTGTTTTAGGATTGAGAACCAAAGGGGTGCATGGCTGATATTCTTAGGTTTTTTCGGTAAAGTCACGTAGGTAAAAACATTAAAAAGTAAAATAAAATAAAAATCACGACGTTTCGGAGGCAACACAAGCTTCCGTCTTCAGGTGGTACCGTCACAGCCACGACAGCTGTATCAAGTAAATGAGAGATTGCAGGAGCTACCACTCCGTTTATATAATGGTTGACAGAGCCACCGTTTTGCCCACATCATGGGTCAGCGTGGCGCTTGGCATCGTGAGACTGAGACAAATGTCCCCCTAATAGTCGCAGAAGCTTTCGGGGGAGACGCGGGGACAGCCTCTATGCGGCCTAGACCACCCCTGTCCCAAAGCAGGGATGTGTGGTAGTTAAGGTGTTTTGGGTTTAGATCGCGTTAATAATGTATCATTGTGTCGTTAAACCCAATACCAACACCCTGCCATTCGCCCCTAAGTGACGGTGACGTCACCACGGCGCCTGTGCCAGGCCAGGTGCACTTTGAGGCCACGTGAAGTGTCGAAGGCTCACTGGCAGGAGGTCACGGGACAGACTAAGGTGCCATGGGTTGGCTGACTGAGATGACTGGCAGATGCACCAACTGTACCCTCTACCAACTTGCTGTATTTCATCCGCCCGGTGCTCCGCTCGTTGTTGTGAGCGTCGATCCTCTACCCTCCGATGTTGTTTGAGGGTGTTAACCCACCACCACCCTCCACCCCCCCTCCACCCCACCCTCCACCCCCCTCTCCGCCCCCCCTCCGCACAGGACATTGACGGTGAGCGGCTGGGAGCAGCGTGCGCGCGCCAACGTGGAGCGTGCGCAGCGCGAGCGCTCCGTGTCGGCGCGGCTGCGCGAGGTCGCGGGCCTCCTGCTGAGCGACGCGGCGCGCGACCTGCGCGACCGCAACGAGGGCGTGGGGCGGGCGCTCGAGCAGCGCGCCCGGGAGGTCAACGAGGTCAAGGTGGACCTCGAGCACCAGCTGAGCAAGGTGGGGAGACGCCTTCGCCGCCGTCGTCCTCCGCCGACGCTTTGCGTTCGGTCGGTGGGCGCTGTTTTTGTTGTTGTCGTTGCTTGCCCGTCTGTGGGCTGTTCGTCCCCTTGAGTCGCCCACGTGTGCGTGCCCCACGCGCGCGTTCCAAATATACAGCAGCAGGCGTCAGGGTCGGGATCAAACCCACGACCTCCTGTATATCGGGCGAGGTCGTTAACATCTCCCAGCCACCGTGGCATCCCCTTGGCGGGGGGGGGGGGGGTCTCTCTAGAGCTCCCTCTAGTGGAGGCCCCTTCCACCAGCAGTGGCATTAGAAAGCGCATGTCACAACGGCACCGTCACGGATTTGCACCCCCCCACCCCCCGGCTGTCCGGCCGCCACTTGCCCAGGTCCTGGAGGAGACGTCGGCCCAGGAGAAGAATGCGAAGGAGCTGGCGTCGGCCCTGCGTGACCTGGAGGCCCCACGCAGGGTGACCGAGACGCGTCTGCGCCTGCGTGGGACGCGGCCCTCCTCCGAGCTCTGCCACGACCCTGCGCACGAGAGGTGCGTGCGGCCACGTGGGGCCGCGGTTATAAAAGTTGTTCTCTCTCGATACTTTCACGTGGTCCAGCGTTTACACGTACCCTTTCTCTCCTGCTTAACAATGTTGTCTTGAGTCTCAGTGAGGCATTCATGGATTTATTTATTTATTTTAAAACACGCGTGATTGGTGTTAGCATTGTTGCTATTACTGCTGGAGGGAGGATAATACAATGTCCTGCTGTACCCTTGCCAAGACGCGTTCAGCAAATCAGTCCCATACAAGACACACGTGTTGCACAGATCATGAATATATTTATTAATTAATTGCATGACAAGCTTGAGCAAGTAGCAGCAGATATATTTCTAAATAGCCAAAACAAGCCATTTTATGTTGACGCTTTCATTGATAATGAAACTATTGAAGTCATACTCAAAACCCGATGTAAGCCTGCAACACTGAATTTTTTATATCAGGTGTAAATTAAACTACAAGGAGAGAGTCGTAGATAAAAAAGAAGAGAGAGATGGCGTGGGGTTTAAAATGAGAAGATTTGGAGGGGCACAATGGACGGAGGTGGCAATAAGTCGTGAAGAGTGGAGAGGCTGCTGGAGGCATTGGCCCATCAGTGGGACGTTAACGGCAGATTATGAGCTAAATCAGCTTATGGGATAATATGATCTCGCACATCTCGATGGACTTTTTGTTGATAATTAGTTTTTTACCCTTCCATGTGGCAACAAAACTGACACCTTTTTTACAAGGAGTCATGTTTACATAGACCACAATACCTGCAGTCAAACAAAAAACATAACTCTGATAATGTGCACTGTCCTTGAAGTTGATTGGTCCACACCCGAGACAGCTTTCTTTAGAGCCTAGTCTCACATGGGTTGGACCAACCCATGTGAGACCAACCCATGTGAGACTAGGCTCTAAGGAAAGCTGTCTCGGGTGTGGACCAATCAACTTCAAGGACAGTGCATACATTATCAGAGTTATGTTTTTTGTTTGCATTATGACTGCAGGTATTGTGGTCTATGTAAATATTACTCCTTGTAAAAAAGGTGTCAGTTTTGTTGCCAGATAGAAGGGTAAAAAAACAATGATCATATTTTTACTGGCAAATGAGGTTCCAATGGACTTTTTGTTGTTGCTGTTTGGTTGTGACAAGCTTTGCCATGAAGGCAGATGGAACCCAATCGATTAATGTTAGCGCCCGCATTTCAAAGATAATGCGATTTTTGGCCAGGCGCCATAATCGAGGCAGCCACATTGAGGCAGACAAATGGCTTCTTGTTTCTTTGCTCGGCGGGGTAATGGAGCCCACTACATTTTTAAACACTGCAATTTAAGGCCTCGTCCATTGACATTACAAATGTCCACAAACTTCACAACAAAAGCACGTACGAGAGTTGTGTTGTTTGATGTATTGACGCTGACGTGATGTGGACTGCATTATGGAGGTGGAGGTGGGGTGTTATGCCAGTGTGTGTGTCTTTGATGTGCGTGGGTGTGCTGTGTGTGTGTGGATGTGCGTGTGGATGTGTGTATCTTTGATGTGTGTGGGTGTGTTGTGTGTGTGTGGATGTGTGTGTGGATGTGTGTGTGGATGTGTTGTGTGTGTGTGGATGTGTTGTGTGTGTGGATGTGTGTGTGTGTGTGGATGTTTGTGGACATGTTGTGTGTGTGTGGATGTGTGTGGATGTGTTGTGTGTGTGGATGTGGATGTGTGTGGATATGTTGTGTGTGTGGATGTGTGTGAAAAAAAAATGAAATATGTGTGTGTTGTGTGTGTGCGGATGTGTTGTGTGGATGTGTGTGGATGTGTTGTGTGTGTGGTTGTGGTGAGCGGTGGGGTAGCGGTTAGCGCGCTGCGCTACGAACCCGGCGACCCGGGCTCGATTCCTGCTCACGGCCGACACCAGTGACGATTATCTGAACCGGTCCTGGGCCTTCCCCAGGTTGACTCAGCCTCAAATGAGTACCTGGTGCGGTGTGTAAACATCGCCACTGGGGAGATTAAGGCGGCCGGGCGTGGTGCTGGCCACCCACCCCCTCGTGTGCCTTGCTGGCCTTCATGGGCGCTCGCTCACAGCACTCACCCCAACAGCTTGTTCAGCCTCTACAGGGGATCGTCGTCTTTGTATTGTGTGGGGAGCGGTAGTGCAGCGGTTAGCTACGAATCAGGCGACCCGAGTTCCATCCCCGCTCACGGCCACCAACACACCAGTGACGGCGATGATGTGATCGTCTCCTGGGTCTCCCCTAGGTCGACTCAGCCTCGTGCCGGCCTTCATGGGTGCTCGCTGACAGCACTTGCCCCAAAAGTTTGTTAGGACTACACGGGGGATCTTTGACTTGTTTATTGTGTGTGCATTCGGTGTTTGTGTGCCGACAAAACATGACGGAGAGCTCTCAAGATGTTCTTCGTGAACAGGGGTTGCCAACGAAAATAAAAAGAAGAGCCATCGTTTTTTAATTCGGTAAAACAAATCTATATTTCAAGAGCCAAAATGCACTTGAATACGATGCCCATCGTAAACTGGACTCCCATGCTAAACTGGACTTACATGGTGAACTGGGCTCCCATGGTAAACTGGACTTACATGGTGAACTGGGCTCCCATGGTAAACTGGACTTACATGGTGAACCGGACTCAGGGTTCGGCAACTCAAGTAACAAGCAGGGCCATCTTTTTCGAATTCGATCAAAACAAACCCTTCAATATCTGAAGAGCCGCAATGCAGTCCTTAAAGAGGTGCAAGTTGCCGACCCCAATTCATGACAAATGCCAAAATATACCCCACTGCCTTTGGGCCCTGCATGGAGCCCCCCTCCCCCCGCTTCAACACGGCTCTGCGTGCCCCCCCCCCCACCCCCCACACGCGCGAGCAGCCTCCTGGAGGAGCTGGGGGAGCAGCACGCGCGCGCGGAGTCACTGCGGGGCGCGCTCGGGGAAGCGGAGGCGGCGCTGGACGCCCTGGGGGCGGCGAGGGCGCAGCTGCAGCACGAGCTGGCCAACAAGGCGGCCAGCATCGCCACGGAGCGCCAGCGCTGCATCCCGCCCCGGGCCGGCTTCCCTAGCGCCGTGCGCCTCTCCGGCTACTGAGGAGCCCCGTCCTGCTCCTCCTCGTGTCAGGGTCGCGCGAGGTCAGTCGCTGGTGGAAGCGAATTGGGAGCGGTGGGTGGGTGAGTGGTGCAAGGCCGTAATTATAAGAAATATCACGGGGGGTACACATCCCTAATCTCTGCGATTACATACAATGAAACAGGAAAAGGTAAAAAAGAAAACAACAGAGCAATGTAATACAATACACTATTAGATATTATTGTTAAAAATAAATAAAAAGTCAATCCCATGTGTTTGTGAATTTTAAAATGTTTTAGGCAGGAAATGGCAGGAGATTCATTTTCAAATTTAGATTTTTTTTTCTGGGGGGGGGGACCCCCAGACCCCCTGGAATATTTGGTCTCCCCCTATGTTGACTCCATGGCTACGGCCTTGGAGTGGTGAATGGGTCCTTTGACATGCATATGGAACTTCTTTCGCAACCGTGTGTTAGACAGCCGTGGTCATTGGAGGTGCGGGGGAAGGACAACAAACCAAAAACAAAACGGCGAGGCAATAATCATCAACTGAAGTAGGATTCTCTACGCTCGTGATGCAAGCATACGCCATGGATGTCAGCATCATTGGCTGTATTCACGAGGCGGATTGAGACGATATGAATGAGATTAAAAAGAATACATGTGCTTATCAAATCCTGCCCCTTGCTCTTTGTGTTTGCCGGGGGGCTGGCGGAGTCAACGGATCGGGCCGTGAATTCGACACCGCGGTGCACCGCACGCCCCTCCTCCGCTGCCCCCCTTCACTTTTTCACCCTTCATGCCGTGCCCTCTCGTCACTTCATCCCAACCCTGCACGTCACCGCTCGCTTGATCGGTCGCTGGTGACTGATCGTCGACGGTCCTCTCGTGGAGAGACGAAGCGACGCCGCATTTAGGAATATGCGTCAGCCGTGGTCTGAGTGGGGTTTCCAGTTCGAACGCGGTGCCGTTAATTCGAATGCACTTTCGTGTAAAAGCAACGCGATGGATGCAATACGTGCACCGTATAGCATCGTCACTCGTGCGCCGTCTTAAAACCATCGAATGTTGAAATCAATGCAATTTATAACGCGGTGAATGAGAAATAACGGTGAACAACAACCCCCGCACGTGAGGCTTTCACAGACGGCTGCAATAATAAGAAGGAAGCTGACTGAGGAAACACCAAGGCCACTCACGAGCGACAACGGAACAGATTTCCCGTTTTTTTGTAAAACGGGAAATCACTCAAAATACAGACGGAACATCTGGCAACATTTAATTTGAATCGTGTGTCAACAGGGAGTTACTCGAATATCGAAATAACAATGAGGGTGATTTTGACCAATTCTTTCATCCTAATTCTTAATGTAAATGCAGTAATTAGTCTGATCTGTGGCGTCACCTTATTGCTTGCAAACACTGTAGGACTTGAGATTAAAGTTGTCTCTTAGACAGAGTAGCAGCAACGCACGCGGCCCTGATGCAGCGATGGCACTTTTCACATTTTCCCCAACATGTACTCAACATCGATAACCATTAGCCACTCATTAGCGATGCGTGATTTCTCAGAAATAGACTTGGGATGGAATCAATTTGACGCAAGCCCTCTCCGCTAACCGCGCGTTGAACGCACCACAGGGCCCGAGAGAGCGAGCGAGAGATCTTTGCTGCCCGCTGACGTGACGGAGCACGCGAGAATGAATACGTTGAGGCGTGTGTGCGCTCAGCGTATTGTCGGACACTCTTCTTCTCCCGTGCGTTTGTCACACTCGCGCGGAGCTGTTGCGATGTCATCGACGACCTTCTCCACGCTGCCCCGTCCTGCGCCATCTCTCGTTCCGCTCCTCGGGCCACCGTGTCCGACCGCACCACATCGCCCCTCCACCTCTCCTTCTGCCTTCCTCTTCATCGCTTTCCTTCCACTTGCTTCGCTTGCCACCTTCTGACTCACATCATTTTCCTGCTGTCTCTCCACATGATCGAACCACAGCGGCCTTTTCTCTAACTTCTTCATTTCTCACCCCCCTGTCCTCCCTTGTTAAACCCAACATCCACCGCGACATTCCTCATCCTCCTCTCTGTGACGGCCACAGATTGGTCCTCCCTCTTTCTCGTGCCCTGGCATTCGGGCCCCATACAACAGCGCAGGCCTAGAAGGGTCGTAGGCGCTCAGAATGTTCGGTCACTCGCGTGCGCGCCTCTGGTTTGTCGCTTGGGACAAGAGCGAGGGGATGGTGTTTGTGTGTGTGCGTATATATACAGGGTGGTGCACACAAATACGGACGCTGACATATCAAAACTAGTCAAAGGAGAATCAATCTACAGGGTGGTCCAGCTGTCTTGTGTCCCCCCCCCACCCCCATTTAATGATCTAAAACGTCATGTTTTTTTTATTAAAAGCATGGCTTATTTTAAAACACAAATGAATGTGCAAAGAGACAAAAAAATGTTGGTGATCAATTAATTGGGGGATCACCAGACATCTGGACCACCCTGCATATTGCAGCGCTGCATACAGCCGTCTGTGCCGTGCTTCGGTTGACCTCGAGTGTTTCACCAACTTTGTTATCATGCAGCTTTTAGTAGGACAATGTCGTTACGGGAATAGTTTTTTTGGTTTGGGTTTTCACAGCGGAGGTCATCAATGATTGTGTTTTTTTCCCCGCTTTCGGATACATTTTGTAATGATTTGCACTGTGGTGTTGAACGTCTGCGTGTGTGTTTACACGAATTCGATACACCGCTATATTTAAGTTGATCTCCCCACAACTCTGACTGGCAGGCCACTGAGATTCACACAGTTGAGACCATCATCATACAATGGTTCGTCACACAGCGGCGAGATGAGCTTCTTCATCGCTCGCCTGCAGGCCTAATATTCCCAAGAACTCCTCCTCTGCCTCGTAACTTCCCCCTCGTGCGTGGACGACTTCTCCTTCTTACTCCTTTGCCGCATGGCGGTGCAAGTCCGCCGGTGGAAACTGCAGCAGCCTCCGTCCTGTCGACTCGTCCCATCCAGACAAGGCCTGTGTCCATACTCTTTGGTTCTTTCGGTAAAGTCACGTAGGTATAAAATAAAATAAATTAAAACCCGACGTTTCGATTGCAACACAAGCAATCGTCATCAGGTGGGAAAACCACAGCGATATTTTTTTTTGCTGAAGTGGGAGAGTGATGCCGTGGTAAGAGGTTATATAGGTAAGAGAGGGGGGAGGTCGCCCCCCACCCCCCCTTCCTGTTTGCCTAACCACGTCTCAGTTAAATTTTGACTTGAAGCTTTCGTGACTGCAGGAATTCATCTTCTTTGGGTCTTTCGGTAAAGTCACGTAGATAGGTTCAAAGAAAATAACAAAAAAAACTACGACGTTTCGATCGCAACACAAGTGGTCGTCATCAGGATAGGGAAGAAAGATGATGACCACTTGTGCTGCGATCGAAACATCGTAGTTTTTTTCTTCTTGGTTCTTTCGGTAAAGTCACGTAGAAGGGAAGTAATAAAATAATAAAAATATAAAACATAAGTTGTTTTATTATGTTTTATTTTTATTATTTTATTACTTCCCTTCTACGTGACTTTACCGAAAGAACCAAGAAGATGAATCCCTGCAGTCACGAAAGCTTTAAATCGAAATTTAAATCGTAGTTTTTTGTTATTTTCTTTGAACCGCTCTACGTGACTTGACTGAAAGACCCAAAGAACACGTCTCAGTTGTAGTTTTGCGACTTCCCAGGAGCCTTCTCGGCCGGTTAATTTTTCGCTGCCAGTATCTTTCATTTTTTTTTTCATAGTTGCGTCTACCCAACTGAAAGAAATGATCGATATTAAAGCGTACACGGCTTTTAGCCCGCAACGCTGCGGTCTGGATCCCATAGTTGTCAACCCATACGGTTTACCCCGGATTCTTTCCATGGAAATTGAGTTTTCACATCCATATGGCGTACAGCCGTTTCAATCCGGGCAAAAAAAATCAAATGGCAAAATAAAAAAAAATCGTGGAACAGCATCAGCATGCAAGATCACAGACAGTACAGCACGATATGTAGCATCATTGACACCAATTATCAAAATTAATATGTTAAACAGTTTTTATTTCGTAACATAATAATGTCTATTTGTTTGTGTGTTCTCCCTTGTGATGGGACTTTGTGGGATGAGCGTTGATATTTATAAGGGGCACGGGGTGACCAATACGGTCTGAATTGGTCTGTAATAAGGTAGGGCACTGATTAGGAGTTGACAGGTATGGGATGAAAATGCTGGCAATGTTGATGGTCTAATGTGGGTCATCAAATGACTACACGAAGCTCAACGCAAATTCGATTTTTAATTTCGGCACTCCGCAGCTCAATAGTACTGTTTTCTTCGTCTTTTAAAAAGTTTTTAAAGTTTACACGTCTGGCATGCGATGGAACGCTCTTTGCGGAGCGTGTGGCACTTTCAGCGGTTGAACAAAATTGAGACTTGTTGAAGTGACAATTCGCACGACTCCACTGCTCGTTGTCCAACGTCAAATATAATAATTTCAACGTAGGGTATAACGCGACCGCGCAGCATTCACAAAGTCGATGACAGAGAATGCCTCGGAGGTGCGAGGAACCGCAGACGAGCACGAAGGCAGCCACGCAGTGAGCTGGCACCAAATTCCACCCCTCAAGCTCTGCAGTCCTCTATATGTGAAGGTGTTAACGGCACATTGATGAGTGTTTATGCACGTGGGGGAGGACGGCGGAACAATTGGATTAGGTCATCATGGAGCTTTTCAACTCTTTAATGTAACGCCAATTACAAAATGTGGATACGGTCAGTCAAAAAAAAAGCATGCCCTGCTGCTTTACCGAAAATGTTAATGTCTTTTAATCGTTTTCATTCACAATTATCGCATCACTGCAGATGGGAGGAACGTCACTTTGCGCGTGTCATCACCCAATGCTTCACTGTGTGTACTTGACAAGATGCCTGCTGTAACAATAAACGTGTCACGTGACACTAACCTATGTGTACACCTTTCTTTATAAACAAGTTGCCACGCAGGCGTATTAATATATATCTTGTAATGCGTGCGTAACATCGCGCAAGACAATCGATGCACGTATGTTGTATATAATTAGTGTGTCTGACCTCTGTAGCCACTGGAGCAGGGAGCGGTTCTCAATCTGTTGGTCACGTGAACCCCCGCACCCCGCCAAAGCCTTTTAGGGTGTAGTGGGGTGCATCCTGCGGCATGGACACCGTGTAGGATAAATGTCAAGTGCTTTCGTCTACGCAACGCTGCGGTGACACAACACGCGAATACACAACATGAAACACATGCCTTGCCAACACAAACCACACAAATACACAAAATGAAACACAGTGCCTTGCCAACACAAACCAGAAAGGGTAAACCCAATTCTTATAATTGGCACGTTTGTTCACGTGCGAACTTGATTAATTGGCCGTGTCGGGTGGAGGAGGATTTACGACACAATTTAATTACGCGATCTGAACAAACAAAAAAACAATTATGAATCAATAGTGTATTTTTTTAATACCGTTTTCGTCATTTATCTTAGCGTGTTTACAATACAATAATCTATGTATCAATCCGGAAATAAGTTGAATGTGTTATTTGTATTTTCCTCACAGTGACCGTCTTACAACTAAATTACATCAGATGCCTGCCATTTCCCTAATTTACTTTCTGAAAACCATTGAGTCTGGGTCACCTCCGATCAGTTTAAACGACTGGACATTAAATCTCATCCAAAGCTGTGGCCTCATCAATGGTTACCTCCAGTTTGTTTGACATTCCCCTTGTGGAGACAAATACAACTGGCAGACATTAATCTAGGAGGTCACGGGGCTGATGAATTACGTGTTCTTTGACTTGACAGACGAGGTAATCACCCTACCCTGGTATTCCATTATTATTGACAAAACCTGTAAAGGCCACCACATTCGGTGAAGAGGAAATCAGTTTGAGTGCAAGATATCAGCTAGACCAGGGATCGGCAAACCAAAATAACAAGAAGAGACATTTTTTAGAATTCGATAACAAAAATAAAATCAACATAAAAATAAAATATATGTGGGTGACTGGGAATTATGAATCCTTCACAACCAACGTGGAATAGGCAAACAGTGGCTGTGACTAAACACTTGACTGCTTTCGTCGACTGTATGGTATGAATGTTGGGGCGCCACGGTGGCTAGATGTTAACTACCTCGCCTGGTAAGCAGGAGCTCGTGGGTTCAATCCCGACACTGATGCCTGCTGTATTTTTGGAGTTTGCATGTTATTCCCACGGTCGCATGGATTTGTCTCTGGGTTCTCTGGATTTTCTCTCCACATTTAGAATCAACATGCGTTTAAGCATTTGGCTGCTATAAATTTCCACGCAATAAGCCACTTTGTTGAGCTATCATATGCTTCTGAACAAGAGCCATAGAGCTCAGTGGGCCTTACCTGGTCAAATAAAAAGTAGTTTAGTTTTAACTTATTTCGCATCTCGCACCGTACGTAGCCAACGGTCCTAACCGGAGGTGCGACTAGACTGCTTCTTCCGTCGCCCTGTAAGAGAACCACCGCAGTTCACGACAGCCCACAGATTGTATTTGTCACCGCCTGGGCCACTGCGTGTGGCTGAAATAGTAAATAAATCGCGGGCCTGCAGGAGCTGCTCGTGCGGCCCGTCGTGGACGAGCCTCGGGGTGCTGCTGCAGAGCGCCGTGTTCGCACGGCTCGACATGGCTTTCAGCAAAGTTTGGAGAGTGAAGTGCGCGCGGACGCTGAACCTCGTTCGCACCGTGCGTAGCCAACCGCGCTAATTGGGAAATGCCGCGGGCGGGGGAGGCACAACAATCTAAACACGAGAAAAGCGATTTAAAAGAAAAATAATTTTCAGTTCGAATTGCCACCACAACTTCGCGTGGATGACAGCAAGTCGTTAATCTACATCGCCCCCGTGCGTTTTCGGGATATATTTTTCTGCTCACAACATTTCCGAGGCGATGTCACACGTATTCCCAAAAGTGAACCGACCGTTACCACTATTATCGGCAGATTTTTTTTATTATAAATCTCCGACTACCAGCGGTGTGCAGAGATTTTCAAATTAAGGTGGTCTAGGATTGTGGCTTTCACGAGGCATGGAATCCGACTCAAGGTTGTCTCGAATGTCTTAACGGAGGTGGTGGTGGTGGTGGTGGTAAAAAATGAACCCGTAAAAACAAAGTTTTTCACTATAAATCCTTTATATGCGTGGCATCGGTTTTATTTTATATTCATTTCTGTTTTTCTTGAGTAAGAGTTTCATTTTTATCACATTGGTATTTTAAATTAAATATGAATGTTTTTTTTCCTAAAAAGTGGAAAAGAAATTGTCACGCACAACGAGTCTGTGTGCAAAATGTCAGCTCGATTGGATCACGGGAAGTGGGTTAAAAAACGATCGAAATATTTGCACGGTCGTAAGCGCGCAAGCAAGCAAGCAAGTGAACTTAATATAAAGGATTTAAAAAGTTGTCCTCTCAAACAAGGCTTCTTCTTGATAATAGGGTTTTCCCTTTTTTGTAGCAACAAAACAGGTGTTAAGATGTTAAAACACCAAACTCAAACCTTTTACAAGGAATCATGTCTGCATTAACCACAATACTTGTGGTCAGAATGCAAACAAAAAACATATTCTGATAATAAATGCATTGTCGTTGAAACTGATTGGTCCACACCAGAGACAGCTTCCTTTTGAGCCTCGTCTCAAACGGTGTTAGACCAGAGGACGCCAAAAGACATACAGCCCAAAAAAAGGGGAAAACCTATTATCATATTTTGGTCCTGGCAGAAGAGATCCCATGATGTAGATCAGGGGTGGGGAACATTTTTTCTGCCAAGGGCCATTTGGATATGTATGACATCATTCGCGGGCCATACAAATTATCAACTTCAAAATTAGCTCGTTATATTTGGTCAAACATTTTATTAACTCAACCCTAATGCGATGGCTGGAACTGCTTCTCTTTGGCGAGGCGTGTGATGATGTTAGCTGGTATTGATGATGCTCCTAGATTTATTGAATTTCGAGTCCCGCCTACGTTTGCCTTGGCAGGGCCAGACCACATGATTTTGCGGGCCTTATACGGTCCGCGGGCCGGACGTTCCCGACCCCTGATGTGAGATGCTCACCCCGAGCTCTCATTACTCTGATAGTGCATTGTCTTTGTGCTGTACGCCTTTTGGCGTTCTCGGGTCTAACAACGTTTTGAGACGAGGCTCAAAAGAAAGCTGTCTCTGGTGTGGACCAATCAGTTTCAAAGACAATGCATATATTTCGATTTAAAGCTTTCGTGACTGCAGGGATTAATATTCTTGGTTCTTTCGGTAAAGTCACGATTTTTATTATTGAATTGTTTCCCTTCTACGTGACTTTACCGAAAGAACCAAGACAATGCATATATTATCAGAGTATACTCTTTGATTTTTTCCTGATGAAGGAAGCTTGTGTTGCCTCCGAAACGTCGTGATTTTATTGATTGTTTTACCTACGTGACTTTACCGAAAAAAACAAAGAGTATGAATCCTTGCAGTCACGAAAGCTTCAAATCTAGAATATAATAGTATGTTTTTTTGCATTCTGACCACAAACATTGTGGCTAATGCAGACATGATTCCTTGTAAAAGGTTTCAGTTTGGTGTTTTAACATCTTAACACAGCTGTTTTGTTGCCAAAATTAGGGGAAAAACGTATTATCATATTTTGGCACTGACAGAAGAGGTCCCATGATGGCTTCTTCTTCTTGACTCGTGATCTCGGGAGACTAAAATAGCATCCAAGTAGCCCAAGTCCCTACCACTTTTAAATTATAATATATACGGTAAAATGGGGCAATATGGCAACTTATTTTTCGATGCAATAATTTTGACAAAATGTCGTTTTTTAGAAAAATACAAAAATTCATCTTTTTGCCACTTAATTTGTTGGCTACTAATTGCAATTTCTTCGCAGTGTTAACAAGTCGTTTACTCGCTGTAAGTGAGGCATATTACACCTAAAATAAGTCACATCTTTTTAAACGAAAGTAAAGCAACATGGTACTCGCCACGCAGTCGTCCTATCAAAACGTTGAATTTGTTTTCGATGAAAATGAACGGCATCCTTTAAAAGCTGCGTCATCCAAACTGCTAATCATAGTTACAAAATAGCTGAAGAAACTTTCCCTTATAATATTTTTAGGCTTACCATGTTTTTTTTCCATAATTTCAAATTAAATCTGCTTATCTGCGGTACACAGCACACTCCAATCGAATTAGAGCAGAGGCTAAATAATGAACGCATCAGCAGTGCCGACATCTGCCCAGCGTCTGGACGAAGTCGGCGTGAAACAAGCGAGTGACAGCGACGGTAGTCGTCACATGGGGCAGCAGCAGCAGCAGCAGCTGGAGAAAGTAATCACTGAAGACCCACGAAACAGAAGTGCCTAGGGCCCACAAGAACCTTAATCAGGCCCTGGTCCTTCCACCGCACCTCCGATTAGCACGGTTGGGTACTTTGCGGTGTGAAGGAAGTTCAACATTCGTGGACACGTGCGTCTGCGTTTTCGCGAGTGATCTGACTTTTTTAGGTCGAATGGTTGGGTGAATAAAATGGCAATGTGTGTATCGTACGTCCTCCTCCACCTGACATGGCGGAATAAATAAAGTTGTCACGTGATGAACTAACGTGTCTATGTTTATTGCTGTGTGCAAGCAAACGGAGGGAGTTACAATAACACCCTTCACGTCAGAAATGGTTTTATATAGAGTTTGTTTTTAATTGGGCAGAAATGTAATACTGTATGTTAAAAATCGACATTTGAAAATACTGAGAAAAATATGTCCAAAAAAAAGAATCAGTCGTGAAATATAACAGTGATAAAACATCAATATGCATTGGTTAACAAATTGAATTACAAAATGTCACTTTCCTTGTATCATAGATGACTAAGGGCCTCATTCCCACATCATCATCATCATCCGTGAGATCCTGAATTGAAGTCTCAACACACGGGATGCGCACGCCACTAAAGGTCAACCTCTTGACCAAGCCACCAACAGTCGCTCACGAATTACGAGAGGGTCGACCTCGTAGCTGAGAGGTCAGAGCGCTCAGCCGACACCGCCGACGCATTTGGCTCGAATCCGAGTCCATCACCAAATCAGTTTCTCGAGTGTAGCGAGGTTTTTGTCTCGGCAGACGCGGATACTTGACAAACAGATGGCAAATTAACACAACTCCGGCGTGTGCGGTGACTGTAGTCAGAAGAGTGGAACGTAAAACCACTCCATTGCCCGATTCACAAATAGGAAGGAGAGGCATCATCATCATCACGGCAGCAGCGACGCATCCACTCATATGCTCGTCACACAAGTATCTGCCTCATCAACCCCCGCAGTGTGAAATGTCAACTGTCGCTCGACATCGTACGAAAACTAACGATCTAAGCCTGACCATTAAATGCTGCACACGCAAAAATAATCACGTAACAAAAATATATAACTTAATATTTCAACATTCCAGCATTGAAAATGTATGTTGAACTTCTTTCGCACAGTACGTAACCAACCGTGCTCATCTGAGGGGTGGCTTATTGCAGTTTGATTGACATGTAACGAAAACTCCGCACGGCGGCACGCACAAATTGTACCACTCGTGTTTATATTTTTATTGTTTACCCAAGTCAGGAGGTTGTGCAGCTTGGACATTTGTTTGGATTCAGAGGGACAATAATCTAACCTTCAAAGCTGAAACCCACCGGAGAATCGGTAGAAGAACATCGTGATTCCTGAGTAGCCCTGCGGCTTCTGATGCAACACATTTAGCGTAACAATGGACAACTTCCTTCACCAACTTGATTTTTTCACAAGAGACTAACAAACGCCCGCTGTGTTTGCTCCCTTTGCGTAATATTTTTGGTCGATTTTTTCATCTCTCTTTAATCAATTCTGTTATCGTTTCATTTACGTGTCCATTTAAATAATATATATTACCTCGTGTTTAGAGCGGTACAACCTTTTGTTCTTATATATATATTTCTCAATGACTTGTCCACGTGTGTGAATGCGCGTGCATGCATTCGGTGTGTGAGTGTGTGTGTGAGTGAGTGTGTGTGAGTGTGTGTGTGTGAGTATGTGTGTGAGTGTGTGAGTGAGTGTGTGAGTGTGTGAGTGTGTGTGTGTGAGTGTGTGAGTGTGTGAGTGTGTGTGTGAGTGTGTGAGTGTGTGTGAGTGAGTGTGTGTGAGTGTGTGTGAGAGTGTGTGAGTGTGTGTGAGTGTGTGAGTGTGTGAGTGTGTGTGAGTATGTGTGTGAGTGTGAGTGAGTGTGTGAGTGTGTGTGTGAGTGAGAGTGTGTGAGTGAGTGTGTGAGTGTGTGTGTGAGTGTGTGTGAGTGTGTGAGTGTGTGTGTGAGTGTGTGTGTGAGTGCGATCGTCTTCCTCATGACTCCGCCGGTATTCTGCTTCTCTCGCTCGCCTCATACGGCGCGACTCAAGCGTATGCTTCTCGAGCTGAACAACGAAACAAAATCACATCGCGATTATAAATAATGACAAGGCAGCAAACGTGAACGATAACGCGGTCACGACATCGTACTTCAATCTGGCAAAGCCAGGACATTCATTAACCCCCCCCCCCCCCCCACTTAGCGCGAGAAGTGCTCCCAAGTGACGTCATCACATCTATAAGGAACGAAACGGGAGTATTTCTCCACAAATCTGGCTGTTGCCTGATGAAGCTGGCTGTAATTACTAGCGAAACGTCGTACTCAGATTATACATGTTGTGTGTGGCTTTGCTCTCCAACACACCGGTGTGCTGAACTAGTAACGAATTGGCACGTTCTGTTTACGTGACAAACCTTACTATTTGGCTGTGTCAGGTGGTGGCGGGTTTAACGACACATTTATATTTTTTATGCGATCTTAATAAAAAAAAAACCTCTATTATGAAACACACTGAGACAGCCGACGTTTTGGTAGAGGATTCGAAACTCGCTGAAAAATGCGTGCATAGGGCGCACACATTGGGCGTGTTGCGTGTGACCCTGACTCTGTGAATAAAATGTCAGAGGTGGACAAATGGCTGAGGTCAGAGCACTGAGCTGGAATCGATGAGATCCTGGGTTCGAACCCAGGTAGCCAGCCGCCTGTACAGTAATTGAACAGGGTTCCTGTGCATAGCAAGTCGGTCGTCTAAGCTCTGTGGCAGATCCGAATTCTCCGTCTCATGCCGTGACCCCCAAAGCACAGTCGCGATACAATCGGGGACAAAAATACATAACGTGCAGAGTTTAAAAAATTAACCCGTAAAAACAAAGTTTTTCACTATAAATCCTTTATATGCGTGGCATCGGTTTTATTTTATTAATCATTTCTATTTTTCTTGAGTAAGAGTTTCATTTTTATCACATTGGTATTTTAAATTAAATATGAAATTTTTTTTCCTTAAAAGTGGAAAATTTTGGAAAAAGATTTTCACGAAAATAAATTGTCACGCACAACGAGTCTGTGTGCAAAATGTCAGCTCGATTGGATCACGGGAAGTGGGTTAAAAAACGACCGAAAGATTTGCACAGTCGTAAGCGTGCAAGCAAGCAAGTAAGCGAACTTAATATAAAGGATTTAAAAAGACCAAAGGTTCCAGTGAAAAAATAGGAATGCATTTAAAAAAAATATATATTAAAAAAAAAAAACTTACCGGCCCGTGCATCTTGACAAAACTTTTGTGGTCACAAAGTAGATGGCGATGGTAACGAACACGAAGACGCACATCAGCGCTATGGAGATGCCGATAATGGGCCCCTGCTCAGACTTTGCCGCCGCTCCCCCGGTCGATGTGGCTGTCGATCTCAGGAGCACCGTGCCCATTGACGTCGCTCGACTCTCGCTCGGGCTCGCCGAGGCGTCGGTCGCGGCGAACGCTTTCGTGTCGATTTGTCTGTCCGCCGCGACCGTGGTTGGGTCGACTCCCGCGGTCGCTCCGCTCTCCACGGCGGCGGTGGTGTTGGTGGTGGTGTTGGTGGTGGTGTTGGTGGTGGTGTTGGTGGTGGTGTTGGTGGTGGTGTTGGTGGTGGTGTTGGTGGTGGTGTTGGTGGTGGTGGAGGAGGTGGCGTTGGTCAGGTCGGGGACGCTGCTTGGCGCTGTCATCTTGGGAGTTGAAGTGATGGCCCCTAGGAGGGTCGTCGTTTTGTTGAGCGGCGCTTTTGAATCCGGGACGGCGGCGGGGATCCTTCCTACAGTGACCCAAAGACAGGGGAGCAAACATTGTTCATGATGATGATGATACGGTATGTTACGTTTATAAACCCTAACCGTTCTACAAGGTACTCACATGGTCAATTGAGTCTCGGTGTGGTGGTCAGAACTGGAAATGGGCCGTAACGACCCAGAGACGCCGTGGTGGTAGTGGTGATGGTGGCAGTGACTTTTTATCTCGACTGCATCATTTAAGAAGGAACCAGGGTCAAGTGTTGTGGCGGACAGTGTCGGTGCAGGTACAATATTTGTACTGTGGATGTAGTTCGCAAATGTCCGTCTGTGGGTGTATGTATGGATGACCACCGTGCGTACATAACAGGCAGGTGCAAGGAGTATGTGGGCAGTGCAGGACAGTGCTCTGCACTCCTCACATCTCCAATAGCCCGCACTGACCAGCGTGGTGAAGTATGGTCAAAATATCGCAGCAAAGGATTGACAAAACAGGCTTGTACATGCACATATCAGATTACTTTTGGCGGCAATGAAAAGACACCGGTTCTGGTTTAGATGTGGGACACCGATCGTTTGCGTGATTTTTTTTACTTGTGTAAAGACGACTTGGACGCACTTGTCTTGAGATGGTTCCTTTATTTGATATTTTTTTCTTTAACTCCTCTATACCCGGTCGATATCCCTGTACCGGTACTAAGTATTATTCCTACCAGCCCACCCCGCAGGGTCCTGTTTTGAGGAGCCACGTTCTCACACTGGAACTGGCGGAGTCCCCCACTGCAACAGCCCCGAGTCCCCCGCGCATCTCCCTTAAATACGGTCCGAGGCCACGCCCCCATTCCCGAACTTTCTTGCTGGTTCTAGACGCTCGTTCTACCAGCAGACTCGACTGTCTTCTTTCTAAGGGTACTGCAAGCTGACTCCACTGTCATTACCTCCCGTGGCCACTAGTCCACTCGCACCGTAGGCTGACTCCCCTGTCATTAACTCCCGTGGTATTTATGTACAGCCCCGTAAATAAATATTGTGATGTATGCTGAACTGGCACCGTACGTAGCCAACCGTGCTTATTGGAGGTGCGGGTATCTTCCTAGGGAACTGAGGAACGGAAGAATAAGAAGCTACCGTGGAGCCAAACGTCAATCACCAAACAGGATAACACGTGGGGATAAGTTCCGAAAAACACACCACATCGCACCGAGTGTGCTTAGTTGGTGTAGAGGGAAAAAAAAACCGCAAGAACCGTGCACCAAACACAAGCCGGAAAATTTCGGCTGGCTCCGGGCTGCGTAAATATCCTCCTCCACTTCCTCCATCCATCCCTTGCCCATTGTTCCTGCCCGCGATAAAGCGCCCGTGCGGCCGAAACTGTGCAGCGTGCGCGTGGGCACGCGCGTTGTGTGCGTACGCGCGCGTTTGAGAGTTACACCTGTGGGAGGAGGAAGGAGGGGGGGTGGCGGAGGGGGGGAGGAGGAAGAGGGGGGGAAGTGGGGGGGGGGGGGTTGCTCGGCCCCCCAGCCGCGTCACCCACCCACGAACAGGTCGACCACGGTGCCGGGGGTCGACGCGCCCGCGGTGTCGTTCCCGGGGGCCGCCACGCGGCACGCGTAGCGGCCCGCGTCCTCCGGCCTCGCCCGCGCGATCGCCAGCCAGGCGCGACCCTCCGACGCTTGCCACGTGCACGCGAAGCGGCCCAACGGCACCGACTTGTTGTTGTTGCTGCCGTTGTTGTTGTTGATGCAGGGCACCGGCTGGAGGGCAAAGAGGCGAACGTCACGCGAGATGGCGGCACCACGGTGGCGAGGAGATCCTAACTACCTCGCCTGGTGTGCAGGAGGTCGTGGGTTCGATCCCGACCCTGACGCCTGCTGCTGTATATATTTTGAGTTTGCGTGTCTCTCTCCCCGTGGTCGCGTGGATTTTTCTCCGGGTCCTCCGGTTTTTCCCTCCCCATTTTGATTCAAAAGTGCGTCTAAAGGTATTTGCCTGCTATACATTTCCACGTGATAAAACCACAGCTCTGAGCTATCATTTGTTGCCGCTGTGGGGGAAAAAACCACAACTACAATAAAAAAAATCGAATTCCTTCAATCGCCATGATGAGGCAGGCACATTTTTTCCGCTCCCAGTAATGGCCCAGTGGTGGCTATACTCAAGTCAGGGAATGGTATCAGCCTGACGGCTCGTCTGGTCTGGTCTTCTTATTCTTTCGTACGGCTGATGTAGACGCAGCGCAACGGCTACAGTTTTACATTTCAGGTTGGTCAAGGCAGACAGACACACCAGGAGCAGCGGAGTGTGTTCCTTATCTCTTAACGGAATTTATATAGCGCCTCAAACCAAGGCACTTTACAAAGAATTAACAACGGCACTACGTTTGAATGTAACGGTGGAGATGGAATGGATGAGAGGAGGCAATTTGGTGGCAAATCTGCGACGCGTGAATTCGGTGAAAGCGAAATTGATGACAGCAAATGATGACGAATGGATTGAATGAACAGGGAATGAGTGATCGCCATATCACGAGAATATGAAGAGGGAACAGTAACGGTGGTTAGTGACGAGGGGGAGATTAAGGGGGTCGTGGGGTTAGCGAGGGAACAACAAGCGAGTTTTGAGTGCAGAGTGGAAACTAGTGAGCAAAGATGACCGCTTGATGTGGAGAGGGAAGTTTGTTCCAGTGAAGAGGGTAGAGAAGATAGAAAGAGCAAAAGCGCGGATTGAGCACCAGCTGGAGGAGAAAACAGAGAGGAGACAGCAAAGATTGCGAATGTGGAGGGCGATAAATTCAGTGTGTTGAACAATTGCGGCAGAGCATCCTTGACGCGTGTGACACCGTGACCTCTGACACCATTTGCCGTGTGCTTGCTGACGGGTATCTCGTCTGGAGTTGTGTGTCAGGAACAATGCTGGATGCATCGAGCGCGTTCCGTCAATGAAAGCGTTATTATTGCCTTGTTGGTATTATTGTTCCCATGATTCCCGACGCATGAGACACTCTGTAAGTCAACACACGCGTATATGAAACAGTCGCTGCAACGTATGCACCATACCCCGTAGCGCCTGCCAGCGAATGCGCCGTGTCCTGCAAGCGAGGCACTGCGGCAGTCACGGAGACGTCATTCACAAGCATAGCCCCTTGTGTGCTGGGATCAAACTATAAACTACAACTTAACGAGTTTTATTTGACCAGGTAACACCCCACTGAGCTATTCGGCTCTTTTTCAGAAGCCACCTGGCCACAAATAGCTCATCGAGGTGGCTTAGCACGAGGAGATGTGTAGCAATGGCAAATACTCTAAACGCGTGTTATCTAAATGTGGAGGGGAAACCCGCGGGAGCCGGAGAAAAATTCACGCGACCGCAGAGAGAACACGCAAACTCCAAATATACAGCAGGCGTCAGGGTCGGGGTCGAAACTACCACCTGTATGTATAGCAGGCGGATCAGAGTACAACATGCCTTGACCTCTGAAGCCTCACGGAGTCTCAGAACTCTTTCAGTCAGAGTTCTGCCGTTCATGTTTGGCTGGCAACTTCCGTTATTGATCGCTTTACGCATCTGAGAAATACTCGGACCCGGATAAAGCGCACACGCATAAGGGAGCACTCAACCCCCCCCCCCACCCCCCCGAACGACCTTCCCAACACCTACTTGCTGTTCTGTTTCCGAGCAAAAGCTGTTTCCATAGGTGAGCGCTGTCACGCGCTTGATGAATCGCGATCCACACGAAGTCACGCTAGATTACGGGAATGCGTATGGTTCTCACACAATTGAAAATAAAGGCTTAGTTTCTATAAACTTTAAAAAGATGTGTTATCTTACCAGGGAAGGCCCATTGAGCTCCATAGCTCTTTTTCAGAAGCGATCTGGCCACAACTGATAGCTTATCACGTGGAAATGTACAGCAATGCCAACTACTCTACACGCTTATTTATAAATGTGGAGGGGGAAAAAACCGAAGGACCCGGAGAAAAATCCACGCGCTCACGGGGAGAACTTGCAAACTCCAAATATCCAGGCATCGTCAGGGTCTGGATCGAACCCACGACCTCCCGTAAACCAAGGGAGGGAGTTAACATCTCCTAGCCACCGTGGCACCCACCTGGAAGAGAGCTCATTATTTTTTTACGATCCAACATTCTGAAGTGCCTTTCAGCATGGCTGTGCGAAGAGTGCTTTATCATGAACAAGCGCACGTGTCCGGCGGCGGGTGCCATCGCCTCTGAGATCTTGTGGGCAGTGGTGTTTCAGACGTTGGGAATTATTGATGAGTGGTGGGCTGCCGTTGGTGGCAAATGCAATCTGTAGAATCTCACGCGACTTGGACGGCTCATGCTTTCCGAGACAGAACCGCCCACCCCACCCAACCCAAATAAAATTACTCCTGCGGTATTACGCAGTGAAAGCAATCTCGAAGTCTCATAAGTCCCACTCACAACGGTTGTCGTGCGTTGAAAGAATCAGAAAAGCAAACTCGGAGGGGAACGTGTGTCGGTGTTGCCGCTCCGGTGTGTTTCCTCTCGGCGCTGGGGCACATTAGTTGCGTGGAAGGCAGCAAACATTAATTATGAAAAGTCCCTCGATGCGCATTTGATGGAAATGCCCGACAACGCTACGGTACAACGAGTCTGAAGCCGTTGTGACATTTGCTCGGAATGATGGCTCTGTGATGGTTAAAACCCCCCCTCCCCCCCAAAAAAACATGAAAAAGCTGTTACAAATAAATGCACACCCACGTTGCATTATTAATTACGGGGAATTTTTTCGAATGGACATCAATAAACAATGGGGGGAAACATTGCGGTGGAGATTAAAGTCGGGTCATGGTCAGAGTTAGGGTGGAGTTGCAACATGAGCGATGGTTGCGACATGGATGGAGAATGCGGAGTTCATCTGGGGCACGGTTCGGTTCAACGCTGGAATTCGGCTCAGTGTCAGGCGCACTGTTACAACTCGGGTCAAGGTAGCAATTAAGGTTCGTTAAGGAGGTTATCTATATATGTTTTAAATGTGACACACCGCACACGGAACATTCGATTCGAATACATCTTCGGACTCAAATTAAATCCATGCAATATGTTTGTACCCGTTCGTACGTCTACTACGTGTGCATGATACACGATTATCAATGCGCAGATTTGACGGTGCAGCGTGCCGCCTTTCCAAGCACGTAAAACGAATTCGAAATGCACCAGTCACGTCGGGGAAGAATTCACTTAATTCAAGCTTACGGTGCAAGAACCGCAATTCATCAAATGCAGCGGCATAGCAGCGCGACTCAACTGCGTGGTCGCTGAAGCGTGAGTAGCCCCGCCAACGCAGAAGCATGCGGTTACGTGCGTGCGTTGTACAATGCGAGTTTTGGCAATGCCGTGCCACCGCTGCCCACAAAGTTTCTTGGTAATGCGATGACGGAAAATTTCGCCCCCTTTTCCTCCCTCCCTCCTCCTCCTCCTCGCCGCTCCCGTGGATGACGAGCGTCGCGCCGGACGCGGCGTCGACGCGGGGAGTCGTGGGACCTCGCGCGGGGCCCGCAGGCTCGGGGAACGCTGCGGCCACCACTCGCTCACTCGCTCCTCGCTGGCGAAAGTCAAATCGAGTGAGGCGTCCGTGCGTCCGCCATTCCTATCGGCAGCGTGGTTAACGTTGGATTGTCAATTTGACACGCAGAAGGCTTTCGCGACCAATATCGTCCATAATAGAGGTTTTTTTTTTGGGTTAGATCGCGTAAATATATAAATGTGTCCTTAAACCCGCCACCATCCGACACAGCCAACTCGTAAGGGTTGTTACGTTAACAAACCGTGTCAATTCGTTACTAGTTCAGCACACCGGTGTGTCGGAGAGTAAACCCACACCATACAATGACTTTCCTATGCAAGTAAAAGATTTGTGTTTTAATATTTACGTGTTTTTTAAAATGTAGGGCCCCTTTATAACACACGCTACAGGCCCCGCACTAGCTTAACCCAGCGGTGCTGACAACCACCACAAGTGCGGGCAGCCGTAGCAGTCGGGCATCTCCTTCTCGCGAGCCACTTTCATTCGATGAGAACGAAAACCTCCCCGCCCTCTCTCCTTCCCGCTCCTCTTTCTCCAGTCACCCACCACTGTCCCACCCCTCCTACCCCTCCATCAGCTCCAGGACGCCACCGCACTCAAGCAATCTCACTAGCGTGTTCAAAATCGTTTAGCTTTACTTTATTACTGTCTTTGTTTAAATAGGCTGTTTTTTGTTACTCTCTTTAACACGCGTATGGTAGTGTTGTACAGAGAATATGTAGACTGCAACCAGTGGAATATGTGGACGAGCTGTCGATAACGTGCTTTCCTTAACCCCAACCATTCCCTTGATTTCTCATGGGGAAATGATTACCTTGAATTTTACGCGACTTTGAGTCACGCGCCGTTTTCAGGAACACAACCCCCCACCGACGCGTGAAACGAGGGACAGCTGTACCGTGATTGGACAGAGGTTGTGGGCAAAAGATTTGCAAAAACGTGGGCTTGCCATGCATGGGAGGAGACACTTTGCACAGGACGGGACAGGGAGGGGGTGGGGTGCAAGGGACGAAGGCAGCGATAATGCACAAATCGAGCATAATCTTGGTGCCACTATGTGAAGAGTACAACGGAGTTTCATGATTGTTTTGTTGTTCCTGTAGTTGTTGTTCTTGTAGCAAAGGCTGGCGTTAGTTGTCGTCTTTCCAAGCACACCCTCCGATGAGCACAGTTGGCTACGCACGGTGCGAATTAAGTTCAACATACTGGTCGGCGCGGTGGCGAGATGTTAACTACGTCGCCTAGTATACAGGAGTTTGTAGGTTCGATTCCGACCATGGCGCCTGCTGTATATTTGGAGTTTAAGTGTCTCTCTCTCACCGTGGTCGCGTGGATTTTTCTCCAGGTCCTCCGATTTTCCCCTCCACATTTAGAATCAACATCACGCGTTTAGAGTATGTGGTTGCTGTACATTTCCACATGTTAAGCCACTTCGTTGAGCTATCATTTGTGGCCAGGTCACTTCTGAAAAAGAGCTATATATAGATATACATACACTATCCTGGCAAGGGCTGTAAAAAAATCTTTAAGTACAAACTTTATCCGGATAATGTCTTGAAGTAAATCCAGCCTTTTCTACGACAACAATTACGGAACTCCTTGCACTGATTACATTGGAATTGATACTTGCTCGTGCACGTAAGTAGGCGAGTGCCTTCTGTCGTTTTAACCAACGCCGATAGCGGCACGGTCCCTCCAGAGAATCCACAGTCGCCAATGTGAACGAGCCGCAAGGATATAGGGCCCGCGTCAGTGTAACAACTCACAATGTCCTGGTCCCGTTGAATGTGCCACTTGACCTCTGACACGTCGGTCATCACACTGGGGTTATATCCACAGGTGAGGGTGGCCGTCTCCCCTTCCGACACGTTCACCTGCTGCAGCAGGCCAGGGCTGTCCTGTGCTCGCGCCACTGTGAGAACAGAGACAACACACACACACAAACAACAACAACAATGCCACCCTGCATTCAACAACACTGGCGTGGAAGGTGGCAGCAGCCGTCGTCACGTGGCCCACTCTGCTAAGCGAGAAATCACGTAGCTCGTGACTTCACCAACCGAACATCGCGCTCATCGCACACAGAGCGCTTGCGCGATACCTTGCCGATCTCGTCAAGGAGGATAAACCACCGTCAGTCGAGGCCCGATCAACATCCTCGTAGCGGCGGCGGCTTTCGGCGAGCCGTCGAACAAAGACTAAAGTTGGGTCGTGGTCAGAATCAGGGTGGCGTTACAATGTGAGTTATGGTTATGCCATGGATGGAGAGAACACGGTCATATCTGGGGCGTGGTTAAGTTCAACACTGGAATTTGGCTTACCTCCAAGGGGGGGTACTGTTACAACTCGGGTTAAGGTTGAAATTGAGGCATCGCACGCTTTCAGATGCGCTTCGGCGGCCGTCTGGAACGCTCTTCCTGGAGCTATGCACTTTTAAATTAGGATTGAAAACGCATTTCTTTTAGAACTGATTTTTGTGGGTTAAGTTTGTTGTCCTTCGCCCGTACCCCGATTAGCACGTTTGGCTCTGTACGGTGCGAAAGAAGTTCAACATGCACACGTACATTACTGAGCTTTTAAATGTAAAAATATGCATAACAGGCAGGCGGGAGTGCCTGTGAAGTTGTGTTAAGGGGCCGTCCATAAATGACGTCACGCACCTGGGGGGGGGGGGGGTCAGACATTTGTGACGATGTGTGACGAGGGGGGGGGGGGGGGTGAGAAATGTGACGTCACGTCAAAATGCGCAACCTTTAATAAATATAGACAACACGTTCTACTTAATTAAATATACTTTTTAATAAATGTTTTCTCCTACAACATCAGAGTGCAGCGCCACATAAAATACGCACGACAATGACAATAGTTTAAAGCGATTGAACGTCGTGTGCCGTCTGCGATTCAAGCCGAGGCGCGTCGTGGTTGGTCCCATCCAGTGCCGGATTAATTATCGTTTAGCAAAATTAGCTACACATGTAATAGCTACTGCACATGTAGTAGCTACACATGTAGTAGCTACGGGCCCCGCACTTTCAAGGGCCCCGCGCCAAATGCTTTCAAGCTGTCAATTCCGGTTCAGTGATTGTGCACTTGCTCTATTACCATAGTACTATACTGCCTTCAACTTTTATGAACGACTGGGTGTTTAAGGTTAGCGATTTGTCGTATTATCTGGCTGTCTAGCAAATGAAAAGAATACAATTACTTAATCATGCAAGTTAATAATTTGTGTTTTAATATTTACGTGTTTTTATTTAGGGCCTCTTTACAACACATGTTACAGGCCCCGCACTAGCTTCATTCGGCACTTGCCTCCGACCAATCAGAGGGGCCGCGCGGCACGCGTCACGCGGCACGTGACACGGACACGACTCACGTGGGGCACGTGCCCGGGTGCGCGACCACTCCGTTAACTGCCAGGACGCGTTTCCTCCACAAGAGTGGATGTTGGTGAGAGCCAAATGTTACTTGTAAAAACAAACCTGTCCGAGGTAGCGTGCGTCTCAACGTAATTCATTAGGAGGGATGACAAGCATTTACTTTTATATATGTAGATGGGGGGAGGGGGGACAAAAACGCCTGCATATAAATACAAGTTTTCACAAAATTACTCAAATGAATAGCTCGTGAAGATAACGCGACTTCTTTTTAAAGGGAAATGTGATTCAATTGAACAAGTGGGGAATGCTGTATACTGCTGAATTTTACGTTTGGCCAAATACTCGACGAGGAAACAACGCGAGAAACGTTCTAACGAACGTGTTATACGTTGATCTTGAGTCATTATATTTTGTCTGGGAACATTGCTTGGTGCGAGAATTACGTTGCATCAGCAATTTGAACAATGTGATTCAATGGACATATTTAACGGGTCCTTATTTGGTAAAAAAAAATACAATGGATCGAGCTCAATGGAAGGAATGTCATGGTCGCTGGTGCCTTTGAGAAAGGGCATGGCTCGCAATGAATTCAGTCGACCCTCTTGCGATGAAAGCGTAGAAAATAGTCAAACCTGTCAACCCCTTATCAGTGCCCGACCTTATTACAGACCAATTCAGACATTATTATTATTCACCCCGTGCCATTATAAATCTCAAGTTTCATCCGACAACGTTCCACCACAAGGGAGAAATACAAACAAATAGACAAATAGATAATTTTATACACGTATTGAAACGGTTGTACGCCGTATGGACATGAAAATTCAATTTCCCTGTACAAGTATACGGGGTAAACCGTATGGGTTGACAGCTATTTAGAGTTAACCAACCGCTTGGATTAACTGAACACCGCATCTGCTTTTTAACAATAATTCAAACGGATAAGAAGGTATCGTTTTTGAATATAAAAATTGTTTTTAACTCACCGTAGATCAACGACAGGGCCAGTGCGATGGCAGCGAAGAGACTTTGCGCCGACATTCTTCCTCGAGATGAAAGACGACGTTTACGAGGACACCCGGCGGAGAGGAAACGCGGGGACCCGAGGACGGCTGGAGTTTTAAGAAGACGCGCAAGAGTGTGTGTGTGTGGCTGCCGTGCAATGCCACTTGCAAGGAGTGTGTGTGTGTGTGCGCGCGTGCCAGGCGAGAGGGAAATGGGTGTTTTAAGGGGAAGGGAAACTTAAGAAAGCGAGAGAGAGGGAGCGAGTGTAAGTGTGTCATCACTTGAGGTTCGACCACACAAGTGAGTTAACGGGTGACCGCTATTTTTAATCGCGTGTAACGCCCTTTGGGGTTTCTGCTGGGGCGTAACGCTTGCAAGAGAGTGCCCGAGAGAGCGAGACTCCTATTTTCCTGTCACCATTGTTAAGTTGGTAGAAAATGTGAACGCATGCGCGCTAGCTTCTCGAGACCCATTGTTATGGTCGTTGTTGTCATGATTCACAATTGTTGTGTTGTTGTTGTTGGGGGTCACATCGGCCACGTTGAGTACATCGCTGATGTGTGTCGTACGCCCTCCTCCACCCGGACGCGGCCGAATGTATTAAGGTTGCCACGCGCTGGAGAGAAATCCACACACTTTTAACAATTAGGTAGATTTATGAAGCATGGCGGACAGTGGTTACACGTTTTCAATTTGGATGCAATAATATCCCCGCTGTGCTGTGTGGACATGACAGCGCAGCTCCACGTCTTTGGAACGCGGTGCCTCTAACAATGAGAATATTAATAAATATTTAAATCTGCCCTGAAAAGTAACGTCTTTAAAATGTCCCGTTTCCCCATAATTGTGGGTCGTTTAGGCTATTGGCTCTGTCTCATTTCCCTGCTTCCATACACGGTGGCGCATTTGGCATCTTTGGATTAAATGCGCCTTACAAATCTAAAATCATCATTATTATGATGACTTTACCTTGTAGCAAACGCGAACCGTTGAAGGAATATCATCTTGATCTCAGTGCAGTGCATTACTCACCACGGCGCCACGTCCAACGCGAACCGCCGTTTCCCTCCATCCGTTGGTGATTCATCGCACGCAGAGGGCTACCATACATGGGGCTGCCAGTAATGGGCACATTTTTCAGACCCCAAATTATGCATTTGTGTCCAGGAGGAGGAGCAGTGGTGTGAGCACACTGCAGCTGTGGGCCTGGTTGCGACCAGAATGTCAACTAGCTCGCCTGGTATGCAGGAGGTCGGAGGTTCGATCCCGACCCTGACGCCTGTTGTGTACAGGGTGCTTCAAAAAAATGTTAACACTCCTGAGTGTTTGCAACAATAGCACGAGAAATGTGTCCTCCGGTGCTCTGGAAACCACCTGGAGAAGATTGCAGGCACGTGTTGACAAGTGGAGACTCTTTGAAGCTGTTAACGTACATTTGTTATCATGTTACAGTGTATTATCCGTTCTTTTTCCATTATAAACGATAGTCCCATGTAAGTGTTAACATTTATTTGAAGCACGCTGTATTTGGAGTTTGCACGTCTCTCTCTCCCCGTGGTCGCGTGGATTTTTTCTCAGAGCCCTCCGGTTTTTCCCCTCCACATTGAGAAACGTGCCTTTAGGAGTATTTCACTGCCATACATTTCCACGCGGGAAGCCCACTGAGTCGAGCTATCATTTGTGACGGCTTCGTCGCTTCTGGAAAAATATTTCCAAAGTTCAGTGCGGCCTTACCTGGTAAAGTAAAAAGTTGAGTTGAGTAACATCAGCGGCGAGTGATATCTCAACTACAGCTCTTGGCGCGCATCTATCACCCGGCACATTGACCATTGTGGTGAAGTATGGGCAAACAACCCCCATGAATAACAGTGTGGAGGAGCGGGGGGGGGGGGGTCTTCTCAAACAGTGGGCTTACAGAGGACTGTAAATTAGAATTGTATCGCTCATAATTAATACTTCCCAAACATTAGCGCGTGAAGGCATTCAGATATTTCATAATGAAAATGTACATTTCTACAACGTCCCAGTTTTTTAAAAAGTTGAACTTTCTTTCTGCACGTTTTCCGACGAAAGCTGCGGTGTCGGCTTCCAACCAGAGACACGCTGCCCGACGTCACAGGTCGGTAGGCACGTGTCCTTATCCACAGGGCCTCGTATTGCCATTCCACTGGGTTGGACCTGTCTGCACATTGTTTAACGGTGACATCGAGGTCACGAGGTTATCACAACCGACGCCACTAAGAGCGCCACACCCGCCACACACACTTCCTTCTGCTGGATCAGGGTCGGGGAACCAACCGCTCCCTCGCCCAAGAGAACAATCCGATAAATTCGAGGTGCCACACCTCAGCGTTATCCATAAAAGGCCGTACATGTTGTCGCGCGGGAGCTCGCGTTTACCACAGCGACAGAATCGAAATATTGTACGGAGTTGCAAGCTAGAAAAAAATATTCACTCCCCTCTCGTGCCCAATTAGCGCTGCGGATAACATTTTTGTTTTCACGGCGACCGGCAGATTCGGAAGTAGTAGGCCCCGAGTAGGCCACAGGCCACGTGAAGTCGTGCCAGTAGTCTGGCCTGCTCTCCCCGCACATCTCCGATTAGCACGGTTGGCTACGTACGGTGCGAAAGAAGTTCCAACGTACAGTCCGTGCTTCTAAAACGCGTGTTTTCATCACGCGATGCATGCATTCGGGATACAATTTTTAAATAAATGATATATTTACAACGCGGATTCGAATTGGATATAACACGATCGAGTGAACGGGATTGCGTCGCACGAGTAGCAATAGGCGGTCGTACGGCCTCCGCGTAGCATCTTCACACGAGGCATTGGGATGCCGCTTGATGCTTCGAGATGCTACTCACGCGCCTCAGTCTTTGTTCGGCATGCGGTACGCACCTCACGTGTTATCGCCGACTGTGCTTTACCCCGATACTATATATTAGTACGCGATGTTTCCATAACGCGGTGTTCTTCCGGGACGCATCTACCGCGATATAGAACAGGCTGTACACACAAAGGCCCTCCACCCCTGCGACAAATTCTGTAGTTGTGCTGGACAGTGGATACCTCCCGATCTCCCAGGGTTCCAACTCTTATAATATTCCACTATCTGCCTTCGGCTCTTCTGTTATATTGCTGACCTCTGGATGCCACTGTCAGAAAACCGCACTCCATCATCCTGCGCGCCGAACCCCACCCGTCAAAGCCTCCTCCCTGCCTCTTCCTGATTTGCGTCTACGTTGAGAGCGCTTTCCTGCCACCCGCCCCTCGTCGAACTTCCAAGGCCCTAATGCTGTCATGAAATTCCTGGCATCCTTCCGCATACTTTATATTTAATAGCCAGAAGCTTCTTTCCCATATATGCACTCCGAATCGTGCGTGAACTCACTACGCCTGACCATTGCCGTTCCTCCTCTCTCCCGCACTTTACATTCTTCCAGATTTATTTTATATTCGTATTTAGTCTTTAAGAAAAACTCATCGTGCTAAATACAGTGTCAGCTCTTTAGCTTCTCACAATCCTCTGTATGATGCACATTTTCAACAACCTTCACATCCTCCACACACTAACAACTGATGTCTAACTGACTGTCTAGGCAGCAGTGAGTGGCCCATTTAAAATCGACTATTAATACATTAAGATTAATACATTTTGTATGCATTTGTTTTGCTTTGATGGGGCCCATAGCTCACGTGCATGGATCCTGCCAATAACATCTGGCACCCATAACAAGGGAATTTGGTTTAAGAGGCTTGACTCTGCTGACGAGCTGGCCTGCTGAAACGCATTATGCTCTGAGACATTCGTCCGGAAGGCTCATTGCCTGTTGAGGTGTACATGGATGTTCGGATATTTCAGACAAAGTTCAGCAATAGTGCGTGTTTAGTGAGTTTCCGTTGTAGCACGAGTAACTACCCATGGCGCAGCGTGGGAGGGCAGTAGAGGTGAGGATGTAATGAATGGGAACAACACACACACACACAAAGTAAGAAATAATAATACGAGGAAAACGCTGACAAAGGAACGGAGAAAAAAGCTTGCAAAGGGACAGCAGAGATGAGGAGAGGGAGGAGGAAAAGGCGACGTTAGGGCGTCGACGCTGCTGCACGGAGCGGCGTCTGTTTTCACAGGGGGCGTGGGTAGAAGCGGGTGGGAAAGGAGGGGGGTCAAAGTGGGGGTGGCCACACAGAAGCCACGTGATTCACGGTAAGCTTGAGCTGATTTACATCGATACAGCTGAAAGGTGCTGAGTTTAAACTTGGCTTGGGCGATGCTCGAGTGGATGGGAAGTGGATGTACTTGAGGCGGGCTCATTGCCGAGTCTGTGACGGCTCTGTAAGAAGCGTGGACTTGTTTACGGGGAGAGCAACGTCAAATGAGAAAAGCTTTTAAAAAAAAAACGTGGCAGGTGAAACGTCACGAAGGAGAAAGAGGAGGATAAAGCCCTCGCCACCAGAGCTGTCCCCAAAGAGCAGCTTGGAGGCGATTCCTCACGCGTACATCGAGTCGTCATCGCCTGCATCAAAAAACCAAACAAACGAAAAATACCAAGTGCCAAAACGCAAAGCGGAATAAGTAAAGGGTGCAATTTTCTCGTCGGCCGTGCATTCCGCTGTAGCTCTCGCCACCCACGAAGGTTACGTGAGGAAAGGCTGCTCCGACAACGTTTCTGGTTTTTTTTTCTTCCATCCATCACATCCCACATCTCCTGCCCTCCCACGCTGCGCCATGTGAACACAACAGTTGCTCGAAGCTGCGACAGAAACTCATGAAGCAAGCACGAATGCTGAGCTTTGTAGGAAATATACAAACGTCCATGTTCACTTAATTTATTCTTTTCTCCTTCAACAGCCAATTCAGTCAAGCGGACTCATGCCTCGCGTTTCAGCAGGACAGCTGATCAGCAGAAGTCAAGCTTCTTAAACAATTTTTTTGGTTTCCTGTTGAGAGTACAAAAGAGTGGCTCCCGTCCTTATCTGCAGCATCGCCCTTGAGGTGTTGCCTGATGCCGTCTGAGATGTCACGAGCAGCAGTCAACAACTCACGATGGAGAAGCGGAAGAGCGACGGAGCAAGAGAGACAAACACGGAGGCAGAGGAAGCAAGAGCCAGGGCTACCGACGCCGGAACCCAAAGGACAGGGCAGCTACAAAGACCAAGATACCTCCGTATAGCCTGACCAGACTGTTGGGGCAAGTGCTGTGAGCGAGCACCCGTGAAGGCCGGCACGGCACAAGAGGCGGTGGGTGGCCAGCACCACGCCCGACCGCCTTTGTCAACCTCCGTGAGGCCCATGACGGGTTGAAATATTCGACGCTGATATTAGTCCTTTGCGGGAATCGAACTCGGTTGGCTGATTTAGTGGCGCAGTGCCCTAACCACGGCGCCACCGCTCCAGGGCAGCTACAACACGCGTGCCACCTGCTGTGCGTGGCGCTGCACAGCAACCACGCATCTTGAGACCCTGAGAGCACGTGGCGATGGGATTCTCTTGGCGAGGGTTCTTGAATCCGCGGCTCAATCTGAGTGAGGAAGTCACGACCCGCCCCACTGTGCACACACCACGCAGTGCACGCGGTGGGCGACGGTCCGCAGACAGTGGAGCTGGAGACTCACGTGGGGTCGTCGGGAGTAGTTGGGGACGTTTGGGAACTCCCCGCTCGAGGAGGAGTCGCGGTGGTGCACGAGACTGCAGCGGATTGTTCTGTCATGCCGCCTGCACTCTTCTGGCTCAGGGGGACATCCGGTTATCCGTGGATGTATAATTACACGTACGTACTTTTTGTTAGCGACAATTTCCTCGGGATAATGCTATGACTGTCGAGAAAATGCACGGCTGGTTTTGTTACACTTTGTAAAGCTCGGGAGCCGGAGTCAGGTAAAAGTATCTGGAGGTGGAGCAGCGGTTGAAGCCAACGTGGAGCTGGGAGTCTCTCTTAGCTACCAGAGCCAGCCTGGAGCTGGTGCTGAGTGAGCCATCAGAGCCAGCCTGAGGCAGCTTGGAGCTGGTGCTGAGTGAGTCATCAGAGCCAGCCTGGAGCCAGCCTGGAGCTGGTGCTGAGTGAGTCATCAGAGCCAGGCTGGAGCCAGCCTGGAGCTGGTGCTGAGTGAGCCATCAGAGCCAGCGGAGCCAGAGCCAGAAAACTCCGGGACACTGCCAACCCGACTCGGAACTGCAGCGAGCTGCAATGGCCCAGCCAAGACAGCTGGGGCGCGAGGGGGCCTCCGTTTCGACGCAAAGTCATCCACCGCCCAGTCCAACCGAGCACGACTTCTCTCTCAGCCGGCGCTTGGACTCAGAATCACCCTCCGCGACTGAACTCGCCGCACACTCACAGCACGGGAGAGTAATTGCCGTGGACAAGCGGATTGTGTTAATCCGCTAGGGGTTTTTTTCTGCCGAAAGTAAATACTTCCCAAGGCATATCACGTGATATTTGGGCACAAATCGGCTTAGTGAGATGAAGAGAAATGTGTGGTTACGAAATTAGGAATATGTTTACCAGTCAAGGTCACGAGTGGGTGTTAGGAGAGCAACATTGTGGCGACTGTATATGTGTGTGTTTTCAACCTCATGCAAATCAAGGACGAAAATGTATTTAAGGAAATGCACGCATTCTATAACGCTCTCGAACAAGCCCTTGCGATTTGAATGAATGCATATTATGTACGCGTGTTGAACTTCTTTCGCACAGTACATAGCCAACGTGGTAATCGGAGGTGCGGGGGAAGGACAACAGACTAAACACAAAAAGCAGTTCTAATTAAATGAGTTTTCAATCGAGATTTAAAAGTGCACAGCTTCAGTGGCTCCATTATCTCGGAAGGAAGAGCGTTCCAGACGGCCGCAAAGAAGTGCAGCTGAAAGCGCGCGATGCGGTGACCGCCGCCTTTGTTCGATGATTAGCCAAAGTCTGCTTGCAAGGATGAGCAGAGTTCACGTGATGGTTTACGCTCCTTGACGAGATGAGCGTGGTATCGTGGTGCATTTGTGGTAAAGCACTTGTGTGTAATGCAGCACGACCTTATACGATGTAAAAGTGCATAGCTCCAACGGCTTCCCAATATCGGAATAAAAAAGCGTGCTAAAGAAATGGAAAGCATCACGGCCACGGTGTTGAGAAGCGCAGCAGTGTGAGGAATTGTAAATGTTGTGTGTTTACTCTCCAACACACCGGCGGGCTGAAGTGGCCACTCACTGGCGCGTTTTGTTCACGTGACAAATCCCTTACTGGCTGTGTCGGGTGGTGGAGGGCTACGACACAACATTTACACTTTCGCGATCTAACCCAGAAACCTTCATTATGAATAATATCGGTCGCGAAAGCCTCCTGCTCGTTAAATATTCGAGATGTTTCCTTTCTGATCTCTGAAGATGTCCTGCGCTTGTCGATTGTCACTCTTCAGCCTCGTCCCCGGCCTCCAGTGATGTTTGCTGTCCCTCGACGAGGCGGTCCTCATTGCCATCGTCACGCTTCGTCGTGAGTGCCTCGAGCCCGTGGTGCCATGGTGCACGGCCCTGCCCTGCCGCGATGACTCGAGCCTTCATCTGAACCGCGAACGACCATGAAAGAAGGGGTGGTCACCTCGGCTAATCTCACAACTCATAACAGCAGCAGCTGCACAATTAAATCTGTAATTTGTGCGTGAGAGAGTAATGTTTTTATTTTTTTAGACAACGGACGCGAGAATTGAGCGCATCTCTTGTACATGATATATATGGTTTAATTAATTGCATTTGTATTTATTTAGCTAAGCTAAAAGCGTATTTTACGTGTATAAATGGGCTATTAAATGTCTTTAAGAAAAAAATGCCGGAACGCGGGGCTTCCAGAAATGTTTCGTATCACAATCGAGATTTTGTGAATAAATAATCTGGCTCTTATTATGGCCTAGCTATTGTCAGTGTTATTATGGAATGTGTACTATTGTTATTATGGCCTGGCTGTTATCATTGATATTATGGAATGTGTATTATTATGGCCTAGCTATTAGTAGTATTATTATGTAATGTGTATTATTGTTTTTATGGCATGGCTATTATCATTGTTATCGCATGCGTATTATTCTGATTATGGTCTGTTTACGATTATTTTGATCGGCATGATTGCACGAGAGGATACTCATCCGTGCAGCCCGCTTCTGCAGGGGCACAACCTCGCACATTCTCGAAACGAATGCGATGCTGCAACAATCGATCCCGTCTGGAATTGTCGCCAGGCACCGCCCTCACCAACATCCAGGCAGAGGCTGGGGGGATAATGCGAGGGAGAGTGGAGAGGCAGAGAGATGGGGGGTGGTGAGGAGAGCAAACGAGAGCGGGTAAGAGTGGAGGTGGGAGATGTGGGGGGTGGAAATAATGCAAAAATACACGTGGGGGAGAGTGGAGAGAGAATGAAGGAGGGGAACGTGGGGGAGGGGAGAGACAGAGGAAGGCATTACGGGTGAGTGAGATGAGATATGAGGATGAAGGAAACGGGGAGAGTTAATGGAGAGAGCAGAAGGGGAGAGGAGAGACACGCGGCGGAGGGAGAGAGGTGGAAGCAGAGCTCGCGAGCGGAGAGAAGAGAGAGAGCAGAAGGAGGGAGAGACGGGAGGGTTGTCGTAGAGAGAGAGGCAAGGGGAGCGGGCAGAGAGAAGGAGAGTGGAGAAGGAGGAGGGGAGGGGGCAAGTAGGGATCGAGAAGGGAGTGAACAGCAATCTGGAGAAGCGAGGGCAGGCCGGGAGGGAGAGAGGAGAGCGAGGTAGCGGAGAGGGAGGGGGGCAGAGAGAGGGAAAGGAACGGAGAGTGCAAGCAGGCAGTGAGAGCGGAGGGAGGGAGGGAGAGCACGGAGAGAGAGAGAGATCACAGCGCGGCGAGAGGGCGGGAGGAGACAGACGGAGGTAGCAGAGAGAGAGAGAGAGCGCGAGAGGAGGAGGAGGAGGGAGAGATCCCGGACGGACGAGCGTCTCGCTCCACACGCTTCGCCTCTGCCCCCACCCCGCTCCTGCCTGTCACGGTTGTATCCCGCGCCTCCGTCATGGACATCGACATCCAGCACCCGTGGCTTCGTCACCCGTTCGGCTCGCCGCTCTTCTTCCCGGCGCGCGTCTTCGACCAGCACTTCGGCGAGGGGCTGCTCCCCAGGGACGCGTGCGCTCTGCCCGGCACCCTGGGCTCCATCTTCTCGCCGCTCTACTGGCGCGAACCGGGCTGGCCGGCTACGCGGAGCGATGTGAGTTGCGTAGAGGGAACGGGGGGACACACCGCGACAGAGCTGCGGGGGGAGGCGGCGGCCATAGAGAGGCCGGGCAAGAAGCTGGTGCCTGGGGGAGCCGGTTGCGGGGGTGGGGGGGTTGCGGATGAGTACGGCGGTTGTGCGCCGGGATGGGAGATTGCAATGGGGAGGGAGATTGCAGAGTAACGGCAGCGACACTGCGCGATGGGGCAGGCATTGTAGGAATTGCAGCAGCACCTGTGGCAGAATACAGCAGGGCACAGCCGTGGTTGTGCTTGGTGGTGGTGGTGGAGTTGGTGTGGAATTCGCAGCCGGTGCTGGCTCCTGGGCGCGGGCGCTGTCCCGGGTCCTGAACTCAATCACTGGGATTCAGCTGTACTGTACGCCCTGTATCACAGATATATATCTTGCAGCTGCGAGCGCTGCTGCCAGCCTGTGTAAGCCTGTGTGTTGCCAGAGGTGTCGGCCGATGCATGTATGTATGTTGAACTTCTTTCGCACCGTACGTAACCAACCGTGTTAATCGAAGGTGCGGGGGCGTCGTCACAGCCATAGCAGATACTCCGTGCACAGAGGAGGAAATCGGACGGACATAAGGAGCTGGTTTAATGAAACGCATACAGAGGAATGTTCTACCCCTTATTTAAAGCTGGTGCAGATCACAAGGCTAATGCATCTTTCCATTCACAACTGAACTGAAGATGTATCGAATGCTGCCGGATTGAAGATTAATTATTTCTGTTGCTAATGCGGGCACGAGAGGGGCGGATTTATTATCATTGTTGCCCGGGTTGACATCAATGCGGCGGTTGACAGAGCCACAGCATGCCGGCCAATGAATGGAATATGAAACGGTTCCAGAGGGAAATCGCTCACACATGGGGCGTCGCCACAGCCATAGCCATAGCAGATACCTCATGCACAGAGGAGGAAATGGAATGGATGTCATGATTTGGTTAAATAAAAACGCATGAGGAGGAAAGGTCTACGCGTTATTTAAAACAGGAACAGATCACAGGGTTAAAATGCAATTATCCGTTCGCAACTACCAGGACTTAAAAAGAAAAAAAACCCACGACAAAAAAATAAACTAACGATAAAATAATAGCAGCATTAAATATTGAATTGCGAGCAATTGTGCGACGAGCATTTGGTCTGGATGGTGCAATAGCACGTGCAGTACAACGCATTGCGTGTGGGCAAACCCACGGACAAAGTGGCGTAGTCGCGATGGCGCTGCGCGGGACGAGGCTGAAGACCCCCACGTTGGCAGCAACCGGGGCCCAGGGCGTCACGTTGGTTTTGGGAAAAAAATTTAATGGGACAGAAAGAGATAAGGGGATGCGTTTATGTGCACGCAAATGCTAAACAGGAATAAGCAAGTGCTATAGGAATAGGGACGAGCTACGCGGGGAGGGTCAGGTGACTCGTGGCTGGCTGACGAACTAACGGGTTCGTGTTCGGGCTACGGTTGTGGCCACTGGGAGGTTGAGCGCGAGCTCCACGGCACACGCCTTGGAATGGCTGCGGAGGCTTCGAGGTGGAGCTGGCAAATGCGACAAACGGAGACGATTACAAATTAGTTAATTGGAATAGACAGTATATGTATACGCTGTCAATGCAAGTTCACTTAATTAAGCATCCAACGGAACTGGTATCTGCCAAACATCCCCCTGCAAAAGACTCAATCGTGATTATACAGAGCGGAAATATCGCCACCCAACTGAGAAAAAAACGTGGCAGGGCCCTCCAGCGTGAAAAAAGAGGCTTGTGACTTGGTGGAACGTTTCTGGGTCAACAAGCGATGATAATAATATTGATGATAGTGAGATGGTGGATCACGCAGGAGTGGGAGGGGGGGGGGTCTACGTGAGAGATTCACATGGATAGGAGACATGGCCCAAATCGAGTGATATCCGACACTGCAGGAAGATGAAGTCAGTGCACGAGATGGTGCGTGGTTGTCCTTAGATTCCTGATTTTGCGAGGAACAGCGCTTTTTTCCCACTCCCTATAAGATTTGTATTTTAATTATTGAGCTCCTTGTCCAAAAGAAGGGTCTGGCTTTGGTTAATTAAGTCATTCAGAATTTTGGCACAGACACGCTTGACAACAGCAGCCGCCATTCGCCACTTAGTGGGGTTGACGTCATCACAGCACTTGTGCCAGGCTATGTGCGCTCCTGAACCACTACTACCACAACCACAACTGCCTTCACGACCACAATCACCACAAACAACCGCTCTCACCACCACGAACACCACCGCAGCCATCGCCATCTGACCCACGGCTTCAAACATCACCGTTGTCACTCAGCAGAATGTGCCACACCTAACCGAAGCCGATGTCAAAGATTCAGTGACAGCAGTTTCAGATAAGCCATCGGAGATGTGTTCTCCACTCTCCCAACCCTACATTTCCCACGCAACTCCCATCAGCGCGGTTGGCTACGTGCGGTGCGAGATAAGTTCACCATAATACAGAGGTAACAGACATATAGAGGCGAATTGAGAGACATAAATATTGGGAACCATTTAAATGGCTACGACAGTAAATATAATATACTATATTTTGAACATTTATTTATACTGGCGGAATCCGATAAGCTATAAAGCTCTTTTTCACAGATGTCCAGTAGGGGCGGGTAAGAGCGTTACCACAACAAACAGTAAAATAAACACGGTAGGAGTGTAAACAACAAGAAAGGTAAACAAATCACCCAAACGCACATTCATCCTACCAGGCAAAGCCCCGCTGAGGCATTATTTTTCAAAAGCGACCTGGCCACAAATGATAGCTCAACAAAGTGGCCACATCATTTAGACATTTATAGCCAGCAAAATAGTCAAAGTAATCTAAACGAATGAATAAATCGTGGATATATGTCTAGGGAGCTGAGGCAGCCGTGGAACCACCACTGATGGATTTCGGAGCGATGTGCGATTTGTTTGTTGGTTACACTTCCACATCGCCAAAAGCAACACGTTGTTCCGTCTTGTTATTTTACATGTATGGCACGCTAGCTCCTACGTTTAATCGGGCTGGGTTGGTGTTAAATCTTCTTTTAATATCGCTGATTGGCACGGTTGGCTACGTACGGTGCGAAAGACGTTCAATATACTTACATGCATTGGCTGGGAGCAGCGCCCACAGCTGCAAGAAGCACAGATTTTATAGAGGGCGTACAGCTGAATCAGCTGATAGAAGTTCAGCATGCATACGCACGTACTGTGGGTGAAGTATATGTATAGAGAATACTTGGGAATGTTTTGTTGGGATGATCGCTTGTCGTTACATGAAGTCGATTTTAATAATTCACGACAATGCACCAGTGACAATGTCACTCAAGCGGTAGCTGTGCACGGCGCGCAGTGCGTTATTGACGCGTGAGTGGAAGTCGATGTTGCTGGATAGTTATAGAGGCTGGCAGATAGGCATGCAATGATTCCCTCTATTTATAGATTAAAAGTAGATTCTTACGCTCAGCATACACGTATACAATTATGTTGACAGACGTTTCTTATTTAAATTATTTCTGGCTTACACAAAGTTTACGTAAATATTTTCACTTGCCTAATGGTTAGAACAAAGAAAAAGGGTGCAACCAAATCAAGTTAATCAAAACAGCACAACAGAGACAACGCACACAAGATAGGCAATACTGGCAGTACTCAAGAGCGAGCAATACGAGCAGTTACAACGTAGACATTACAGACTTCATCAACTAAGACGCAGTACAAATGAGACAGGTCGGTACAAAGACAGACGGCACGAAGACATTGCAGTGCAGACGGGGCATCAGTCAGTGAAGGTGACGACGACGGCAATTCTCAAATCCAATCGTCATGGAGATGTCGACGATGCACGGGATCACGCGTGGGCGAGTGGATCACGGGGGGCTGATCTTGACTCGGCGCTCCGGATTCACAGCCGCTCGCTCACGCCGCCCTCTGCGGTGACCTCTCACCTCTCCAGGTGCCTCCTGCGTCTGGGGGGCCCGATGGGAGCAAAGACAACCCCGAGGCTCGCCTGAGGAGCGGCCTCTCTGAGGTGACCACCTCAACAAATCACCACCCCGCCCCGCCACCCCCCGTCCACCGTTACACGTGAACCCAAATCCACGCGTTCGCGCGGAGTCCGTTCGCCGACCGGACATTTGTTTTAAATGATTATGAACGACGAGGTGACCGGATGACCGACGAGATCGGATGAGCAGCGAGCCAGCGCCACCGAGGTGACGGGAGACTTTGAGGACGTCGCCGCTGTTTCAAACGTGCCGATTCGAGTGTAGCGAGTTGGTGGTGGCCTCTGTTCGATGGCATTAGCCTGCGGCAACATAAGCGGAATGATAACGCGTTGCCTTCTTGCGACCAATATTATGAGCCGTAATTTTTTACTTATTTTATTTGGGTCAGATCGCGTAAGTTAAATGTGCGTAATGCATCGGCACGTTCATTCACGCGCCAAGTTCATTCGTTGCCTCAGTGTTGGGTGGCGGAGGGTGCGTACGACACACAGTCTTCCACACGCCGAGCGACGTGTAAAATCAATGACGAATCACAAGCGCGAGAGAATTCATTTCGCGCCGTGATGCGAACGCGGACGAGGGGCGAAACGAAAGAAGAGCGCAGTGGCTCGGAGATGTTAACTACCCCGCCTGGTAGGCAGGAGGTCGTGGGTTCGATCCCGACCCTGACGCCTGCTCTATATTTGGAGTTTGCGTGTCTCTCTCCCCGTGGTCACGTGGATTTTCTCCGAGCGCTCCGGTTTTTCCTTCCACATTGATAATCAACATCACGCGTTTAGAGTATTTGGCTGCTATGCATGTCCACGCGATAAGCCACTTCGTTGGGCTATCATTTGTGATAGTGCTCTATATAGCTCAGTGAGCCTTGCCTGATAAAATAATATTCAAAATAGTTTATACAATTATAATAGTTGTATAGACATCGCGATTATCCCACCTGCGACTGGGGGAAAAGCAATGCGTGTCGTCGTCCACGTGGCTCGTGACACGTGCTGTGGTGTGGGCGTGGCTTGTGTCACGTGGCTCGTGGCACGTGCTGTGGTGTGGGCGTGTCACGTGGCTCGCACAGATGCGCCTCGACGAGGATCAGTTCGCCGTGCATCTGGACGTGAAGCACTTCGCGCCCGAGGAGTTGGGCGTCAAGGTGGTGGACGACTTCATCGAGGTCTACGCCAAGCACGAGGAGCGACAGGTAACCGACGGCAAAAGGCGCAACACGTGGGGGGGGGGGGGGGTGCCCGGCCCCGACGGCCGTTGTCACGAGGCGAGCGACTGGGGGGCTCCTTGGCTTTGAAAGTCCCCAAACGAAACGACGACGGCGGCGTTTTTAAAATTAGAATTTTTGTTGTTCATAATGCGGGGCCCGGGGCTAACCACAACCCCAACGCCTTCAAAGCGTGGGCGTCAGGGTCGGGATCGAACCCACGACCTCCTGCATACCAGGCGAGGTAGTTAACATCTCCTAGCCACCGTGATGATGATGAGAGAGAGACGCAGACTCCAAATATACAGCAGCAGGCGTCAGGGTCGGGATCGAACCCACGACCTCCTGCATACCAGGCGAGGTAGTTAACATCTCCTAGCCACCGTGATGACGATGATGATGAGAGACACGCAAACTCCAAATATACAGCAGCAGGCGTCAGGGTCGGGATCGAACCCACGAGCTCCTGCCTACCAGGCGAGGTAGCTAACATCTCGCCCCCCCCACCCGCCGCAGGACGAGCACGGCTTCATCTCGCGAGAGTTCCGACGCCGCTACCGCCTCCCCACGAGCGCCGACGCGGGCGCCGTGGCGGCGGCGCTGTCCCCGGACGGGGTGCTGAGCGTGCGCGCGCCGCTGCACCCGCCCAGCGCGGCACCCGCCGAGCGCGCCGTGCCCATCACGCGCTCCGCCAAGTCGCCCGCCGTCATCGGCAGCGACGACTGAGAGGCGGTGACCGCCCGCCACCGCCACCGCCTCGCGTTTCCATAACCCAAACCGCGCCACTCACGCCGCACGCGGCGATCACACCCACCGCTCGCATGCCACACATCATCATACACACCGAGTACACGCGCCACTCACGCAACATACACCGTGAGCATACACACCACTCACACCCCACACACTGAAAATACACACCACTCACACCACACACAGTGAACACACCACACAGTGAACACACGCCCCACTCACACTACACACTGAAAATACACACCACTCACACCCCACAGTGAACACACGCCCCACTCACACACCACACAGTGAACACACGCTCCACTCACACACCACACACCACTCACACCACACAGTGAACACACGCCCCACTCACACACCACACACCACTCACACCACACAGTGGACACACGCACCACTCACACACCACACATTGAGCATACACACCACTCACACCCAGGGCCGGATTAAGATTGTGTAGGCCCCTGGGCTACAGGCACTGTGAGGCCCCCAGTAATATTTTCAAAAGGAAAAGAAAGTTAAAGAAAAATAAAATGTCTTTTTCCAAGGCTAACAACAAATAAAATTCAGCATTCACAAGTGAAATCACTTTTCACTTCATCTCTGGAGGCCCTCCAGCTGGCGGAGGCCCCTGAAGCCCCCACGCCTCGATCCGGCCCTGCACACACCACGCATGGCGAGTAAACGCACCGCAACCACGACTCACACACCATTCACAGCGAGTAAACGCCAGGCATCCACGACTCACACCGCACACAGTTTGAGCACCCGAACCACACACAGGCCACACCCACCACTCACACACCATACGCAGTGTGTACACGCACAACACGCCACACACACAACACACAGTGGGTGCACAAACGTACCAGACACCACGAACACCACACACAACCCCCGGCCGGTCGTGGGCGTGTGGTGATGATGGTGATGATTGACCCCTACACGTACCGGACAGTAGTTCGATGAATCATTGCAGTTCAAGGATCGTTTCTTGTGTGAAGTTTTTTCTCCAACGCCTTTTCTATTGCTTCTCATTTTTGTTTTATTTCGCTTGGAGATTACTTTGTTTGCTACGTTCGCCTAAATGAAGGATTAGCGTAAGATTTTCATACAATTTGCATATATCGAAAAACATAAGTGATTCGTACTTGATTCTATGTTTGTATCGTGAGCCTTAGGAATTGATGTTAATCAATGCACTGTCATAATCTCGAGCATCTGGTCACATACTCGACACATAGAAATTAGTGTATTAAGTAATTAATATATTTAAAGGGATTGTGTTGAGTCTTTTCCACCAATGTTATCCCCATCATGTCACGCGACAAAGAATCCATTTGGAAATCTTGCAGATAAATGCATCGCCACCCTGTGTTTGAAAATAACATCCCGTAGGAGTAGACTTCACGGAACTGCTATGGAAATCCCTCAAGTGATCTCTTATCCACACTCGTGAGCAGAACCTCTCTCCCTACCCTGCTACAGAGGGCAATGTCAGTTGCATGGCAAATTGACGTTTAATTCTCAGGCTTGGAATTCAGGCAAATTTAAGTGCAAAATGAATGAAAAAAATCCATGTCATTATTTTTTGCCAGTAATTGGAGACCGAGCTGAGAACATCAACGCAATAATGCACTTGAGAATTCGGTTTAATCCATGGGCGGCTGCGTGCACTGCTCTCACTCAACTTTTGAGCCGCCCGACCAAAAAACGAGCGTAAGAATACACGCTTCGAATTATGATTGATCATTGGTTTGATCATTTTAAACGACTTTTTTGTAGAAACCCTGCGGAGTTTATGGACACATTGCATTCGCGAATGACTCGGTTGACTGGATCGAGGGTCGGGGGGATTGTTACATGCCTACCACATGGCACAGACAACCAAACAGACCACACACACCACATACAACCACACACAACCACACACACCACACACAACCACACACACACCACACATAACCACACACAACCACACACACACACCACTCGCCCACGCAAGCCAATCAGCACCCATTGCAATCCCTTTCAAAAATTGCTTACGTATTGCACAGATTCATTTTTTTATCCAGGAAGGATCGAGTGGTGGAACAGTGATTTGGTGGTGCAATGTGTTACGAACCTGGCCACCTGAGTTCAAATCCCGGCTCTGACTAACATTGGTGGCGAGTGACATCTGAACCGGTCCGGCGCCCTCTAGGCCACTCCGGTCCCCTGGCCCTTCATCAGCTGGCACTGACCAGCGCAGTGATGTTGTGTAAATCACACAAAAAACCCATAACTGGCATGGCTTAGAGAGGCCTTCATTGATGGTTGGATTGAGAATGACTCTCTAGTTGTATTTCATTAAAGAGTTACACGACTGTAGGCTGCGCGCCTTCAACTGTGGAATCGAAAAACTACACGGCAGAAACTCGACATCGGCATTCAGCTCCCGGAGGTATTGCCAATCGACCCTCATCTCGGAATGGATGCTTTAGGCTGCTTTATAGGTCGCATACAAGAGATTCCTCCTGGGTTAAGTGGCGACGCCTCGTCTGATTTTTTTTGGCGTAGGTAGTACAGAGCTGTTGGATTCAACTGGGGTGGGGGCAGTGCCAGATGAAGCTAGTGCGGGGCCTGTAGCACGATGTTGTAAAGGAACCCTACGTAAAAAAAACACGTATAAATATAAAAACACAATTGTTTTTACTTGCTTGGTAAAGTAATTGTATTTTTTCATTTGCTATACAGCCAGATAATACGACACATCGCTAACCTTAAACACCCAGTCGTTCATAAAAGTTGAAGGCGGTATAGTACTATAGTCATCGAGCAAGTGCAGAATCACTGAACCGGAATTGATAGCTTGAAAGCATTTAGCGCGGGGCCCTTAAAGGTGCGGGGCCGTAGCTACTACATGTGTAGCTACTACACGTGTAGCTACTACATGTGTAGTAGCTACATATGTGAAGCTACATATGTGTAGCTACATATGTGAAGCTACATATATGTAGCTACATATGTGTAGCTACATATGTGTAGCTACTTTTGCGACTAGGATCATCCGGCACTGGGTGGGGTGGGGGGGGGGGGTAACGTCAGTGGCACTAATGCACTGACCACTGTCTCACTGCGTGAAGCCACTTTCATGATTTTGACGCCACTGCCAGAAATAGGCATCTCTGGCGGGAGCGCGTCTCTCACCCCCAAACAGCAGCGGGTTAGCCAGGAGGGGTGTCTCCTTTTTAAATCCTTCATATTAAGTTCGCTTGCTTGCGTGCTTGCGTGCTTGCTTAGGACCGTGCAGATCTTTCGGTCGTTTTTTAACCCACTTCCCGTGATCCAATCGAGCTGACATTTTGCACACAGACTCGTTGTGCCAGACAATTAATGTTCGTGAAATATTTTTTTCCAAAATTTTACACTGTTTAGGGAAAACAACTTAAATATTTAATTACCAATTGCTTAATGGTGGCAGACAATCATCTGACCCATAGGTGGCAGCCATCTCAAGCCAGAGGACCAGAGGACTCTAGCCGCCACGCATATAAAGGATTTAGAGTGAAAAACTTTGTTTTTACGGGTTATACTTATTAACAAATATGATCCTCTAGAGCCGAGATACAATGTAAGAGTACCCATCCAAATTGTGTAATTCATGACCGCGCCCTTGAATTGATATTGTGACAATCCGTGTGCTCTATGAAGACATGTTGAGCGCACTTCGTGATTTTTATTTTATTTTATTGAAGGCCTTATACAATTATTGACAGGGAGTATTATTGCAATATACATGCGGCTCCTGGTGTTGGACTAAATTGAAAGTAATAATGGAAGGGGCTCAAGCCAGGATTTAGGCCACGCATGAGCTGCATTCTACATGGCTACAAAGGCCACTCACAAGATGCCCTCTGTCTACCCACGCGAGTACACGGTGGCAATTTAAGTGTCTCCACAGGCGACTGTCTCTGTGTCTCGTGCGAAAAAAAAATCTAAATTTCTTCCTCTTCAAATCCCCGTGGTCCCTCGGCGCAGCGAATAATGCACGAAGTCGACTAGCGGTAAGACCGATGAAAGACCGTGCTAGGCAAAAGTAATTCAGCTTGTTCATGACAAGGCGATTTTTGTCCACGCGACCACACAAATCTTTTGTTTGAGATGAAACCAAAACACGTGAGAAGTTTGTGATGGTAAGCTAAGGTGCCATGTTCATTACAGGCAACAGCAAAACAAATTGCCATAAAAAACCTCTGCCCATGTCTGTGTCGAGGTGACTGTAATCACACCCTTTTACGATTCGTACGCCACACACGCAGAGCGAGTTACGTTTACCGTGAAGGTGCACGCAGAGAAATACGATGCCTGTATTCGACAGTATTTGACGAATGCTGTACGTTCCGTATGGTTGGACTTATTTCGCACCGTACGTAGCCAACCGCGCTAATCGGAGGTGCAACGATGGGTGCCCGGAACGCAAAGACAGCTGACGAAGCAACGCCGTGGACTGACGATCTGTTAATGTTAACCGTGGCTAGGAGATGAACTTAGTTCGTTTCGTTCGTGGTGCAGTGTAATTACCACTGTACCACCGTTCTAACCCGCAATGAGTTAATGTGATGGAACGTACATGCTGTCAAAGGCAGTGTAGTGCCATTGTTTTTGTTCCAGAGAAGATTGAGATTGTGAACACTTTTTACCTGCATTCGATGTTTGCGTTTAGAAATATTGCATTTGTCAACCCAGTTGGCATTCAACATTGGGTCAACGTTCTGTGCCAACTGCGTTGAGCCAGATTTATCATCTTACAAACTGGCCAAAAGTCGCCTTAAGTGATTTTATGTGCAAGTGGTAGTGGCACATTTACAGTAAATATTTTGCGAGAATGATCATTCACCAAGATGACAATGTGACCGCTTGTTTGATCTATGAAACCAAAAGAACCAAACATTGTTTGACTATGTCATCAAACTTCCAGTCCCAACGGACTCACACTACTGCATGCATTGTAATTGACTCGCACGTTCAAGCAATTTACTCTAAGCAATGATTCCCCAACTCCATTGCCACGTGGATGGTCTTCGAGCATGGGATGTGATTTTCTTGTCGTCTGTTTTGTTACACACACTCCAGCACGCGTCGGGGACGTCTGGAATCCGGTTGCCGCCGCATTAATACACGACGGCTGAAATGAATGTTAGGCATCCTGCGCTGTACGAAATTCCTGGAGTTTGCCTCCCGACAGCTCAGTACGAATCAGTCACAAACGTGGCCGATAATGCCTCGCACCCCGCGCATTCCCACCACCCCCTTTTAGCCAGTTATTTTTTTTTTGCAACTTCACCATTCCGCACTGATTTTGTGCACTAAACCAAAGTCGCGACGAAACCTGTAACTGGGTGAAATTCGACGGTCGCATGCGATGGGGTCGATGCTGATGCCTGCCTGTTGACATTCGGTCGTCACGTGTTTCGTTAAAAGATTCGGCGCATTGCAAGGACTGGGAAGTGAAGTGGGTGCTTCTGGAACTGGAAACCAACAGACGCTAATATATGAGAGTTAGTTAAGAGAGATACTCACGACACACAATTACCCACACAGTACACAGACAATATGGTGATAACATTGCATATATAGAAATAACTGTGGTGTTGATGCCAGTCAATTGATAACTCCTCCCGCATTATAATCGCAGGAGGCTGTGGTCTTGCCTGAACTAGTGCTTTGATGTCGTGTTACCCGTGTCTACACGTCGTGGCATACGTGGCACCTGTACCGCTGTCGTTAACGAGCGAGTGATACGCATATAAAGTCGAGGCTCGATCATCCTGAGTGCGGAACGCGAGGCAGTCCCACCGCGTTGCATTGCGCCGCACTGAGCCCAAGTCGGAGTCACGTGACGGAGAGAGATTTTATGTACTCTTATACACACAGCCTTGGGTGCTCTGCTCAGCAGTGCGTGATTTCGCCCCGGGGCAATGCCGTGATAGCTTGACGAGATGGGAAGACCTGTGCTGTGGAAATGAAAATAAAATGTATGTACAGCCTGTAACAATGGAGTCCCGAGTCGTCCCTTCAATTTGTGGTGGCGACTGCGCGTGGCCCGTAATCCAGCACTGCGGAGGCGAGGGTTGGTGGACCACCGCACGAATGTTGTGAAACGCCCTTCCCGTGGGAGCCCAGGAGGTTGCCGTACCCTGGCTCGCCACGAGAGGGCGGTACAGACAATGGGAACGCCATCTGTTCCATCTGTACGGGATAGAGCGTTGCTCCCTCGCACGCGTGGGTTGTCTCCGCTTTGCTCCCACATGTAAACTATTCGTTAATAGGCTGAAAACATCTCAATGTATGGAGGACCACAGATCTCGATCAATTATTGGTAGCGATGGCTGACCGCCTTCCCTGTTGTTTATGCCCCTTGAGTCGTTCTGCCTCTTTGAGAGTCAGCGCGGTGGAAACAGCGCAGTGTTACAAGTGGAAAATTGCAATAATTATAGCGCGGCGTTCTTAACGCAGGACCACACACACGCCGCACATGGTAGCGCCACTTCACATGGATATCTTTCGAAGGTTCGCTTTGGGCTGGTCTATACACTTCGTGCCATTTCCCTCCCGAGGCTAGATTGCTAGAATCTCGAAAATGGCTTCGCCGTTAGCCCCTCCTCTTCCTCCTCCCAATTCAGCAAGAACGTGCAACATCCAGAAGAAACCCCGCGTGCTTCGTCTCCATCATCGCCAGTCTATGGCTGAAGTTTCAGCAGCTCTCCCATCTCTACAACTCCTACCATTGGCATCCCTCATTGCCCATGGCTCAAGGAGCTCACCTACGCGACGATCCTACAGCTTTGCACCACGTGATCGACCGTGCTGAAACCCATTGACGCTACTGGATGCACGGAGGGTTGTGCGGCGGGGGTGGCGGTCGTGAAGAATTTAAGGAGCTTGCGCCATTTTGTCGTCGTTAAACAACGCCGTCCAGGGAAGTCGAATGGACCCGGCGACCTTCCGGGTTGTGAGTGTCCAGCGTGCTGACCGTCACCCCAAGGTCAGCTCGGTTCGCTTACGCGACGCACTTCAATCTTGCGTAGCAACAACCACGTGCATACTGCCGGCTCACCCCAGACCTGTCACACAAACAGGCCCCCGATGCCTGGGCACACGTCGAAGGGCCTGCTTGCGGGTCCGGCGTTGTGAGGTCCTTTTGGGCAGTATTTAGTCTGGCTTTTGAGTTGAGAAGAAGCCAAATCAACAACAACCACCACATCATCAACCACGTCAATATCAACCACATAAACAACCACATCAACAAAAAACTCATCAACAACCACATTATCAACAACCAAATGATCAAAAAGCACATCATCAACCACATTAACAAAAAAACACAACTACATCAACAACCATATAAATAAAACCACCTCCAAATCACTATTTTGGTTTCTCCTGTTAAGCGTTTATTGTCAGAATAAAGTTTTTTTTAAATCACACAGGTATTTGAATGTGTTTAATACGAACATATTGACATGCATAATAACGTCGTTGATACAACAGTGAAATTAAATGATAGATTATACAATAACGCTGTACGAGTTAAAGAGAGTTTAACTCATAAACCCCTGCATTCATCTGGTCCTGATCAGACTGAATCGATAGATTTCCAATTGGTTCATAATAACTTTTCTCAAGTTTGGTCAGACCAGTTCGTTTTTAAATCCTCAGGTGTATATATCCGGTTCGAGAGTTCAACTTTCTCAAATTGTGTGTGCGTGCGTGTGTGTACGTGCGTGTGTGTGTGCATGCTGTGTGTGTGCATGTGTGCATGCGTGTGTGCGTGTATGCATGTGTGTGCGTGCGTGTGTGTATGCGTGTGTATGCGTGCGTGTGGGTACGTGCGTGTGTGTGTGTGTGCATGCGTGTATGCGTGTATGTGTGCATGTGTGTATGCGCGCGTGCGTGCGCGCGATCGTTTGAGTGGTGCACAGATTACGCTGCCTTGCGCTCGCTAAAGCATGGGCTGCAGGTAGGGGAAGCAATGCATGAGCTTGCCCAAAGTGACGGGAGCCTGGGGCGACTCCATGATGGGGTTCTTGTCCAGGCGGAAGTAAGAGAGGCGCGGGGACTCCCTGCCCTCGGGCCGGCAGAGGGCGGTCGTGTTCACGTCTGGCGTGCGGAGGTGCAAGTCGGCACGCACACGGGGGGGGGGGGGCGGGTCGCACGCACGCGTCACAGTAGTCCATGTGACGTCACGCACACACGGACGCGCGTCGTCACACATCGGCTGTCTCCTCTTCATTCATTGTCAATTATTATTATTCTTTTTTTTTATGTCAGATGGCCACGAAAGTAATATGTTGCAGATCCACTCACATAACGTGTTTGTTATGTCAGTGGACATCTGTGAAAAAAGTTCTTTATAGCTCATGAGATTCCTCCAGTAGAAATATTCTGATTCTGTTTGAAAAGCTAAATAACAAGGATATGTTTTCAGTTTGTACCACGTGTTGATTGGCACGATGTTTGACATTTCTCACCACGTTGAGCTTATTCATTGCCTGAAGAAGCTCCTAAGCACACGATACAAGCCGACAGCGACATCGTAGAGTTATACAGCAAAACCGCAAAATAATCTACGCAAAAAGCGTCAGGGTTATTGCAGCCTTTGTCAGCGTGTCGGTCAAGAATACTTTCACTGTGCAACGTCTTAGCAGATCCCGCAACCCGTGGGCTCCCCCTCTCACCTTCGATGTCATTCTCATCCAGGTGCAGCTGCACCAGGTTGCTGTGGAACGCGGGCACGTGCTGCAGGTGGTTTGCGGAGAGGCGCAGGTTGATGAGGGAGCGCGAGATGAACGCTCGCTCCGGAATCCCAATCCGTCTCTCTCCACTGGCGCCTCCTCTGTCAGCCTTCGACGCAACGTTCACTGCGCACAAGCTGCTGTTGCCGGCCTCGGTCCCAGTTACGACCACTTTCTTCCCTGCGTCACCGGCATCGCTTGCATTCTTATTTCCACCGGCACCCTCGCTGACGCAGATGGTGCCACCGCCACCGCCACCACCAACGTCATCTCTCACACTCACACTTCCACGGGCGGTGACGGTCGCGCTGCTGTTCCCACCAGCGCTCGGCCTGCCGGCATCAGCCCCGGCGCCACTGCCACCTCGCTGCGTCCCAAGGGCGTTCTTTCCCAGGTCCAGCCACGCCAGGCGAGGGAAGGAGCCGAGGTAATTGTCCGGTATTGACTCGATGACGTTGTCGCGCAGGATTAGCTGGTAGAGTAATCCGGAAGGAGGCTGGGGTGGGATGGGGACGGGTTCCAGACAACACGAGAGGCACAAGCTTTTCCTGGTAAAATAAAATTGTTTCGTTTACAGTGGTACCTCGGTATACGTCGTTAATTCGTTCCAGAAGGTAGGACTTATACCGAAAATGACGTATACCAAACGAATTTTTCCCATAAGAAATAAACGGAAAGGAAATAATCCGTTCCAGAGTATAAGAAATTATATTTTATATGGCATATTATACATTAATGGGGTTGTATAAAATAATTTAGACAGTACTTATTACTAAAATGCATACATAAATTAAAATAAATGCATAAATAAATTAAAATAAATTGAAATAAAAATACAATTTAACATCACTTTACCTTGCTGAGAGGAGTTGATGGCCTACGAGGATGGTGGTGAGTAAGGGGAGGAGTGGTGAACGGGGTCTACGCGGGTACACGGTGACTCATCCCGACCCATACAAGTTCTAGCAAGCGCGTCGTATCCCAAGCAAGACGTCGTATCCCAAGACATTTTTTTCTCGTCAAAACACGACGTATACCAAATTCTACGTATTCCAAAGCGGTCGTATACCGATGTACGACTGTAACTCGTATATTCCTTAAGTGATTTGCTGACCTTTCTTTGCTTTGACTTCAATCGTGTTTTGTATTGTTGTTGTAACGTTCTGACCCGCCCATACTGGCCACCCATGACTAAGAGCTTTATAGCTCATCGGATTCCTTTGGTATAAATAAATATTCTGATACTGATAAGCAACATCAGCATATTGTATCCAAGCAGGTACTTGTGGAATTTGAAACGGTGCGAGTTGATGAGTAGTATTAACCATGACAAAGCAGTATTCAGTGGTTCCTCGGCTTACGATGCCCTTGATTAACGTTTTTTCGATTAACAATCTGCATTTTTTTTATTTTACGAGACATTTTTGATTAACGATATGACGCGGCCACTAATTTCGGCCAATCGGAGCGCTCCCAAGTGGACTCAGCAGCAGACCTCATCCAATCAGCGATGCCCTTTGATGAGAGCTACTGGCTGCTATCTTTTGGATGTGTGATGTGCGTTGCTTATGGAAACAGCTCCCTTGAATACTTAGTGGGGTGTTTTACTTAAAAGTTAAATGAGATCAATAACAATGGCCTCTAACATGAATGTGAAGACAAGAAAGTGAGGAAAACAATTAGTTCAACAATTACATTCGTTTTCTCCCACCCCAACTTCTCCATCAACCCCTTAAGCCATTCATCTTCTTAGCCTGAGGTAAGATTTTTTTATTTTATTCATGCGAATTTTTAATTCTCTGTTTATTCATTATTTATCCATGTTTCTATTAATATTAATGCTTTAATATGTTCTTATGACGTTTATTTATTATAATTGCGTGTTTAAATATGATAAACTATGTTTTTCGGGTGAAAATGATAATCTTGGAACAAACTAAGCCTTTAACATGTATTTCCTAAACCACCCCCACCGCGTTAATCTGGTTCCTTACAGCAGGCCCTGTTTCGATGAACGCTATGGGGAAATCTCTTGTCTGGATAACGACTTTGCGCCGAATCAAGAAAGGAGTGAATGTTTTACGCGAGAGCAACGGGGCAGGTAAGTAATGCCAAATGTCTGGCCAGTGCCCGCGTGTAGGCAGTAGGCAGGTGGGCGTGTAGGCAGTAGGCAGGCGGGCGGGCGGGCACCTTCGGCGGCATGGCTCGCAAGCGGTTCTCGGCCAGGTTGAGCTGCACGAGGGCAGAGAGGCCCGCGAAGGCGTCGTCCCGCAGGACCTGCAGCCGATTCGCGCTCAGGTCCAGCATGCGCAGCCGCGACAGCCTGGCGAATGCGCCCTTTGGCACGAGCGCGATGCGGTTCTGCCCCAATCGCAGGTCCTCCAGGGAGGCGGGGAACCCAGAGGCACCTGCAAGCGCAGTTCAGGTTCTTGTCGTTTCACGGGCGAGGCGATAACTCGACGAAGATGACTAAATCGCAATCGCGTGCCCCCCGAGTTCGCTCTCTCAGGTTCTCCAGCCGTACCTCTCCGCCCTTCGCGCTCCACCGACCACGGCAGTTTGCCGTGCCCGACGGGTCTACGGCCACAAATAATTTGCTCGTCGTAACACCACAACCACGAACGTCCTGGCCCAGCGGCGTTTCATCCGCAGCTGCATCGGGAACTCTCTCCCACTGAACATTCACACACCGTTCAGGCTCTCACACTTTGAATGTTTAAATTAGAAATGTTGTGGGTTTACCCTCCAACACACCGGTGTGCTGAACGAGTAACGAATTGTCACGGTTTGTTGACGTGTCAAACCTTACTAATTGGCTGTGTCGGGTGGTGGCTGGTTTAATGGGACATTTATATTAACGTGATCTAACCCAAATACGTTTATTATGAATAATATAGGTCGCAAAAGGCTCCTACTTGTTAAACTCTCAGACTTTACTTCAGCTGGTAAGGCTCTTTTACAAGGAAAACCATGTGACGAATATATGTACGCTGAACTTCTTTTGCACCATATGTAGCCAACCGTGCTAATCGGAGGTGCGGGGAAGGACAACAAACTAAACACAAATAGCAGTTCTATAAAAGAAAGGCACACAGAAACTAATTATCGTTTTTTTTTATAATTTCACCTCCCAGCCAAAATCGTGATCATTCAAGCAAAACGCTTCACTGCCTACTTCCTACCCACCCACCCACCCTCTTCCCCCCTCCATCCCTGACCTCCGTGAGTTGGTTTCTTTGCAGGTGCAGCTGCGAGAGGTGCCGGAGCGATCGCAGCATGTCCTGGGACAGCGCGGGGGACGTGAGCACATTGCCGTCGAGGTTGAGCCCCAGGAGGCCACCCGCGTCCCGCAGGTCGCACTCCGATAGCGCCTCGATGTTGTTGTTCTGTAAGTACGCGAAGCTTCGGATGCGCACGTGGAGAGACAAACGGCGATTACGCGTCAGTAAATTAACAAATGGAGACGTCGAAGTGGCTACCATAGACTTCAATGTTAAATCTCCCCATAGATTACAATCTTAAAGGCTCCCATAGACTTCAATGTTAAATTCTCATATATGCTTCAAAGTTAAAGGCTCCCATAGACTTCAATGTTGAAGGCTCCTATAGACTCCCTTAGATTTCGATTTAAAGCTTTCGTGACTGCAGGGATTCATCTTCTTGGTTTTTTCGGTAAAGTCACGTAGAAGTGAAATAATAAAATAATACAAATTAAACATAATAAAATACAATTCTCACGACGTTTCGGCCTAAACGCAAGCAGCCGTCCTCAGGTGAAGAACAGGGCGCTGTCTTTCCGACAGACCTGTTCTTCACCTGAGGACGGCATATTTTTTAAAGGTAAATCATGAAAAATGTTTTCACAGGCCAATATCATTATCCGCGCCACAATTAAATATACTAATAAAAAACGAAAAACAAAATGCTGAGCGGTGGCTATAATTTGGGGTGGGACTTGGAGAAACGGGGGGGGGGGGGTACAGGGGGGCCGGGCCCACCGGATACGCGCGGGGATGCGCGGGACGTCGTGAAGTTCCCGCCCGTCGCAGTAGATGGCGCCGGGGTGGTCGGGAGGGCAGTAGCAGGCGACGGGGCACAGCGGTGGCACGCGGGGGGCGGCGCGGGGCGGCACTCTTGTGGAGGCCGAGCCGTTCGACGCCGCCGCGGGAACCGGCAGAGCGATGGCCGTGTCCTCCTGGTCGCAGCGTGGGCCGGCCTGCGTGCACGCGGGCACACGCCCAGCACCACGTGTCGTACGCCACACGCCACGCGTCATACGACACGCCACGTGTCGCGTGCCACGTGACACACGCCACGTATCACACGTCACACGCCACACGTCACACTCCACTTGTCACACGCCACGCGTCACTCGTCACGTGCCACACTCCACGTGTCATACGACACGCCACGTGTCACGTGCCGCGTGACACACTCCACGTATCGCACGTGACACACTCCACGTATCATACGTCACAAGCCACGTGCCACACGTCACACTCCACTTGTCACACGCCACGTGTCACACGTCACACGCCAAGCGTCACACAACAAGCCCGGCTCCTAAAGTCGGTTCAGAGCTACAGCAGTGGAGGAACCGTCTACATGTGCGTCACACGCAGGGCGGGGGATTGAGTTTGATGAAGGGGACCTGGAGTTGTCACAGTTTAAGTTCATTTTGATTTGTTACACGGATGGTGATGATGACGATCGTCCCGCTTTGGCAGTAGGCCGCCTATTTTACACGGGAGATCCGTGGTGCTGCGTGAGCACAGTAGCAGCAGCAGCAACAAAACAAAAAAATCGTCAATACAGCTGAGAACGAGCACAGCCTTCCTTCAGGAATATTGCTTGAAGTTTTTGGACTCGCCTCTTTGCATATTAAATTGCAAAATTCAGTTCCGTGCCGTTACTGTTTCACCACCACCCATGGCCGATGCCACTTTAGCTGTTTCAGTTCTTGTTTTTCAACACGATACATGAGTTGGACAACTAATTAAAAGTTAAAACGAGTTTAAAGTCGGCTCATCACTGCTTATAACACACACACACACAGGGGTGGACTGTGACCCAATCGGCCCTGGGTCACGTCATGACTTTCCATGTCACGTAGCTGCGACACCGCGAGATGACATCACGCTCAATAGCGTCATAGCTTTGGCCTTAAAGGCTTATCAACTTAGGCAAAATGACGTCAAAGTACAACACAATGTAGTAAATTCAAGACCAAATGACCCGAATGCTAAAACTAATTCCAAGTCTAACCCTAACCCCCAAGTTGAAAGCGAGCGGGTTCCAATCGTGCATTGTCATATTACGTTTTTGCCATTTCATCATCAGCCATGGTCAGTCCACTGCTGGATGAATGCCTCCCCAAGCCGCACCAATCTTGTTCTCATTATATTTAACACTCCTTTATTTTTCGATTTAAAGCTTTCGTGACTGCAGGGATTCATCTTCTTGATTCTTTCGGTAAAGTCACGTAGAAGGGAAATAATAAAATAATAAAAATAAAACATTATAAAATACAATTCTCACGACGTTTCGGCCACAACGCAAGCAGCCGTCCTCAGGTGAAGAACAGGTCTGTCGGAAAGACAGCTGTCTCTCCGACAGACCTCCTATAGTCGGTTCCCCCCCCCCCCTATGTGCATGACGTCATTTATGGACGGCCCCTAATATATGTGGGATTTGATACCATCAATAGGGGTTAGTATAAGGAATATTGTTAGGATTGATGACATGGTTAGTATCGTGTAAGTGTTAGCAGTAGGGTTCAGATTAAGTTGTGTTGACTGTATTCTCTGTATTGGTGGTACCGTGATCATACAGTCGTGCTCGATTCACAATCGGAAGGTGAGCAATTCACATCCCAGTTGGGGGTTGACTCAACCTATCATCCATGCAGGGTCGATAAAATGTATTGGTGAACAGTGGTAACTCTATGGGGTTTTCCATGCGAATGTGGAAACCCCACAACACTTTGCTCAGGGAACTCCACTTGACCACGAGTCCTGTCTCTTTCCTCTCCCCCCCTCTTAATTTCGGGAAACGGTGAATTTATTTTTAGGAGTACAAATTTCTCCGGGCCAGAGTTGGGAGCATGATTCCATCTTCAGTTCACAAGCGGATGGGGAGGCCAGGCCAACACCACACCGAGACTCAACGTGCTCCGATTACGCTTTTACTTTGGGCTCGGATGTTGTGTCGTTCAGTAGTTCCAGCCTCGAAGTGGGGTGGTAGGGGAATGAATGCGGCTGCGTGGAACAACAACGAGCAGCAACAACAACAACAACGAGCAAGGGCGGACGGGGCATGAAGAGCCAGTGGCCTCACCTTGTCCACGGGGACGCCCACCGCTCCGCACGCCGCCAGAAGCAGGAGGAGCAGGAGGACCGCCAGTGCGCTCAGAGGGGCCACCATGGCGCAGTGGACACGGCAAGGACCCCCCCCCCCCCCAAGTGGCAGGGATTTCCTGCGGCGCGGCGAGGAAGCTGGGGGGGGGGAGGGGGGAAGGGAGGCGGTGAACGCCGCCCCAGCGCTCGTTGACGGGAGCAAAATGTGGGCGACGTTTCAGGCAATGGGCCTTCTTTATTTGCACTTTTTTATTTTTTAAGGCAGTGTTATCGACCGATGTTGCCTGTGTACCGCTGCCAATGTTAGTTGTCACTAAATAATGTCTAGAGTGTAACTGGCGTTGGCCAATTATCCCAATGCAGTAGAATGACCCACAAATTACTCAAATTGGGATGAGATTTCCTGTGTAAACAATCGTAATGATATCATACGTACACGTGTGACGATGCACACGTGTATAACGTTTTCACTCCACGTGTCAAATGTGGTTTTAGATATTCTTAGGTGTTTTCGGTAAAGTCACATAGGTAAAACATCAAAATTAATAAAAATAATAAAATAAAATAAAGATCACGACGTTTCGGAGGCAACACAAGTCTCCGTCATCAGGTGGGACAGTCACAGCCAGATCAGCTGCATCAAGTGAGGCAATGATTCAAGATGTAATCCCTTAAAAGCGAGTTGAGGGGGGAGGAGAGGGGGGGGGGCTCATCAGAATGTGGTAGCCAATGAATGGAAAGTATCGGGAGAGAGGGGCCAAAAAAAGGGGGGATTACATCTTGAATCATTGCCTCACTTGATGCAGCTGATCTGGCTGTGACTGTCCCACCTGATGACGGAGACTTGTGTTGCCTCCGAAACGTCGTGATCTTTATTTTATTTTATTATATTTATTAATTTTGATGTTTTACCTACGTGACTTTACCGAAAACACCTAAGAATATGATTCCTTGCAGTCACGAAAGCTTCAAGTCTAGTGGTTTTAGATGTAAAGCATGAGAAATGTGTTGTACAAAAGTACCATGCGCGGTCATTAGATGTGCTATACTGTATGTAGCCTTCCACATTTGAAATGTAAGTGTGCAGCATCAATCTGTGAAGTGAGGTATAACCAGATAGTCATGTTATGCAATAGACCACAGTAGTAGGCACTGTGCTTAGGGCCTACAACTACTAAAAGGCCTACGAAAGAAATGTTGACCGTATATTTTATTGTTTGCGTGATGATAAAAAAAAACCGTAACCAAGATATTTTCCTGCATAAATATATTTATATAGCAAGGATAGTGACAGTGTTTTTACAAAGAGGTAGAGTGATGTCAATGTCAATCGTTTTTTTGTCATAAGGTGAGAGAAATTAACACCGGAGATGAACTTTTAGAGATTGTTTCTTTGAAAAATTAGCAATAACATCGTCGAATGGTGTTTTTCGCACAATCTCATTCTCCAAAGAGATTAGTGCAAGGGAAAACAAGGCCGTATTGTCCTACGGTTGATCGGAGACAGTTTTTGAATCGGCTTTCGCTTGACAAAACAATGCCTCCCCTTCGCAATTCGTTCCCAAGATGGCAAGATACATCATTATAACAATGTAAATATTCGGAAAGCTGCTGATCAGCCTGTCAGATATTTGGGTTTTGAGCAAATCTACCACTGTTTTTTTTCTCTGCATAGAAATGCAGGAACAACAGGAATTCAACAGTGAATGATTTTTCAAGAAATGCATTGGCCCGAACAACAATTTGTTCCGTGGACAGTCATCTATCTACAAGGACGCTGAATCGATCATTCAATCTGCCATGTGCATTTCGCCGTTTTTCCATCTCCACAATAAGTTCGTCAACCACATCAATTCCATACACCCATCAATCAAATTCACCATGGAGGTAGAAAAAGATGGCATGTTATCCTTCTTGGGAGTCTCAATCAAAAAGAGACCAGATGGCTCAATGAGCCACTCTGTCTACGGGAAAGTAACCTATACTGACGCTCCCACCACCATCCATCCCAGAAGAATTCCCTCATCAAAACGCTACACCATAGAGCTCAATGTATCTCCGACCATGAACACCTGACCAGTGAACTCAAACAGGTACACCAGACTCTCAAGGTGAATGGATATTCTGACCACAAAATCCGCAAAGCCATCACCCCAACCGTGAGGAAGGAGCCATCTGAAGATCCAATCAAAACCATCACTTTACCTTACATAGCAGGGATAACCAAAACTACTTCCAAAATTTTGAACAAACACAAGATCCAGGTCCGATTTAACACAGTGCACACAATTAGTGATCTGATCCCACCTGTGGAGGACAATATTCCTGACATGCAGTATCCCGGCGTCTACAAACTAAGCTGTATCTGCGGCAGCAGTTACATTAGGGAAACTAAGCGACATGTCTCGGACCGTGTTTCTTGAACATAAAACACGGCAGGACCAATACTTCTGCCGTGGCTGATCATTACTTTAATGCGGCTGGCTCACGTGAAATGTATTTCTCTAAGAAAGATGTCATCAACCACTTTGGGTCATGACTTGATTTGTGTTTTCTTGTCAACAACCTCTAACGTCAGCAGTGTGGATGGGTGTAGCGAGGTGCAATACCCTCACCCCCCATCTCTGCCCCACCCCTCTCTCTCCCCCTGCCTCTGCCCCCTTCCTTCCCCCCCATTGTCTGCGCCAACATTACTGGCTGCCCCGCCCATGCTGTGTGCGATGCACAAGCTCACTTCCGCCCAACTCCCCCCTTTGTTTCGCTCCTGCATTGGCGTGCCTCTTGCGAAGCTAGTGTTGCTCGCGCAGCTCTTTCCACCGCCCACTCACTTTTGAACCCGCATAAGCGTCTACATTTGGAGGCGTGCCCCCTCTTTTCTCTCCGGATGATGAAGACCGCTTGTGTTGCGATCGAAACGTTGTGGGTTTTTTGCTCTTATTATTTTCAATTTATTTGAATAAAAAAAATAAAAAAATGTTTAACGTGACTTTACCAAGAATATGAATTCCTGCTGTCACGAAAGTCTTAAGTGAAAAATTAACATTCATCTTTGGGATTTTAATCTGCCAAAATGCCAGTGGTAAAAAAAAAAAAATCGACAAATCATTGACATGTTAGGAATGTGTGCAATGAAATACTCTTTAAACGCAAAAATATATCTGTAAAGTGTATTCCACAGTTTGATTTTGGCATAAACCGAACACATTAATGGAGTAAATACACGGGCAGCGAGGGCATGCCGGTTATACATGGAGTAGCTTGCAATGGCAGGCAATCCACGGGTGCTGTAGCAAACAAAAAAAAGACTAAAACTAAACTTATTTTATTTTCCTCGGAAATGGATTATCACGTGGAAATTCATAGCAGCCAACTCTACTCTGAAACGCACATTAATTATAAATGTGGAGGGAAGAACCAGGAGAAAAATCCACGCGACCACGGGGAGAGAGATGCAAACTCCAAATATGCAGGGATCGTCGGAGTTGGGATCGAACCCACGACCTCCTCTAAATCAGTTGCTCGGCGCCCCTAGCATCAGGATACAAATCCACCCAGTCCTCAATCTTGCTTGCTTCATTCAGCCAAACTCACACACAGTACACGCTACGTTTTCTATTCTTCTGTGGCTCTGTCTCTCTTCAAAATCTTTGCACGTTCCAGTTGATTTTACTTTGACAAGACAGTACTGTACACATGTATTTTTCATACTTGAAATGCTATTACACAGGTAGTTATGGTTCGAATGTCGAAATTTACATTTTGCATTGCTTACTTTGATGAAATACAGACAATATTACCGTCTGATTCATGGTGTCATTCTGCGTGGGTTTAAAAAATATATATATTTGTGCTCTTCAATAACATGATTTAACTTTATTGCTGTAGTACTATATGAAGACCCTTACATGGTCATGTGTCGCCAGGGCTGTCCATAGTGGGTGTGGGGCCCGGGGCAAATCCCACACCGTATGGGCCACACCGATGCCTTCAAACTCAACCAGAAGCATTACATCTGACACTGTGACGTCGAAGCATGCTGCCCCACCCCACCCCCCAAAGCGCGGGGCCCAGGGCGGTCGCCCCAATTTACCGTGTACCCTAGGGGACGGCTCTGTGTGTGTCGCCCATGCACTTACATTGAGCACAGGGCCTCTATCAGTGGAGGGGTTATTAATGTGCGCATCGCGATGCAGAAATGTATGCACAGATCCAGGGATCGGTGGCCTTTTAATGGAACGCGATGCTTCCGTATATTGGGCCCTTTGCACATTTTCCCGTACAAAAGTGTAAACTATCTTCGTGTTTGAGAGATGTTAAAAGTAATCGCTACCGGAGAGTTTAGGCTGTATGTGGAGGTAAATGAGGCTGGGTCGTCCATGCACAACAATAAAATATTCAGCACGACTAATCACGTTCGGTGATAGACTTTAATGTGCGTTTTGCTTGTCCAACACTTGCATGTACAACAACAATAATTAATGCATGCCTACCGGTTCATATGCACAAAGTTTTACAATACTGCACGACGTTACATATAAAAAATATTCACTTTAAGGTGGCTACTTGATGAATTGTCACAATTCAGGATGAGGGTTACATTTAAGAACAATTATCGTCTTTTACTCCCATTTGCGTGGTTTTATGTTTTGTCCTGTTTGCACGTTTTGTCTATTTCAGTTCTCTAAAAGCAACATTACCCTATTATATTTCGATTTAAAGCTTTCGTGACTGCAGGGATTCATCTTCTTGGTTCTTTCGGTAAAGTCACGTAGAAGAGAAGTAATAAAATAATAAAAATAAAACATAATTATTTTTATTATTTTATTACTTCCCTTCTACGTGACTTTACCGAAAGAACCAAGAAGATTACCCTATTATTTTCACAAAATGATCGACATGGCTAAAGGGGCTCACGTACGTAGCCAACCATGATAATCGGAGGCAGGGGAGGGGGGCAGGAAGGGCAACTAACTAAACACATACAAACTAAACTAATAGGCGACGTTTCAGGCGAAGGCCTGGGACTCCAGTGTGGCCAGCAAGACGTCACACGACCCGCCTTTGCACATAAACGCTTCCTCCATCAACAGTGCGCTGCACCGCGATTGCACAAACGGCCAACGCTTGGTTCGCAGTCGTGCTCGTCTCACATTCATACAACATCGGCCTGACCCCCCCCCACCCACCCGCTGCTCAAGAAAGCAAGACCCTGAACCCCGCCCCCCCCGACGATTCGGCAAGTTGCAGATCCACAATCAACCTCTCCCCCCCAACCCGCCATGCTCCTGGAAAGGCCTTGAGCCCAGCGTGTGCCCCCTTTACTCTGCCTATCGTCGCCGAGTCTAGTCCACCGAGACCACAATCGGGCCGACTGCAGTTGGTGTCAGTATCTCTGCAGCCTTCGTCGCACTTAAAACACTCTCTCATCAGCCTCCTCGAAATCGGACTGGCATTGGCGGTCTGGCCTCCTCCAGTGGGTCACGTGCCACCTGCAAGGTAGGAATTTCTCAGTGGGCTTAGGGGTGGCAGCCTTCGCCTGTAAGAGACCGAGCTCTCATCGTGAAGTTCCCTCGGGGTTCTGCCCCTGGCCCCTTCCTGCTCGTGGCCTACATGGCTCTCATTGGGGACCTCATCGAGTGCTTTGGTGTCAAATGCCATTCCTATGCAGGCGACACTGGACTTCTTCACTAGTTGATCCCACCGATTAAATATGTGCATTGTAGATTACTATTTCTTATACAGCCCTTTGCAGGGAACATCAAATTAGCAAGCGACATACACCAAAGCCTTTTGACAAAGGGAACATTGACCAATTTCAGCATTATGTATATATCTCTCATAAGTAGTGTAACTCCCTAACTAGATGAATAAAGGTACCAACAGTTGTATCGAGTGATACGTCGTAAAAATACTCCATTAAAACACTTGAATACAAACCTCACCTATTCACATTTAATAGATGTCTTCACATTAATAAAAATACTCAAAGGGTGGTGCAGTGGTGCATCGGTGGGCACACTGCACCACCAACACGTCGACACGAGTTTGATTCCTGGTCGCAGTTAACATCGCCGACGAGTGATAACAACCCTTTAGCAACGGGATAAAACCAGGACAGCTAAGTATGGTCAGGGCGAGGCCTCTCATGCAGTATGGATATTTGCAAAGGATTTCTATCTATTTACTTATTTGTAACACTGATATTACTGAGAAGCCCCCTTTGTAAATATCACAGTAGGAATATTGACAATTTGTTTGCATTAATGTAGTTGAAGGCTTATTGTGTGGTCCGTGGGACGATAAGCCATACAGCGAGCACAGAGTGGTGAGCGGGTTTTGTTCACACCAAGGTTGATCAGCCACTTTCTCTTGTGTTAGCATCCCTTTCTGTTCATGTATTCGGGGGGAAAATAAATGTGTCCAATTCTCCAATACAATAGCAGCCACCGAGGCGATGAATTTCAGCTGCTTGTCAAATTTTACTTGAGCCCAATATCTTTTAATGTTTGAAAGGGCTTCGAAACTTGTCCACCCCTAGCCACGGAGGAGGGAAATTGGGAGGAGGCAGGGCTGTGGTGACGCGGACCAAAGGTGCTCTTCCTCAGCTAGAACTGGGTCTTGCTTGTGCTGACAGGGCCCGGATCTCAGTGGTCATGTAAAGAAGGCATGTCAAACACCCTTCCAATATGTTTTGCAAATCTGTGTGTCCTCAGACCTGTGTGGCGCAGTGTGCCTCCTTTAAATGACAATTTGCTGAAGAATGTATTTTCACATGACTCACACACACGGCTTATCACCCCGATGTGTTTTAGAGTGCGCTTTTAAACTAGGATAGTGTGAAAAGCCCTTCCCACAATCCTTGCAAATATATGGACGCTCACCAGTGTGGATTCTACAGTGCGACTTTAAACTGGACTGCGATGAAAACCTCTTGTCGCACTCTTTGCACACGTATGGCTTTTCACCGGTATGGGTCCTAGAGTGTGCCTCTAAGTTGGAACGATGTGAAAACCCCTTTCCACACTCGTTGCAAATGTACGGGCGCTCACCAGTGTGGGTCCGAGAGTGCGTGTCTAAATTGGAACGATGTGAAAAGCCCTTTCCACAATCCTTGCAAACGTACGGGCGTTCGCCCGTGTGCGTTCTAGAGTGAGTCTCGAAAGTAGAAAACCGTGAAAAGCCCTTGCCACAATCCTTGCAAACATACGGGCGGTCGCCAGTGTGGGATTCTGGAATGCCTCTCCAAAGTAGAACGCAGTGAAAAACTGGTCCCGCACTCATTGCACACATAGGGCTTTTCATCCGTGTGGGTTACAGAGTGTGTGTCCAGGTTGGAGCGCCGTCTAAATCCCTTGCCACACACGTTGCAAATGTGCGGCCGTTCGCCAGTGTGTATTCTGGAGTGCGCCTTCAAACTGCAATGATAAGAGAACCCCTTCCCGCACTCCTTGCACACGTGCGGCCATTCACCGGTGTGAATTCTGGAGTGCAGGTTTAATCTGTAAAGATCCGAAAAACCCTTTCCACACTCCATGCACACGTGTGGCCATTCACCAGTGTGCAACCTGGAGTGCACCTTTAATCTGTACTGATCCGAAAAGCCCTTTCCACAGTCACTGCACACGTGCGGCCGCTTGCCGCTGTGAATCCTGGCGTGCCTCACGAGCTGAGAGTTATTGGGAAACGCCTTCCCACACTCGAGACACGTGTGCGTCCTCTCACTAGCGGCGCCGATCGCCTGCGCTCGCGACTCGTCGAATGGCGAAGAAGCCTCCTCGGTCGTTGTTTGTAAGAATTGCTCCTCCCCAGGGCTTGTCACGGCATCTTGAAGCAGCTTCCCGCAATGCGTGCAGGCTTTCCGTGGCAGCCCGGGGAGTTTCGCTTCACCCACGGTCGTCTTCTTGAAGCGTCTACCACCAAGATCTCTGCCGCATTCCTCACACAGGTGTCCCGTTTTTTTTCGTTTCATCTGCCACAAATTGTTCAACGAGAAAATCAAAATGTGTAGTTTTATTACACAATGCAGGCGACACACATTTGTAGGCCCTCGCTTGAAAGAGGAAGAACACCGCAAGCAATTTGGCTTTGTCAAGTTACTGAGTACCATAGTCCCTCGGTTAAGGTTTTTAATTCATTCCACGAAAACTACTGTTCCCAAAATAACTGTAAATCGAATATAGGAATTACATGTTAAAAGTATTCATCCATTCGAAGACGATCGGAAGTTGACATTTTTGAGCCTAAAAACATAGTTTATAACATTTAAACACTCAATACTAATACATATTATGAGAACATTACAGGGTTAATATTAATAGAAACATAGTTAAATTATGAATAAATAAAGCATAAAAATTATTATTTTGCTAAATTGTAAAAATGGTGGATTGGGTCAAGCCAAAGTCAATCATAAGTGCACACCTTCTTCATGCGTATCAATAATTCCCTGCTTTGTTTGAAGGCTAATTAATTTCCTACTCTTTTCCTTTTGCGAATTCACTTCATGGGCCATTGCAATTACTATTAATTAACTTATAAGTTGAAAAAGAGGTCAAAATCACTGAGTCTGCAGGAGCTGTTTCCACTGCCAAAACAGAAAACGTTATCCTGTAAACGAAGCCAGTCGAGGTCTAAACGCTCATAGATGGGCATTGCTGATTGGCCGAGGCCATGACTCAACCCACTTCTGAGCGCTCCGATTGGCCGAAATTTTCGCCCGCGTGCACAACGTGAACATACCATTATGTATATATGAGCACATCTTGAACCATTCATCATGGCTGCTGAAAACATTTTCTCTGTGATATGATCAAAGGGAGCTCACCTTGATCAATGTTGCATGCCAACACCTCCGTCCGGTCTCGATTGGTGAAATAACCGTAGAAATATCCTGTCTCTGGCCTCCCGACGTCCTCCTCGACCTTAGGAATCTTCTGTCCTGGAACTGAAATTGATCAAATAAAGGTTTGGTCTCCAGCGGTTGGACCGAATATTTAAAAGGTGAGCTTTGCACCAGCGGGGCTTGGGATATTTTATTGACAGTTCTTCGACCTATCACCGGTGTTGTTTTTGTTGGGGTCTCGCTTTTGGAAAAGCGTGGGATCTTTAGCCAGCTAAGGCACCGGGCAGGTCATCCACCGTAGAGATGAAGTGATAAGATCAGCTCATAGTTGGATTGTTACATCGCATTATTTGTGAGATATGTCAATGGATTTGGGATACCGGATGGATCATGGCCGATGATGATAATGCACAGTATGTAAACACACCTGCAGTTCATCAGCTAGTATTCACAACCGTTTACATGAACAGCTGAAATATGTGAATGCATAACTTTGCGGTCAGATTCTTGTGAATTAAATAACGTCACCGCATCCTCACTGAAATATGGAAAGTGTCTGGTGCAAATCAGTCACACTCGTTGGGTCAAAATCGGGGTCGGCGTCCGCTAATGAGGGGCGGCAACCTCCTCACGCCACGGCTGTTGCATTGCAGTCCCACGGGAAGTTGAAGAGCGGTCTTCAAGCGACGCAAGAGCCACAGGGGCATTGGAAGTTTGTGGTGAACGAGCAAATGGTGTCGCTCAAAAAACAACGTGGGAAACGGCCCGTATAGCGTTGTACGAATGTGAGCGAGAGCTGTATTATCTGCCTGCAAGAGAAACTAAACTCAAAAGGGGCAGAAGATCTGACCTGTGATTTCCTCTTCATGCTTTACCATCACCGTCCGCACAATCTCAGGGCTGGGCTTTTCTTCCACATCCTCTTCGCTCAACAGCGCTTCGCAAACAACGGCACGTGTGGTGTGTGTGCGCGTGGGTATATAACGTCAAAACGTAGACATAAAAACGATACGCGATTATTACACCTTTAAATCTTGAGGCAGCTGGGAATAGGCTAGCAGTCATCATGCCCACCAACGGATCCAGTTTGTACAGACGTTGGCAGTTCCATTCCTGCCAAAAAGCACTTTCTAACCAATTTGTGCTGATTACAGGCCTTTTGACATTCGAATTATACCTCTATGTGGCTAGGTGTATCAGGGAGCGTCTTATGTCAATGTCAGAGCACTGTCAGAGCACTGACAATGAACTCAAAAGTCAGTGGTTTATTGCTCAATTGAGCATATTGCCAGTGCTCATCTCCTGTTACAGCCCTATGCTAGTGGTGGAAATTCTACTTTCCTTTGGCGGGGCCGAGTCTGTCCATCAGGCAAGCCACTGTCAACTTCCACACAAAGTGGCACTCGTGTTATGGGCCCTGGAGGAATGATGGGCTAAGTCAACCCCCAGCCATGATTTTAAATGTCTTTGCGAGCCGCTCACTGTACCGCTGAGCCTGTACTACTGAGACCTTAATTTCAATTATGGGGGCTAAGATACTTTCTCTCTCTTAGGTTTTTTCACTGATATACGTGCGATTTCACTCGATGCATTAACATGAAAAAGGTTATGATATAAGTGACTTGAAAAAGTGAATTGTTGACTCGTAGAGTTTGCATTACTGCAATCTCCCCGGTCAAACCTACATAAAATCAACGAGATCTCACCGTCATCGACATCTTCAAGTTTCACCGTCACATCAGGAAACACATCAGGGCTTGGCGGTTCTTCATGTTCTTTTTTAATGAAGGAAAATTCAATGCGAGAGTCCATCTGGGGAGCAAACGTAAGGTCAAATTAATCATCTAACTAGACAGAATTCACCGAGCCTGTCGAGACCAGAACCGTCAAAGAACCGCATATGCCAAGGTTTGCGTGGATGTGGTTTAGGTGTGCGACTACGGTCACCTGGAACAGAACCATGGAATATAGAACGACTCAATGCCCTATTCACAAACACGAAGTCATACCTGTCAACCCCTTATCAGTTCCCGACCATATTACAGACCTTATAGGTCACCCCGTGCCCCTTATAAATCTCAACGTTCATCCTACAAAGTCCCATCACGAGGGAGAAACACAAACACAGACAGTCTTTTTTTTGCGCGTATTGAAACGGCTGTACGCCGTATGGACCTGAAAACTCAATTTGCCTGGACAAGAATACGGTACAGATCGTGTGGGTTGACATCTATGCGAGACATATAAAATCACAGTGATGCGCTGACACAATTATCCGTCTCAACCACCTCGGTGCAAAGCTACAGCAGTTGCTATGCATCAACATCAGCCACGCGAAGGAGTGCTGCTGCTGCTGTTGCTGCATCGAACATTATTCCACTTTGCTTTTGAATTCGGCCAAAAGCCAGACAGCTGGTTTTGACAGTGCAACAAATGGGATCTTCCTGCACTGCCCTCTGCTGCTGGACCAAGGAAGACCCCGAGCAGCCAACAAGAACCATCCAGCAGGCTCCACCTGCTTAGCTTCTGAGACCCTGCATACATCCAGACGAACTCCAGATGATTTGGTCATATGCCATACAAAGGCAAAGCCCCCCCCCCCCCCCCGTATAGCCTTAACTGTCTACTGGGGCAAGTGCTTGCTTGTTACCGATGAAGGTCGGCACGGCACACGGAGGGGGTGGGTGGCCAACACCACGCCCGGCCGCCTTTGTCTCCCCAGTGGCGATGTTTCCACATCGCACCATGTACTCATTCGAGGCTGAGTCGACCTAGGGGTCGCCCAGTACCGGTTCAGATAATCGTCACCGGTGCTGTCCAGTGAGCGGGAATCGAACCCGTAGCGCAGCGTAGCGCTAACCACTGCACCACCGCTCCCCACACTCTAACACACGTCCACAGCACGGGCACAGCACGGGCACACAGCCTGTAACCACGTGCAGTGCTGCACACGCGCAATTAACACGTGCGTTCAATTACAAGGGCAAAGGTCCCCCGGGTAGCCCGAGCAGACCGTTGTGGCAAGGGGCTGGGAGCGAGTAAGCACCTCCTAAGGCCTCCCTCTGAGGCACACGAGGGGAGTCGGGTGGCAGACACCGCGCCCGGCCGCCTTTGTCTCTCCCCGAGTGGCGATGTTTACAGAACCGCCACCCGGGCGCTCGGTTTGTTTGTTAAGGCCGAGTGGACCTAGAGGGGGGGGGGGTTGACCGCTGACGCCACGCACGAGAATCCATTCACAGGACAAAGAACTCCACCACCACCACCACCGCCACCACCACCATCGTAGGCAAAGATCCCCCGTGTAGCCTCAACAGACTGTGGGACAAGCGCTGTTAGCGAGCAGCAGCAGCAGCGCCGATGAAGATCGGAACGACGGCACACGAGGGGTGGGTGTCTAGACACCCACGAGGGGTGGGTGTCTAGACACCCACGAGGGGTGGGTGTCTAGACACACACGAGGGGTGGGTGTCTAGACACCCACGAGGGGTGGGTGTCTAGACACCCACGAGGGGTGGGTGTCTAGACACACACGAGGGGTGGGTGTCTAGACACCCACGAGGGGTGGGTGTCTAGACACCCACGAGGGGTGGGTGTCTAGACACCCACGAGGGGTGGGTGTCTAGACACCCACGAGGGGGTGGGTGTCTAGACACCCACGAGGGGGTGGGTGTCTAGACACCCACGAGGGGTGGGTGTCTAGACACACACGAGGGGGTGGGTGTCTAGACACCCACGAGGGGGTGGGTGTCTAGACACCCACGAGGGGGTGGGTGTCTAGACACCCACGAGGGGTGGGTGTCTAGACACCCACGAGGGGTGGGTGTCTAGACACCCACGAGGGGTGGGTGTCTAGACACCGCGCCCGGCCGTCTTTGTCTTCCCAGTGGCGATGTCTACACACCGCACCAGGGTACTGCTCATTTGAGGCTGAGTGGACCTAGGGGAGGCTCAGGAACCGGTTCAGACAATAGTAGCCGGTGTGTTGGTGGCTGTGAGCGGGAATCGAGCGACTCCACCGACACCCACAGACACATTGACACACACACACTGACACACACACTGACACACACACTGACACACACACACTGACACACACACACTGCCGCACACACCACACACACACTGACACACACGACACACACACACCGACACACACACCCCGACACACACACACCGACACACACACCCCGACACACACACACCGACACACACACACCGACACACACACCACACACACACTGACACACACGACACACACCGCACACACACTGACACACACACACCGACACACACACAGTGACACACTGACACACACACAGACACACACACAGTGACACACTGACACACACAGTGACACACACACCGCACACACACCGACACACACACACTGACACACACACACAGTGACACACTGACAGACACACACACAGTGACACACACACCGACCGACACGCCGCGTGACGACTACAGCATGGTCACTGCAGACGGGATTGTTGTTGTTGTTGCTCAATCAGCACGTTTGTCGTTCTCGGACGAGTATGAGGGTAAAGTGGTTAACGATGTAATCATAGCGGCAAGCAAATAACGTGACGTTGTAATGCTGAGCGGCGTTTACAGAATGCAGAGGCGCGCGTCACTCACCGCGATCGCTCGAACCGCATCGCCCCCCGAACGTGGATTGGCATCAGAGGGCCCCGGAACATGAATCGGCATCGCCCCTTCCCCGGAACATGAATCAGTATCGGTGACCCCCCCAAAACTTGAATCGGCATCGGCGGCCCCGGAACGTGGATATCGGCAGCGACAGCACGAAGCGACTGGATGGATACAAGACGCAACAACAACAGCAGCAGCAGCCACTGCTGGTCCTCACCTCGTGCTTTTGGCCGCACGTTCAGGAAGGAGGTCACCGCCCCAGTGTGGAGGCCTCTTGCTGGCCACGGCGTGCTCCGGGAGAGAGAGACACAGAGATTGATGTTCCTCCTCCTCCTCCGTTGCAGGCGCACAGACTACAGTGGGTCTACTTCACTGCCCATAGTTTTGACTAGCACTGGCCACGATAACACGAACTGTGGATTGTCTTCAATGTGTCAGGGATGTCAGGGGAAGGATTCCCACCAAACGGAGGGGGAGTGGGACGGTGACAGTGTAAGGAGGAGGAGCAGGCGAGGAGATGTAAGAGAGAGAAGAGGGGAGAATTGGCTGTGGACGAGTGTGGACTGGGGGAAGCAATAAAAGACGAACACCCGCAAGCTTGTGTCGGCTCTCCTTGACAAATGTATCTGTGTGTGTCTCTACGGGGCTTTATTGATGCTACTCTCTGGTCAATAGTTTGTTCGCATGGGCACAGTTCCACCGTGGTTTATCTTGAATTGTACATCATGAATGGAGACGCGCGCATGCGGCCATTGAGGATCTGCCACGGGTTGGTGGTTCCATCGGTGTCTGAGAAGAGGTGGAGGAATGCCAAAGCCAACAGGTGTGCGATGGTTTTTGGGTCTCAATGAGGGTGCATATCCCGGGTGGTCTGCCCTTCCCTCGATGTTCGCCAGCGTTCTTCTTTCTCTGGGTTGAGATTCTCGGGATAATCGGGTACTTAGAGGCAGGGGTGGGAAACCTTTTTTATACCAAGGGCCATTTGGATATTGAAACATCATTCGCGGGCCATACAAAATTATCAACTTAAAAATTAGCCTGTTATATTTACGTAACACCGTTAGACTGCATATTGACTTGGGGTCATTATTCGGGCATTACATTTCCGTAAGCCACCTCCTGGCTGCGTGGCGTTCTGTTAAGTCGCGAAACTTCCAATGTCAGATTATCTCATGATCGCGATTCTTGGGGAGACAAATTTAAGTCATGATTTGACAAGAAATGCAGCCCCAGACTTAAGTTGTCTCCAGTTTCAGTCTCAAATAATTTCCCTAACGCTTATTTATAATATAATTAATCGTTATTGATTCGTCATCTGTGTCACTCATGCTCTTGGTGTTACCCGTGAGTATTTTGAGAAGACCTGGGGATACAGGAGTGAACCACATGCATGTATAAGTGTACACTAATTACAAACTACTAGTTGCCGCCAAGAAAAAAAAGCGTATTACATTCTGATCCAGAGCACTCGATGGTTACTAAATGGTTCATGTTTGATCATTATTAGGCCACAAACTCCCGATTAGGTCAGGTCTTGCACACTTCACAATTTGTTAAATTCGCCTTTTAAGTCTCACTTCTGGCAGGATGGCCATGAGGCCCTAAGTATTGTACAGCAATCAGAAGGTCACTGGGCCTCTTTCGATGCAGCTGTTTGGCTCGGAACTATACAGTAGTATAGGCACATGATACAATTAAGAGGTATACATCGCTAAATTCCTCAATTTCTGTATTTTAAATATAAATTATATTCTGCGTAATCCAAACAGGGTGAGGGGGTTAAGAAGACAGAGAAAGAAGCAACGTGGGAGAGGGGGCCTGATCTGACATCTCGTGGCCTGGACGCTGAAGGTGACACCAGGTGGCTAGACAGCGGGTCCACTGTGGCCTGCTGGAACCACCTGGTTCCAGCAGGCCACAGGGGATTATTGTGTCCGTCTGTCGTGCATAAAAAAATGGGAGGGGTGGGGCTGGGTGGAGAGGGAAGGGTGGGGAGGGGCTGGGTGGGGAGGGGAGGGTGGGGAAGGGTGGGGAGGGGCTGGTCACCCCGTGGTGCCCTTATAAAACTCAACGTTTAACCTACTCACGCCGGCTTGTGCCCGCCCTCACAGTTGGCCATATTTGCGGAATACACCACGCCGCCGTTGACCCTGGCCAACCCAACGTTCCTACCAGCTCCCTCCGCAGGAATGTTTTGATTTTATCCAAGTACAGTAGTGTCAATGACTGTCAAGTTTAAAGAAACTTTGGTTTCAAGCAATACACACTTTATATTGAAAAGGAATTTTGGTTTAATAAATAAAGAAATGCAGTTATTGTAAAAATGTAATTTCTCAAGATAATTTCTGCAGATAAATGTTAGTCCTCCACAAGCGGCCAGTCACTAAACCACACGTCAGCACAGGAAGTCTGTGCGACGTCAACATTTTCATTTTATTTAGGAATTGGAATTATTTTCGGGACTAGTTATCCAATGTGGATAGTCGGAACAGAAAAAAAGTGTTTTTTTACTCTTCACTCAATAATGCCAGAGGAAACAAAATTTTAAATCGTTTCATCTTTAATGTTATGCTTTATCCGCTGATGATGTTCAGAACAGAAAACACATTTTATCGTCTCATTTTAAGTGTTGTGCTTTATCCGCTCAGAACAAACAGAAAGCAATTTAAAAAAATGTTTTAATTAAGAGACTATTTATCCAATGTGGATAATTGGCGACAAAACAGAACAAGTAATACTGTGCCATAGTCAATAAGTAAACAATATTTCCCCTCATCATCTTAATCCTCCAGCTGTAAGAAATGTCCTCCTTGCCACTTGTTGCCACACGGGGACGACCTGCTCACGACCACCCAGAAGTACTCGGTGTGGGAAACCTGGGGGCGGCGGCCGCAGCTTTTGTACACGGCTGCCTCCGCTTCCTTGATCGCCGCACCAGCGTCCCATGAGCAGCAGCAGCAGTATCGTGCACCACAAAGCCTGACATCGAGGTTTGGCCAAGTAGCGCCGATTGCCTCAGTGCTATCTCGTTCCTCATTCTCCTTATGAGAAGTTTCCTCTGCTCCTTCTCGGGGACAGGAGCATTCTCCAGGTAGCCGAGTAAAGTATCGCAAGCGCTAACGGCCGCCGCGCACCTTGTTGTCCTTCCAAAAGCCTGCTCCTCTGCGGTGGCCTCGTCTTCTTCCTCGCCGTCGTCATCGCTGCCAATGCCAGCCAGGATCTCCTCCTCCGTTTTCTCCTGCCAGGCGGGGTCCACGGAGTCTTTTGAGGAGAGCCACTCGGTGACATCCTCCAGGTTGGTGCTGCTGCAGCCCGGGATGTCGTGCAGAAGTGCTAGACAATCTCTGGCCGACTCTTGGAGGGCGACAGGTGACAGCTGCTCATCCTCTTCTTCCAAGTCGACTTGGGGCACAAAAGAAGCGGGCCAGATTGGCTTCCAGCACCGGTTGAGGATGTCCCTCCGCACGTGTCTCCAGGCAGAAGCGGCCACAAAAAGGGCGTCCTTAATAGAAAGAGCCCTCCAATGCCTGATGAGAGTTTCTGGGTCTTCATCTTCCATGTTGAGAAGCTTCCGTAGAAGCTCCTTCCTGTACAGGCATTTGAACAATGCGATCACCCCCTGGTCCATTGGTTGTAGGAGAGCGGTCACGTTCGGCGGAAGGAACTCAACAGTGATGTGCCCATCTTGCGTCTGCAGGGTCTGTCCGGAGGGATGTGCCGGGGCGTTGTCAATTACAAGGATTGCACGCGAGCCCAACTTCTCACGGAAGAGATTGTCACGGACGGCAGGAACAAATTTGGTGAAGAACCAGTCCTTGAAGGTGAACTGGTCCATCCAGGCCTTCCTCTGTCCATAATAATGAACAGGAAGACAGTCCTCAGGGAGGTCTTTGAGGGCCCCAAGCTTTCTTGACTTACCCAGGCACGTCAATTTAAGCTGATGTGTGCCCGAAGCATTGGCACACATCAGAACTGTCATGCCCTCCTTGCTACATTTGTAGCCGGCAGCATTCACTTCCGAACAGGAAGCCAATGTTTTGGAAGGCAGCGACTTCCAAAACAGGCCCGTCTCATCCGCATTATAAATTTGGGATGCGCATAGGCCTTTGTCATCCACCATCGCTTGGAATCTAGCGATGTATTCCCGGACCGCATCGACATCAGACCCAGGGCGTTCACCGACTACGGAGAGGCGCCGGATGCCGTGGCGTTCCTTAAAGGAACGCAGCCACCCCTGACTGGCCATGAAGGTTTCCTCTTCCTCCTCATCGCCTCCTTCTTGCCTGGACCGAAGCTTCGCAGAGAAGACCTTGGCCTTCTCGCACAGGATGGGGCCACTCACTGGGTGGCCCTGTGCACGCTGCTGCAAGAACCACTCGTACAGCTTGGCATCGAGCTCCTTGTTGTCAGCCGAGCGGGTGGTCTTGCGCTTCTTTGTGGCGTTTGCACTCTGAAGTTCCGAAAAGAACTTGGAGATTTTATCCGCGTTGTCGCGGATGTCTCGGACGGTGGTGTAGCCAATGTTGTAATCGGCTGCAATAGCTTGGAGGGATCTTCCAGTCCTGATCTTCTCCAGGACTTCAATTTTCTTTTCGAGGGAAAGGAAGACTCGTTTGGCTTTTGTCTGGCCCTTGCTGCCTTGCCCTGAAGACATCTTTGCTTGTCTTCTCCTCCTCCCTGCTTCTACTCTTCCTCCCTTCTCTTTGTATCCCCTATTCCCTCCCTTCTCTCCCTTCTCTTGCTGCTCCTCGTTATCGTTTCCCCCTGCTGCAAAATAAATTTATTCTGCATTGAAGGAAAAAGACAAGTGCATGTACATCACTATACAGTACAGTGCTGTACTGTATAAGGTACTTTTTAATATCTTCCTATGCTTTGTCTCTCTTCGTGTGTCTTGGTTTGTCTTCTTCTGATTGAAAATCTGTAAGTACAGATAACCAAATAATTATATCAGTTAATTTAATTAAGTAGACTCAACAATACGGCCACAGACCACTCACAATTGGCACACACCTACACGCACACCGCCACATAAGAGACAAAATACAGGGACTCCTCTACTTATGAACATTCGACTCACGAACTTTCAGAGATACGAACAAACCTGTTCATATGTACAGTTGCCTGTTCGGACCGAGAGTCGTGAGTTCAACCGTCACACAATAGATGGTGGTAGTGGCATCTACATCTCTGCAGAACATTAAACCAGTGGCATCTACAGAACATGAAGAACCAGTGGCATTTACATCTGCAGAACATGAATAACCAGTGGCATCTACATCTGCAGAACATGAATAATCAGTGGCATCTACATCTGCAGAACATGAAGAACCAGTGGCATTTTCATCTGCAGAACATGAAGAACCAGTGGCAACTACAGGAGATTATACAACTTGTAAAACCATTCCCCGTGTCTAGTGGACACGCCGTGCAACGTGTTTTGAATGGACAGGAGTAAAGTTGGACTTACGAACAAATTGACTTACGAACAGACCGTTGGAACCTAATTCGCTCGTAAATAGAGGAGTCCCCGTACAGAACGGATTGCATTGTTTACTCTTTAGTTTTAAGAATAAAGAAAACATCATACTCTCCCATCAGACACGAATCGACACAAACGTGTTCAAGTGTAATGAATAATTCACCGGTATCCCTATATTGCAAATATGGAAATACTTTACTTTACTCATTTGCTACTGTAGAATACTGTACAAAGCGGATATGAACTTCTATATTTGGGCGAGTTGGTTACTTTGTCCCTTGTGTTACGAATTGCGGGTACACATTTAATTAAAATGTAATCTTAATTGTAAACTACAGAAAATAAAACACATTCCTGCGGAGGGAGCTGGTAGGAACGTTGGGTTGCTCGGTCAATGGCCAGGGTCAACGGCGGCGTGGTGTATTCCGCAAAAATGCCCGACTGTGAGGGCGGGCACAAGCCGGCGTGAGTAGGTTAAACGTTGAGTTTTATAAGGGCACCACGGGGTGACCAGCCCCTCCCCACCCAGCCCCACCCCTCCACCCCCACCCTCCCCACCCAGCCCCTCCCCTCCCCAGCAGGCCCCTCCCCACCCAGCCCCACCCCTCCACCCCCCACCCTCCCCACCCAGCCCCTCCCTCCCCACCCAGCCCCTCCCTGCACGACGGACACAATAATCCCCTGTGGGCTGGTGTAACCAGGAGGTTCCTACCAGTATTAATGGTGTCTAAATTGGTGGGGGGGGGCTTGCCCCCCCAACACCTATACACTATTGATACAATATTCCAGAATCTAAAGAACCACGCAACTTGAGATAATTTACAACGGCAACGTAGTGTATAATGCATTGTAAAACTCGCTGCTTAAATACTCACCGTTAATCTGCAGCGGTGTGCCGCGGATTTCGAGGTCGGCACGACCGCGGCGCCATAATCCGCACGAGGTTTTGCGCCACCGGGGAAATGCAATAAAAAAAATCGCGGATTTTCGGATTTCGCGAAGCGTTGCGACCGTCGCGAATTACAGGATTCGCGGATTATTGGAGTCCGGCGTACACACTTTTCACGACATTGATTTTTGTATCGCGTCCGAATGCGACGAACCGCACCCACAACAGGGGCTCTGCAACACAAAGGGGCGGGCGTTGAAGGTGAGCCCGGCCGGTGCGGCTGATCAGGGCATCGCTGTGCCGAGATCTTTGTTCAAGGGGATTTAAAGACAGCGAAGGGGACACGAAGCGACAAGATGCGGCTAGATCCGCCACGCAACATCCCCAAGTGCTCCCGAGGTTCATAGAGTTGCAGGGCTGTGAGCGGGCCAGAAGGTGGCAGTAGAGTCGAGGTCAAGTAACTCCAGAACACGCGTGCCGATTGTGTTGTGGTTATTGCAAACATGATGCCTTGTATAAAGGTGTCAGTTTTTGTACTAGTTCAAAGGGTAAAAACCTATCACTATATTTTGCCACTGGTAAAGGAGGTCTCATAGTGTAAATGCTTAACCCGAGCTCTCAATACTCTGATAGTGCGCTGTTTTTGAGTTGTACGCCTTTGGAGTCATCTGGTCCAACACCAATGGAGACTAGGCTCTAAGAAAATCTGTCTCGGGTGTGGACCAATCAACTTCAAGGACAGTGCATATCATTATCATAGTTGTTTATTTTTGTTTGCATTGACTGCTTGTTGTGGTTATTGCAAATATGATGCCTTGTATAAAGGTGTCACTTTTTGTACCAGTTGAAAGGGTAAAAACCTATCACTACGCTTGGCGATGTTGTTTATTTAGGAGTGACATTGACAAGGCGAAGCTGTCAGCCCATCACGGGTTACCCGCGTTCTTGTACAGGGGGACTGAGTTTTCAGGTCCATGCGGTATATAGCCGTTTGAATACGGGCAAAAAAAAAAGAGTTTTTGTCTATTTGTTTGTGTTTCTTCCTTGTGATGGGAATGGAGGATGAACGTTGAGATGTATCGGGGGCACGGGGTGACCAATAAGGTCTAAATTCGTCTGTAATGAGCGAGGTACTGATAATGAGGTTTACAGGTATGGTTTTCCCACCTGATGATGATTGATTGTGTTGCAATCGAAACGTCGTGATTTATTTTATATCTACGTGACTTTACCGAAAGAACCAAAGAGTATGGATTCCTGCAGTCACGAAAGCTTCAAATCTAAATTAGGTATGACAAGGTCTGCAAATTACTGTCATTTAAAATATACACCCATACCAAACAAACAAAAACGTTTGCAGAAAACGTACAATTCCAATTTTAATTTCACAGACATTTGAATGCAACAATTGTTTGAATACAACAATATATTGCCACCCGTACCACAGCCACTGTTTTTGGCCAAGAGGCAGTGATGTTATACCAGTGCTTTTGTCAAGCCGGATACAACTTGTCGGGAACACAAAACGCATGCATGCACATGTCTCTTATCACGGCCATGGTCAAGTGGTCTTAGTCTCCTGTCACCGTGGAATTATCTATAGTGCCTTTTGTTCTGGGAAATGTAATTTGCCAACACTTTCACAAGCTTAGTAATTGAGCCAACAGTTCAAGTTGTACCTCGCTGAAACGTGCTACACAAGCTCAGGATCAGATCATTACAACAATGATAAATCATTAAATATGTACTCGTGATTCGTGAGAAAGATTAAGCCGGCTATCAAGTAATGATCTACACAATGAGCGAAAATCAGAGTGACCATTTCAGGAACACCAAATATGGAAACATTTTATTGTCAAAAAAAATTAACGCCCCTTTGAAATTCATCACGTCTATCCACTTTCATTGCTCCGAACCGTGGACTTTATTCAATGAAAACATTCAAGGATTTAAATATATTTAGTCACCGATGTGTGCTTTATAGTGCCTCTTTAAAGAATCGCACCGCGAAAACTCCTTCCCGCAATCCTTGCACACGTATGGCTTAAGGCCAGCGTGCGTTCTCGAGTGTCTCTCTAAAATACAAAGCTGCAAGAAGCCCTTCCCGCACTCCTGACACACGTGTGGCCACTTGCCCGAGTGGACTAGAGAGTGCGTATTTAAACTGTAGCGCTGTGAAAATCTAATTCCGCACATCTTGCACACGTACGGCTTTTCACCCGTATGAGTTCTGGAGTGTCTTTCTAAAAGATAACGCTGGAAAAATTGCTTCCCACAATCCTTGCATATGTATGGGCGTGCACCGATGTGCACTTTAGAGTGCATCTTTAAACCATAACTGTGTGGAAATGCCTTTCCACAGTCCTTGCAAATGCATGGCTTCACGTCAGTGTGCATTATAGAGTGCCTCTGGAAATTGGAATACCGTACAAACGCCTTCCCACAGTCCTTGCAAACGTGTGTCTTTTCACCAGTGTGTGTTTTGGAGTGCCTCTCTAAATCGGCGATACGAGAAAACCCCTTCCCACACTGCTTGCACACGTGCGGCCACTCACCAGTGTGTATTCTGGAATGTGCCTTTAATCGATAGTGATACAAAAACCCCTTTCCACACTCCTTGCATACATGCGGATGCTTGCCACCGTGCGCCACGGCGTGCCTCACTAAATTCGAGTTGTTTGAAAATACCTTCCCACACTTTTTGCACGAGTGCATCCTCACGTCGGTCGCGTTCGTAAACTCATGCGTTCCCAACTTCTCAACCGGTGCGGAAACCTTCCTGCTCGATGCACGGAAGCGTCGCGTCTCTCCAGTGTTTGTCTTCTTCGACTGCCTATTGATGCATGACGTGGTGTCTTTAAGTGTCTTCCCACATTGCGTGCAAGCTTGCAGCGTCTGGCCGGCAAATTTAACTCGATAGGTCTTCGTTTTGAAGCGTTTCACATCGTCCTTCCCGCACTCCCTGCACAGGGGTCGTGTTTCAGTTTCTTCCTCTTCATCTGCCACACAATGTTGAAACAAAGACCATCGCTAGGTTAAAATACGCTATCGCACAATGTGAAGCCCCCACATGAGGGCAACATAATTGGAGATGGAAGTACCGGCAAGATGTAAGATGGGATACAGTAGAAGCTTGATGTAAGCACGAGCCCTTGAGAGCAAATCAAGCCCGGATCCAGATCCTCTCGGATAGGGGGGGGGGCAGTGGAGCTGTCGTGTGGAAAACCATAACAGCGGTCTACTGCACTGCTTCAGAGAGTAAGTAACCAAGTGTGGATTCAGAGTAACATTTGGCAGTAAAGGGTCCAAAACTCCTGCTGCCAAAACAAGAAAAAAGCATGATCTCTTGACCTCATTTAAAAATTCAAAAACATTCTGATTATATATCTTTTATATAGCATCGTTAATGCAAATTGCATCTCACAACCAGTGAGGAACCACGGACAATCTGGTAGCAAGGGAAGTGGAAGCAGTAGTGAATAAACAAAACTGGGCAGGTAGATCTCACCTGTGGTTATCTCTTCATCCTTCACCACCACTACTTGCACAATCCCAGAGCTGGGGTTGTCGTCAACATCTTGCTTGCATGGCAGCACTTGGGCAATAACAGCACACATCATCACGATCCTGATCATGCATGCTTCATCCACTGCTACATGAATGACTCCCAAGTCATCGCCATTCACTCGGGGTCTCGTGATGCAATAACCCATCGACTTGCTAAACATGCACTCATCCCGTCAATTCCTCTCTGCTGCACTCGCCTATGATGGCAATGTCGTTCCGCAGCAGTCTGATGCATGTTTTATGCATGGTGGTCATCCATCCAAGTGCTATTCTGGGTCAACCCTACGTTATAACTATATTGGGCGCATTTTGAGTGAATTTGGTAGTTGTGGAGTGTACAACTGATGTATTTACTCTTGGGCCATGCCCAGGAATTTAAGGTTGTTTGCTTTTCCTTAACATCTAAATCTTGTATACTTTTACGTGTTATCACTGTGCTCGGTTACTTTAAAACCGAGCTGTGCCTTGAAAAACATGTTGTCACCTGGGTTAAAATAAAGTTATCTTACTACTAAAAAGGTAAAATGTAAAAGTGCAGCTTTGCCATTGCTTGCTCACATCACCGCTGGTGAAAGGGCCAACATTAGAGCGAGCTCCTGAGGACCCCTTTGAGGGGGTATTTTGGTCTTCTCTGCCACACTGGCCGGATATCTCGGGAGGACCACATGAATCACTGTGATTGTACCCATTTATACTGCTGGGTAGGCAAAGTCGAGGGGATTTAAAAAACGTGCACTGTTGTTAAAACTGCTGCGCCGAGAGATGAATCCAAGTGACCAGTGGATTTCTACTACGGCTTGGCATTGATTGTTGAATTGATGAACCAACAATGCAGCATGGAAAGACTTACCAAAATCCCGTAAAAGATTACATTTATTGTGGTAATACCCACGGTGGCTCAGGGAAGAAAACCGAGGCATCTCACCAGCATCGTCTTCACGCTTCACTGTTACGCCTTGAAACATCTCAGTGCCAGCTTCCAAATATGCGTTTGAAGAAAGCAAATTCCATGTGATAAGCCACCTGAGGGGCAAAAAAAATAACAAAGTCAGGCATCAATTTAGACATTGAATGTACAAACATCCCAAGGAAAGCCATGCAGTTGAGGCTACTGCTGTTAGCGAGAACCTATTAACGCTGGAAATATCACAAGAGGGGTTTTGTGTACCTAAGGTCTAGGACAGGGGTCGGCAACCTACGGCTCCGGAGCCGCATGCGGCTCTTTACGGGCTGCTTCTTGACGATGAGTACGTATGTACTCAGATGCATTGCGGCTCTTGAAATACTGAATTTTGTACCGAATTGGAAAGAAATGGCTCTTCTTGTTATTTTGGTTGCCGACCCCTGGTCTAGGACGACACCTGGTCGCATCTGGTGTCACCAATGATGTTTAGACACTGCACCAGTGAGTTAATTGAAGCTGATCTAACCTTCGTGAGATGTTAGGCCAGGTTCAGAGTGACTTTGCCGTTGCTGGTGTATTTGTGGCAAGCAATGGAACTTGAGTAACACCGGGATCGCCACACCGTCACCGACAATCATCTCTTTGCCATCGGCTACGATCAATCTGCTTAAGGGATGAAGGAGGCCTCCCAAACCTGCCTCGTGTTTTAGAAATGCAAGTTAACAACGAGCAAGCAATTGACTGCCGTTAACGTTTTACACACCGCGCCCAAGGCACTCGTTTACGGCTGAGATGACCTAGTGGAGGTCCCACGACTGAGGTCAGTGCCGGATTATCCTCGTAACAAGAGCAGCAAATGCTATGGGTCCCGCACTTTCAAGGGCCCCGCGCTAAATGCTTTCCAGCTATCAACTCCAGTTCAGTGATTCTGCACTTGCTCTATTACTATAGTACTATACCGCCTTCAACTTTCATGAGGTTAGCGATTTGTCGTATTATCTGGTTGTATTGCAAATAAACAAATGCAATTACTTTACTATGCAAGTAAAAAAATAGCGTTTTAATATGTAGGTGTATCTATTTATTTATGGCTACAGGCCCCGCACGAGCTTAATCCGGCCCTGGATGCGGATATCGATTGCTCGCAATGTTCGCCGTGGTGGTGGTGGTGGTGAGAAACTGACCTCTTGTTGAGTTCATCTCGGCTGGTAGCAACAGCGCGCTAACCACTGCGCCACCACTCCCTACACACTCAACACACGCACGTGTGAACACAGCAGTGCAACAATAGAATTCGATGACACTTCATCACTGTGCACGTACCGTAAGAGTTGCTTCAAGTCGGCAAACCACGGTGCGTGTTCCAGACGCGGCGGTGACGAGGGGAGCGACAAGATGCGTGCGATCGAGACACTCCACCGCGGGCGTTTTGCGCCAGGCTAGGTGCACTTTGAGGCCGCGTCAAGTGCCGAGGGCTCGGCCCGCGCTGGCAGAGGAGGTCACGGAACAGACAACCCGGCAATTGCCACGGGTCGACTGGCGTGAGATGGCTGGCAGATGCACCACCACCACTTGAGACCCACAACAACAAAGATCCACCCCCCGTGTAGCCCTAACAAGCTGTTAGCGAGTAGCAGCAGCAGCTATGAAGGCCCCCACTGTGGCACACGAGGGTCGGTGGGTTGGCCCGGCCAGCACCAGCACCACCAGCACCACCAGCAGCACCACCACCAGCAGCACCACCAGCACCACCACCAGCACCAGCACCACCACCAGCACCAGCACCACCAGCACCACCACTACCAGCACCACCAACACCACCAGCACCAGCACCACCAGCACCACCACCAGCTCAGGCCCCCCAAAACCAGAATCCACCAGCACCACCACCACCAGCACCACCAGCACCACCACCAGCACCACCACCACCAGCACCACCACCAGCACCAGCACCACCAGCACCACCACCACCAGCAGCACCAGCACCACCACTACCAGCACCACCACCAGCACCACCACCTGCACCACCACCAGCACCACCACCGCCACCAGCACCACCACCAGCACCAGCACCACCACTACCAGCACCACCACCAGCACCACCACCACCAGCACCACCAGCACCACCACCACCAGCACCACCACCACCAGCACCACCACCACCAGCACCACCACCACGCCCGGCCGCCTTTGTCTCCCTCAGTGACGATGTTTACTCCACGCCGCACCAAGTACTCGCACAGGGGGCAACGAGATGCGGCGAAAGACGCAATCAGCTTTAGAAGTGAGTGGTGGGCTCACGGCCGTGACCGGTAGATGGCAGTAGAGCAAAGCAAAGTTCAACTCACGGTGATGCTGCCGCTGCTGTGATGGGTTTGTCTTGCAGTGTGCGTGGGTACTGCTTGCAACAAGCACAATTAACAACACATTTAACCACACCACGTTGCTCGATGATGGGTTTGTCTTGCAGTGTGCGTGGGTACTGCTTGCAACAAGCACAATTAACAACACATTTAACCACACCACGTTGCTCGATGATGGTTTTGGCCAATTTGCTCTTATTCATGGCACATAAATGAAAGAGGCAGAGTGGATAATAGTGGTAATAATAGTGGGGACTGTACTCGTATACACACCGGGGCCTGGCGATGAGAATCGAATGAAAGTTTTTAAATGTGTTCTGATGACCAGTTTTTAAATCGGCATGTAAATAGTTATTTAATACTAGGTTCTGGTTCGCAGATAAATCCCTTTAAATAATCTCAAAGTTTGACTGCAAAATACACTCATTTATATTAAAAGTAACATATAATGATAATTGGTTCTTTACCCTTCTATCTGGCAACAAAACTGACACCTTTTTTTTGGTGTCAGTTTTGTTGCCAGATAGAAGGGTAAAGAACCAATTATCATTTTTTTTACTGGCAAATGAGGTCCCCATAGTGTAACATATAATGTTAGTGGAATATTGCATTGTAGAAAGATTTGTTCTTGTTAGCACAAGGTACAATCAATCCACTTAGCAATATCCCTATCCGCATATACAGCAAGTTGTGTTATTGGTATTCCATGGTTTGTTTGGGTTTTCTCCTGGTTCTCCATTTTCCAAGCTTATGAAAATGTAACAACTGGCCAAACACATTCCAGTATCTGCGTGGCTACAACATTCATCACATTCAGCCGTGGCGATTCCACTGCTGAATGAAGACGTCCCTAGTCCATTTGCATCGCTCACAAATGTGCGACGTAATCACCGAGCACCACCACACATACTGATTCCATCGTTCCATCTCCCTGGTGGGAGGCGCATGTCAAGAGTCCACATTGGAGGCTGCAATATTGCCTCTCACGATGGCAGACATCAACGAGCAGCCCCATGGGAGCCAACTTTCACGTCACTTCGGATATGATAACTGGAACTTCCAGTCTAGCGCGAGGAAGTTATGCGCCATCGAGGAAAAACGAAGTGATGGGACATGGTGATGGTGATAATGTCGACGGTGATGCCGACAATGACCATGATAACGCCGCTCCTGCCATTGCTGGGGTTAATGCTGAAGATAATACCGATGCGGTAACAGATTAAACTATTTATGGAGCGCAGTAACCGACAAATGTTTACATTGCCAATCGGGGGGGGGGGGGTGTGGGGGGAATGTTGACGAAAAAATAAGTCATCGGACCATTCGTGAGAATGTTCTCTTTGCGGCTTCAAAGGGTCGTCTACAGTATTTTGAGAGTGAGGGAGGGGAAAGGGAGGCACCCAACTGTGTGTGTTTTAGCAGAGGCCAGGCCACGTGTGTGTGTTTTGAGAGAGAGAGAGAGAGGGGAGAGACAGAGATCCGCTTGTGTGTGTTTTGAGAGTGAGTCAGGGTTGAATATTGACCCTGGCTAAAACGCGGATTGTCACACACACAATACAGCGGCCTCCGCCATGGGCCACAGGGCAACAGCGGCGTTCGTCACGTCGTATGTGACGCTTCTCAGCATTCTGGGTGAGTGTGGGGTCGTCTCGTGATTAATCGGTTTTGTTCCCAAATGTGCACGTTTCGAGAGATTGAAATGTCCGGTGTGCCAAACGCATCACAATGTCCAGTCAGCTGCCTGTATGCGCCGGGTGTTGTATAAAGATTGGTGACATGGGATGTAAATATGACAATGTGTTTCTCTGCATGTAAGAGTTACAAGATGTTTAACCTACTCCGAGCCATTGCTACCTTTTGTGATTCTTTTTAGATTAAACTCCTCTTATCTGATCGATTATCTGCTCTTCCTATTATCTGCATCTCAAAATAGATCTGCATTTTTTTCCTAATATCCGCACGACGATGTTTAATACGATCTGTACTCCCCAGCAAATCGGAGGTATTAGTCTGTGGTGACACATGAGTCGTGTTACCAGAAGCTAAGAGCATCCACTCGACGGAGCTCTGGAGAGCCTTCCTAGAGGGTATTTGGCCTACTCTTCCATTCTTGCCAGACGCGATGTGCCGATCCAATATCTGTGTTGTGCTATTTGTACTGCTGAGGTCGGAGCAGTCAAGAAACTTGCACAATTAGTTCCCACTGCGTAGCTGGGTGAACGTACTGGAATGTCAGCGTACATTTGCGGAGAGGCAAATCTGCGGAGAGGCAAATGTACCCTGAAATCTACGCCCCCGCCCCTCATCCAAGCTCTGTAGTCCTCGATATATTAAAGTGCTATCAGCTAATTAATGAGCGTTTACTAGTTATTTAGTAAATGGATTATTTAAAAGTATTCATTACGTCATGTTTATGCTGAGTGTCTGCTGCTGTGTCCTGTACAGCGCTTTGAGATCCTTAATGAAAAGCCACTTTGTAAATGAAATTATGACTACTTGTAATGCAGAGGACAATCGGTAGATTTGTACCTAATTTGTTCCCACCAGGCTTTGAGATGCTCCAAAATAGCGCTTGCCAACTTTATAACAATATATATCTTCACACATATACACCTGCGATGCATATCATCTGCAAGGTATGCCTCGTATTTTATATTACATGACTAAATGTCGGGATGGCTGAGCAATACGAATACTCGTGACAACAGATTGGCACACACACACACTCACACAGGCTTTCACTTAACCAGTGAGATGTTTATCAGCAGCACAGAGAATGTAGTAGTCGTCATCATCATCAGTCTGGAGTTCCCTAATATCACGATGGGTGTAGGTGGAGAGGATTGCGGTGGCCATTCATGTGTGTAGCTCATTCTTACAATCCAACACTTTATTTATAATATCAGATTTTACTCTATAGTTTAAAAATATTTTACCTTGAGTTCTTGCTTTGTTGTGAATTCCTTTATAGCTTGAAAGAGAGAGAGAGAGTGTCTTTTGCAAGCAAAGCAGTGTTACGGTATTTAAAAACTCAACATTCCCACCTGAAGCGTGTCACATTGACTAATACTTATCCTGTAAGGCGACTCCAAAAGGAGCCCCCCCCTCCCCAAGAAACCATCCGCCTCGGAGATGGAGTGTGAAATTTGCGCGCGTGCGGGTACCACGCGGAGCGTTCCACCGCATGACTGTGAGAGATCGGTGAATTGACCATGGCCCACGTGGTTGATGGGAAATATTGACCAACCCACGTTTGTCATAAAAGGAAAAACCAGATGTTGTTTGTACCGAAACGTTTCGATGGCTTGGTCTACTTTGTGTTGCCCCCCCCCCCCACCACCTCCAGCACAGAGAAGCGAGCTCAACTCATACCGGCGCTTGTACCGCACCGAGCTGAGCAAAGTGACCACCACAGTCCTGGAATACGTCTCCGCTGAGACGTGCGCCAAAAGCTGCAGTCAGAGAGTGAAATGCAGGTACGGGGCGACGGAGAATCGTCGACCGAATTGAGTTATTTTCGCTCTCGGTTATGGGCACGCGTTGGTTACAATTTTTTTGTATTTTGCATTCGTGCAAACGTATAATTTGATGATACCGCTGCTGCATTGGCAACGGCGCACAAGCAAAAGGTACAAAAAACACTGCACCTTCGTCAGTGACACTGCCTTTTTACATTCCTCCAAGACGCTGGAACATCACCAGCCCGATGCGTACATCTCCTTCAGGAATGGAAAATTAAAGACAACTCACAGCAGGGCGATTGTAGCCATGGTACCCAAACTATGTATCATGTAGTAAACCCATAGAAACGCATAGAGACCTATAGAGACATACACAGAGACCCATAGAGACTCGTAGTAATCATATAGTAAACCATTGTTGGTCTGCACTCATTTAATGAAGAAGGAATTGCAAAACTGCGCCAACTCTCTCTCTCGTCGCGGCCAGCAGACTTCGACATTGACACTTTCATCCTGAACACATTGCTACCATAAGCAGTAAGGGAATAGAACTGCCTTAAAAGGGAACAAAAGAAAAACGGAATCGGCGACGTTTCGGGCAACGGCCCTACTTCATAGCGCGATGACCACGAGAGATGGCAGTGGCGATGATGACGATGAGAGGACAGGTGGTGATAGCACAGGCCGTGCAGGACAGACGAGGTGCACCAGGGAGGGGTCCCCAACCCCCGGGGCGCAGACCGGTACCGGTCCTTGGCCTGTTAGGAACGGGGCCGCACAGCAGCAGGTGAGAGCAGTGAGTACGCGCGTGGCCCGCACGTTATTTTATTTACCACTTCCGTCCGCGCCTCTTTCCCGCACTGTGTGCTTGTCTCAGTCACAGTTTTGGTGAGCCCACAAGCTCTAACCCCTAGTAGCCAACATGAGTAAAACACAAACGTCGCTGGAGAGCTTCTTTGAAAAGGAGGAAAGACCCAGTGATGACTCCCCCCCCCCCCCACCGGTCCGTGAAAAAATTGTCTTCCACGAAACCGGTCCCTGGTGCCAAAAAGGTTGGGGCCCGCTGCCTGGTGCACGATTACGGCGCCCCCGACAGGTCAGGCGGTGCAGGTGAGATGGAACACCCCGACAGTCATCGATTCCCGAGTCAATTCGTGACCCCCCCCCCCTCCCAAAGTCGTGACGATCGGTTCAATCGCCGAGTGAATCGTCGATTGTCGATTGAAGCACGGGCGAATGGCGTCGCTCCAATGAATAATGTTATCCTATAAAAAAAAATATGTATATGAAAAGTAATGTATGACTTCCTCCTTCTCTTCCTTAAATCTGCCCCAAACTTTAATCTCCCCACTATTCACAAGCGTTGTTAGTCACATTCTGGCATCGGTGGGAGGGGGGGTTTGATTTGGCTAAAATCATTGGCAAACATTAGGACAGTCATTTTAGAAGCATGCTGTGTTATAATTGGAATACAATGTGTTCAATGTTTATTCACATTCATTTACCAGAAATGTCTACATATGTGTATACATATATAAAAGGAAAAGAGAAATAACATGGGGCCCCTAAGGCAGTTTTGGCACAGGAAAATATAATTTGGTTCACAACAGAAAATATGCCTGTCTGGTATATTGCCAAATTGTAAAATTGTATTTGATGTGTTTAAAAACATATTCCTTGCTTGTTCATCACGCACAGTCTGCAAGCATAGCACAACACCGATATTCTTAGGGCCCCGACAGTGATTGTGGAGCAGGCAACATCATGTATTATGAATGAATACATTATGGTTGCTGAACGAATGCATTGGAAGGTCGCACTCACATAAAGTGCTTGGCACAAATGAACCACAGCACCTTGCTGATCTCGTCAAGGAACGCGAACCACCACGCGAGCTCCGGTGGTCATCCTTGCAGCAGCTTTTGGCTCACCATCGAACAAGGACGGTCACTGCATCGCACGCTTTCAGATGCGCTTCTGCGGCCGTCTGGAATGCTCTTCGTTTCGATGTTAAGACGTCACTGTGGAGATGTGCACTTTTAAATCTAGATTGCAAATTATTTTTTTTAAACTGCTTTTGTGTGTTTAGTTTGTTGTCCTCCCCTGCTTATTAACCACACATTACTTTGAGACCACGTTGTACGTGTCTTGTGTTTAAGAGCATTCATTAGTTTATACGTTCCGCAGCAAGAGATGAGTTTGAAAATAATCGGTGACGTATCCCCGATTGCGTGGCCTCAGTGAAAACGCTGCTCGGATCAAATGTATGACGTTGTTATTGTTCCCAACACACACACATAATGTATGTAGACAATTACTCTCTCAGTAACTGAGATAGCAACTGAGATAGTAACATATACACGCTGCACCAATGCTATTTGGTTCCAGAATGCAATGACTCGTGCAATTAATTCATCCGTTTAGCTTTTCAACCCGGCAGCTCAATTGGATGAAACCACCCTTCCCCGTACTGTACATTGATGACTGCTGACGTCTTCGATCATGCGTGAAGTGTTGTGCCTGACATTCAAACAAAGCTATTCTCTCTACTGTTTATATTTAGGCTGTGCCAGCAAATGTTTCGGGCTCCGAACAAACCCGTAGCATTTGCAGCAAGCAGACAACGTTAAAGATACACTTCGTTAACCGTTTATCCTTTATACGTAACGTAAAAATGTTATCTTAAATACTGGCCCTATGACCAAATCACCCAGAACGCACCCAATCTCACCAGACCATCTGAAGCTAAGCAGAGCTGGTTGTGGACATTCCATGGTACGGGTTGACCACCTTGCATATCAGACAAGTGTAATAGGAGTTGTGGGCAGTAGGGGCCAGTACAGCAAACTCCATTCGTACCCCACCTTCACCAGCGTGGTGAAGTATGGTTAAATATCGCTCACGGCTGGCAAGCAGTGGATTGACACACAGGTCTCTGGACATGTGTTATTTTTTGTTAAGTCCCTGACATCGAGGAAATACCTCGTTTGGCCAAGCAGGCGAGCGGTCCCTACCCTGGTCTCTCTTTGCGGTAAAGAAATTAGAGCAATATTATTCATAATAAAGGCTTAGATCTCGTAAATATAAATGTGCAGTAACTCGCCACCACTTGACACAGGCAACCAGGAAGGTTTGTCACGTAAACAAGACGTGCCAATTAGCTACTACTTCAGCCCACCGGCACACTGCAGAGTAAATCCACAACTAAATTGTAAATGTTGTAAATGTTGTAAACCCAAATGTTGTGGATTTACTCTCCAACACACCGGTGGGCTGAAGTAATGTAGTAACTAATTGGCACGTTTCGTTTGCGTGACAAACCTTACTGGTTGGCTGTGTCGGGTAGTGGGGGATTAACGCCACATTTATTGTAACGCGATCTAACCCAAAAACATTGATTACGAACAATATTGTTCACGAACGCCTCTGTGTCAGAGAGCAATAATGCTCGAGTTGATTGCACGTGCGGTGAAATGACTTGCACGGATGCCACGTGCTCATGCCGTTCATTCACGAAGAAAAAAAGACTCGCAGAGTAAAGCCATACCACTGCGGGAGTTATTTTGATTGTGAATACTGACATATACAGTACAGTATTTATGGGATTTGGTCCGTACACATATATCAATTAATGTACAGCCTTGTGCGATGCTGTTGGCATGAATGACGCTATATAAGATTCAAGTATAATGATTTACTATGAGTGTGTACACAGTACAGTGCATGCAAACGCATTTCTGGCCCTGATAGCTACTCATCAAAACCTATCGGGAAAAAAATCCTAGTGTTACATAATCCATGCATATGCATGATTTTTTTTCCCGGCTTGGTTCTGTCACGCAATAAATACCCAACCTCGGAGGATTCCCATTGCAATACCCGGCCATCTGGCTCCACGTCTCACAACGAAGCTAAATCTTTGTTTAGCCCAACTCTCTTGGCGGACACTTATCTTCCCGAAAACATTCAACATCTAAAAATCCCAGATTGATTAGCGACGCGCAAAGTCGTACATTTTGGTAATGATTCAGTTCCTGATCTGGGTTCAAGGAGTCGCGATATTACCGTAGCGTAATGATGAGCGCATTGGACTTGCAATCCAGAGGTTCCTGCTTGGATCTCCTGGCAGGACAGTTGATACGATGGTGGCACGTTTATAAAATCTATAATTTTTTTTCAATTAAATCCCCCCCTCTCCGCACCATCACCTAGCAGTACAAGTGGATACACCAGCGGGGAGCCAATCGGCTAACAGTAAGGGTACAAATGAAATGTCACACGATGAGGACACGGCGGCGGTGCGTTGTTTGTTGTTGCAGGGCGTTCCACTACGACAAGATGAACAGGGTGTGCGGGCTGCTGGACTCCACAAGCCGCTCGCGCGGGGTCACGATGCACTCTGACATCCTCACCGATCTCTACGAGAGAAAGGGTAGGGGGGGGGGGTCACGGACACAGTGCTCTTCCCCTGCCCCCATCTGTCCACACTTTCAAAATCACTCTCCGTTTTTTTGCGTGCGAACCAATTGGCTGCTCATTGCAGCTATGTGTGCGAAATATATTCATCTTACATCGATCGAATCGTCATCCATCCGAGTATCAGTTATAGGAGAACTTCAAAACTACTGAACCGTTGGCTTAAAACAAAAAAAGCTATCACACAGCTTACGACGGCCGGTGGTTACACCTGTAGAGTTTTTTGTGTTATAGAGAAATATCATCGGTGAATTTTGAGTTTTTGTTATTTCCATGAAATCTGACAGACGTTCCTCCCGCAGTTAAATCACGCATCTCTCGCCAAGCGTTTCCAATTCTGTAAAAAAATAAATCTCGTCATCACCTTTAAGTTTATTGCATCGTCCCGCATCTTTTGCCTTAAGTTGTAGAGACACCAACAACAACTATCCTTTCATTATCAAACAATGTCAAAGTTTCCCACTGTGAGCAGACCCCCTAACTGAAGTTGTTAACCAGGCGCATTGCCGAGTTAAAACCAACGAGCCGACAGTGCGCTCTGGGTTCGACCACGTCGTTTCTAACTGTAGATGCTGATCACTCTCGGGAACTTTAAGCGAATGCCTGAGAGAAGAGGTAACTGGACAGTGGGTGGACATGCATATGGCTCTTGTTGTTGCGCTTGTTGTCTTGTAGGAGTGCATGCTGTGCGTGTTTCTCCCACGCTGCTCCCCCCGGCAGAATACGTGAGAGGGTGCTACACAGGAAATGGCTCCGGGTACCGTGGAGACAAGAATTCTACGGAGAGTGGGCTGCCATGCCAAGCCTGGGGTGACTCAGAGCCACACGACAGCAGGTACGACGCGGCCCTTGCCCTCTCTGAGGGTTTTCCATGCCGAGTCGCAACTCCACGACTGACCACAATGCTCATTGTAACAGTGGTCTGCTCATTTAAACGGGAGGCTTCTCATTTAAATGGTGCAATGCTGATTTAAACGGTGGGCTGCTGATTTAAACGGTGTGCTACTGATTTAAATGGTGGGCTACTGATTTAAACGGTGGGCTACTGATTTAAACTATGGGCTACTGATTTAAATGGTGGGCTACTGATTTAAACTATGGGCTACTGATTTAAATGGTGGGCCACTGATTTAAACTATGGGCTGCTGATTTAAACGGTGGGCTGCTGTTTTAAACGGTGGGCTGCTGATTTTTTTAAAGCCATTTGTGGCATGACCAATTTTCATGCGACAATGCATGGTATAATCTTTTCCTTCAAACATTTTAGAAAGCGATAATAACTACCTTTGGCAATCGGCATGTGGTGAAAGGAATCTAGGAATCGGCAGCTTTTACCGCTTGAAGCCAGTACGCTCGGCAAGTGTGCTATCCTGCTCAATATTCATTAATACGCATGTAGCAGTGCACCCTTTCATACTCTGATGGATTTACATGATTGAGGGTTATGGTGTTATTTAAATTCCAATCTCTTTCCTATTTTTTTACTGTTTTATTTGTATCGCTTCTCGTTTGTTCCATCTTATTCGTTCCATTAACCGTAAATGTCACGTTAGCGTATAACTTGCGTATATTGTAAATGGGGCGTGGAGTAACAGCGTAGTGGTTAGCGCGCGGCGCTATGAACCCCACAAACCAAGTTCAATACCGGGCCATGACTAACATCAGTGGCGAATTAAATCTGAACCGGTGCAGGGTACTCCCTTCACCAACTCGCGCTGCCAGCATGGTGAAGCATGCTCAGTGAAGCCCTGTGCCCGACACGGCATGGGGAGGCCTTCCTTCGGCAATGAATTAACAAAGGCCTACAAATTATTATTTTAACCATTGTTATTAAATTGTAAATGATTCTCACCCACGTGATTTTACACATGCGTGGTCTGCATAATCTATTCGAATGCGTGAATCGTTACGTGCTATTTCTTATTTTATCCACTTACAAAGCATTAACACTCACCTGTCATTGCAATGCTGGAAGTATAACTAAACATAAACCTGTTCAAATGATTAAAGTTTTAAATATATAAAACGTTTCTCAAGTTGTCCTCATGGATAACATTTCTGTAAATATTTCTGTAAATACTGTAAAAACATTTCTGTAAATGCTGTTATTTGCATTTTTTTTTTACTTTACAGGAAATAACAGTCTTAGTCACGAGGCTATTTCAGCCCCAAGATTGTTCGGAAACATTTTTGGTAAATTTTCTAAGATATACGTGAAGATTTTTGTGAAATGAGAGTGCTGGATCAATGTGTGATTTGAGAACCACGTGGGAGGGTTTGTGGTCAGAGGAAGTGGTGGTGATGAGTGGTATGGGCAGGGTGGTACAACATGTGTGGGAGGATGAGTGTGGGAGGGGACATAGGATGGCAGGGCAACACAGTGGCTAACACCCGTGCCTCATCGCCACCAAGGAGGGCCTGGGTTTGATTGTGGAGTTTGTATGTTCTCCCCATGTTCTGCATGGGTTTCTTCCAGCTTCAACAGTTTCCTGCCACGGTTAACAAAACAAATACAATGTAATTGGAAATGGACAGAAATCTAAGCGCTGAAAATTTACCTTCAAATTACTAAATTGGGATTATACACTCAGCAGCAGCAGCATTGCCCCCTCCTGCAAAAAACTTGGCAGGACCCTCTTTAAAAGTTGATATTCACTGCATGGCATGCTTTCAGAGGCGCTTCCGTTTGGAATGCTCTTCCTGGAGCTATGCACTTTGAAATACAGATTGAAAACTCATTACTTGTAAACTACTTTTTGTGTTTCGCTTATTGTCCTTCTCCCGCACCTCCGATTAGCACGGTTGGCTACGTACGATGCGAAAGAAGTTCAACATGCATAGATACATATGACGTAATAATAATAATAAGCATGCATTTCAACCACCAAGATTGCTTTCAGCAAGGGGCAATGGTTTGTTCCCTATGGTTGTCTGTCTGGGAGGGTCACTATTGTTGTGTTTATACATTCAAAATTCAAGAGAACTGGAGAAGGGGAATTGGAAGGGGTTTCAGCCACAATATTTCCTTATTTCACAGTTCATATGAAGTTTAAAATCATAACTACCACGCCTGGTGTGCAGGAGGTTGTAGATTCGATCCCGACCCTGATTCCTGTATATTAATAGTTTTTATGTTCTCCCCGTGGTCGCATGGATTTTTCTCCGGGTCCTCCAGTTTTTCCCGCCACGTTTAGAATCAACATTACGCGTTTAGAGTCTGTGGCTGCTATAAATTCCCGCATAATAAGCCACTTTGTCGAGCGATCATTTGTGGTCACTTCTGAAAAAGGGCTACATAGCTCAGTGGGCCTTACCTGCTAAAATAAAAATAGTTTCGTTGCCATCATTGGTGCAGTGGATGGAGTTCAGAGTTGTGGCCGCAGGAGCTTCGCGGAAGATCGAAGCCAGGGAACTTCTCTGTCGTCGCAACTTTCACGAAGAGGCGTTTGTCACTTCTTGCGAACTCCATTTGACTTTCCAAGCTTCCCCATGGGGGTTAAATTTGCACCGCTGAAGGTGAAACCGCGTGGGTCCAAAAAGGGCTAGCGGCTACAACGGTACTGCACCGATGAATGTTCCTTCAGCCGATGTCGCTCGCTGGGTTCTGGTCTTACCGCGAGCAGGTACCTTCCAAGCTTCTACCCGACCTTTGACCTGGAAGGCAACTCGTGCCGGAACCCGGCCCAAGAACCCGGGGAGCCATGGTGCTACACCATGGACAGCAACCGGCGCCGCGAGCGCTGCGGGATACCGCGCTGCGACGAGGGTGCGACGCTCCACAGCAGCAGCAGCAGCGGAGTAGAGGCTTTCCCACTTCTTGTTGCAGAGGTTCGCGGTTCGAGTACCAGCGGCCGCCCTGGTTAATACTGCGGGTGTACAATATTCCCTCGTTAAATACGAACTTGGCTATCCGCGAATCACATATGGAGCTCTCTTACAAGCCTGCTGAATCGAGAGAGAGAGTGAGAGAGAGAAAGTGACGAGATAAAGTAATGAGAGAGAAAGTGATGAGATAAAAATATGAGAGAGATAGGTAGAGAGAGAGAGAGAGCTTCTCGAAGCTTTAGAAGCATCCGCAAACGTTGCACGTACAAAATCCATTGGTCAGTCTCGTTATCTGTGAAAAATGTGCTGTTCATGAGCATCTCCGGCACGTATCCCTCGTGAATAACGAGGGATGACAGTACAATCGTACCGCGCACCGTCTGATCCAACGTGGGGGACTTCAAAGATCCCCGTGATGTCGTTTGGAAAGGAGTCGGCCATGTGTGCGTGTGTGCTGGCGGCAGGGTCCACATTTATAAATGTAACTCGACAACATTTTCGCGATATAACCCAAAAAAGCCCCTTCATTATAAGTGTAGCTGGTACTTTTCGTAAAAGATCAGCACTGGGGAGATATAGAGGCAGACCACGTGTGGTACGAGCCACGCTGTGCCTTGGGCGCCGTTGCTCGCCTTCACACTTGCCCACTCACGACAGCACTTGCCCCACCCCCCCCCCCCCCACGATCTGTTTCAAGGCCAACGCGGCGAGGGGGGGGGGCAATCTTTACGTCATTGGTAAAATATTAACTTTCTCGCCTGGTATACAGGAGGTCGTGGGTTCGATCCCAACCGTGACGCCATTGTGAAGATCGCAGAAGCGTGGTCAACACATCTACGCCTCTATATAAGGAAAGAAACAGGTGGACTTCTCCACAAATCTGGCTGTCGCCTGATGAAGCTAGTTGTAATTACTGGCAAAACGTCGCAATCAGTTTGTAAATGTTCTGGCTTAGCTCTCCAACACACCGGTGTGCTGTACTAGTGACGAATTGGCACGTTCTGTTTACGTGACAACCCTTACTTAGTTGGCTGTGTCGGGTGGTGGCGGGTTTAACGACACATTTGTATATTTACACGATCTAACCCAAAAACCTCTATTATGGATGATATTGGTCGCGAAAGCCTACGTGTTAAACTGTATACAGTATTTGGAGTTTGCGTGTCTCTCTCTCTCATCAACGTCACGAGTATTTGTCCGCTATAAATGTCCACGTTTAATGAGTCACTTCGTTGAGATATCATTTGTGGCAGCCAGGTCGCTTCTAAAAACGAGCTATATAGCTCAGTGGGCCTTACCCTGGTGTAAAGAAAAAAGTTTGTTGGCGTTTCCCGAGAGCTTTCGCCCGCCGGCCTGTTTCAGTCCCGTGCGTGGAGTGCAGAGGCGAGCACTACCGCGGACTCGTCGACCACACGGACTCCCAGCGCGAGTGCCAGCGCTGGGACCTGCAGCATCCGCACAAGCACAACTACTCCCCCGACAGGTGCGGCGCGCACGCCCGTGCCGGCCTCGCTCGGGCCCAAGCGAGTTTGGGTAAAGGCGCAGCCCTGCGATTCCTTTCTCGCGCTGCTGGTGCCGGAAGGGCCTCGCAATAGAAGGAGTTCTGGAGAGCCCCTCTCGCCGTTGGGTGTTTGGCCCACCCTTCCACGCTGACCAAAGACAAAGATCCCCCGTGTAGCCTTAACAGACTGTTGGGGCAAGTGCTGTTAGCAAGCACCTATGAAGGCCGGAACGGCACACGGCGGGGTGGGTGGCCAGCACCACGCGTGGCCGCCTTTGTCTCCCCAGTGGCGATGTTTACACATCGCACCAGGTACCCATTTGAGGCTGAGTCAACCTAGGGGAGACCCAGACCGATTAAGATAGTCGTCACTGGTGTTGGCTGTGAGCGGGAATCGAACTCGGCTTCCTAGCACAGCGTAGCGCTGACCGCTACGCCGCTGCGCTAGAGGTGGGCACACACGCGCACCGTAGCCCCACGGCACGCAAACTGCCGCCCGCCTCACCATGGTGGGATCCTGCTGCACTGCTGGGTGGGGGGGGGGGTTAAAAAATCTTGCACCGTTGTTTCAACTTTTTGCCCCAGGGGATTGAATCGGTGACCTCTGGGTCGCGAGCCCAGTTGCGCTGACCCTTTCAGCGCGGCAACATTCCTCGCGGCGACGCAGGTTATTTACAGAGAGAGAGGAGACCACCAGGGGTCCGAGCCACATCCCCTGGGCTTGCAACGTTTCCCCCGCTCCACGAGTGTTGTGTTTACACCAGCACTGTGCTCACAATGAGTGGCTGACAGCGGCCGCGTGTGTGTTCGTGCGTCGCACGGCGGTAGTGGAGCAGTTAGCGCACTGCGCTATGAACTTGGCGACTCGAGTTCGATTCCCGCTCACGGCCAACACCAGTGTCGATTATTTGAATCGGTCCTGGGCCTCCCCTAGGTCGATTCAATCTGAAATAAGTACCTGGTTGTGTGTGTAAACATCGCCACTAGGGAGACAAAGGCGGCCGGGCGTGGTACTGGCCACCCACCTCGTCGTGTGCCATGCGACCTTCATAGGTGCTCGCTTACAGCACTTGCCCCAACAGTCTGGTAAAGACTATATGTGGCACAGTATGTAGTCCTCTATTCGTGCCGCACGGGGAGGTCAGTGCCACTCATGCCCTCTACGAGATTTGGGTGCGCTCTGACCTCGAGGGTGTATCGCCTCTTAGGGTCACTACCCCGGGGTTACAATGCGGTCGGTCCGAGGGGCAACCGAGGATGACGGCCAGTCACGTGGATAAATCGCCGAGATGATCATCAACAGTTCAGTTCAGTTCATGTATTAGCTATAGCCCTGTGAGCCATGTGGCTCTTGAATCGGGTGCAACCGAAACAAAGCAGATGGCAGTTCGGGTCCCTGACCTACTAATCTATCGATGCACCTTCTCTCTCCGCGTGTTGACTGCCCTAAACACCCCCCAACGTCTGGAAGGTTCCCAAAGGCTGGGCTGGATGACAACTACTGCCGCAACCCCAACGGGCGTATGCGACCCTGGTGCTTCACCACGGACCCCCACCAACCGTGGGAGTATTGCAGCATCAAGGCATGCCGTAAGCATCCATCCCTTGGGTCACCCACATAGAAGACAGAGATCCCCCTGTCGAATGTCCTTTACCAAACTTCTGGGGCAGGCAAGTGCCGTCAGCGAGCAGCACGTATGAAGGCCGGCACGGCACGCACCTTTACATCAGCTGCACCTTAACAACTCTTAGAACCTCCGAGTTCAACCAGTCTACACAACAAAGACTCATTCCTGGCAGCGGTTTCAGCCTCACCACCTCTACATAACAAAAGGCTCAGTCCCATTTACACGCACCTAAACATCAGCCTCACCTTAACAACTCTTTTCAACCAGTCTACACAACAAAGACTTATTCCTAACAGCGTGCTTCAGCCGCACCGAACATCACAATAATAATAATATCCAGGGCCTACCTTGGCTCCTCCCACCCTCAACCAGTATATATACAAGGACTGTTTTCTTGGAATTTCTCTTACTTGATACAGCTATCGTGCTGTGACGGTTCCACCTGAAGACGGAGGATTGTTTTGCCTCCAAAACGTCGTGATTTAAATTTAATTTTACTTTTACGAATTTCAATTTTTTTACCAACGTGACTTTACCGGAAAAAACCTAAGAATACACATGGAGGGCTTCAGGGTGGCAAGCAACCACGCCCGGCTGCATCTGTTGCCCCAACGCCGATAGTTACACACCGCACTGGATCCTCATATAACTCTGAACACTCCCCACGATCGTCGACAAATTTAGAATTGTGTTGGTGCTCGTTGATGAAACGTCCTCGACAATCACCGGTAACCTTGCAGTGGCCATGGACTCACTTGGCAGTGATATCGCCAACAGAGGTTGGCGATTCGAGCCGAGTGGCCACTCTCGCTAATCCTGCGGGTCTATTCACCGGGAAATACACGCCGTCCACTCTCCTGTGAATATTAAAGACCCTGTAAACGGTGATTCAAATTAGAGTAGGCCACGTCTGCATGGTCCAAATTTTGCCAAACGTTGATAAATGACTGGCAACTTGCATAACTGTGAAGAGCCACGTGTCTTTTCCGTTGCGTCTTCAACAATAAATATACAAAACGTGTCGCGTGCGTGCGTTGCAACCGCCTCCCCGGGTGTGGTGCCGCGAAAGCGACGCGGCCGGCGATGGAGGGGCGGCCGTGTCTGGAGGAGCGGGGAGAGGACTACCGCGGGCGGGTCAACCACACCAAGGGCGGCATCCCCTGCCAGCACTGGGCCACCCAGCACCCGCACCGACACACGTACTTGGAGCACAACTATCCCTGCAGGTGGGTTAACCGGCACCGCAACGCAACGCCACCACGCGGGAATCCGCCCGACGGTCACACCCTCCGCCCTGCGACCCAAACCGCCCTGCGCCCGGTCTCGTCGGATCTCCCAAGGTCAGATGAGGAGGGTCGGACCCGTTGGTTAGCGCTTTTTGGGCGGACGGTCATCATCGATGATGGTATACCACCATCGATGATGGTATACCACCTCCTGATGGTATATACCACCACCGATTAGCACGATTGGCTACGTACGGCATGAAAGAAGTTCAGCATCAGAATCGGAGTCGTAATTTATGCGGGAGGAATCCGATGAGCCACAAAACTCTTTGCACAGATGCACTCAATGGGCGGAGCGCTCTGCCGTGGCGCTTCGAGGCGGTGGGGGGTGGGGGGAGTTGGCAGGAAGGTACGACGCCTCCGATTGGTTGGATTTTGACACGCCCACCGAACGCTCAGCAAGGCAGCTCTGAACCCGGACCGTTAATCTTCTCCTGCGTTACGATCCGGGCAAGCGGTTGCCGTCCGACAGAAAAGCGCTCTGGAGCGCTCTTTATACTTTGGTGCGCCCCAGGTGGGTGACGTCACGCGCCCGCTCCGCCAATGGGAGCCGAGTTCGGAGGTCGAGCCGACGGGCGATGGGGCACAGGCGCCAATGGCTGTGCAGGAAATTCCCGCGACAAAACTATGAATTGCGTAATATTCCAGCTCTTGAGAACTAAAATAATGGGTGCGATTGACGTGGGACGGCTACCGTTCGCAGGATGTTTGAAAGATGTGCCCCCCCCCCCCCCCAGTGTAGATAAAGAGACGCGATGCGCTGTGATATCATCTTGGCACGGGACAGTGCGGTGGTCACTGTGAACATTTGGTGTGAGTCTGTATTTGTCTCATGACGTGTCACCAGTAACAACACGATTGGAATATTGTTCCATGAATTTACAGCTGCACGCCAATCCACTGCAGGCTTTGGTGGCCTCTCCACACCATATCAATGACGAGGGATGATAAGTGAAGGGGGTGCTTAGGACCGGTTCAGAGGCCACTTGCCACTGAAGTTGCCAATTAGCAGGAATTCAACTCGAAGTGACCTTATTTAGAGCGCACCGCTGCTGCACCCAATTTTGGTGGGGAGCAAAAAAACGAATGGTTGATGAATAATCTCACTTTAGCATCCATCTACTGCGTAATCATCATCATCATCACCATGTATTAATTCTACAGCTCTTTTACCTCCCGGCCGGATAAAAAAACAAACAGCTATGACTCTCCGACATTCCCGGATTCATCTTGAGCCTGTGTTTGTGTCTCTAAGTGTCAGTGAAGTAACAGGTCGCAGATTCCACGGGTCAGTGTGAACTTTCTACCCTCGTGATGAAAGTGGGCATAAAGAACCTCAGAGCGGCTGTCAAACGATCAACTGAGCCCAACGAGTTGTGGAGTTGCAAGGCCATTTTCACGAGCGTGAGCAGTGTGCCATTTAAAAACTTTTCCCTCCGGTGCGCGGATTATCTTCTATTCCGAGGGCTTGCTTCTCGCACGCGAAAGCTCTCGCGAGCAGCGTGGCACTATTGTGAGGGGCAGACTGTAGATACTCACGACGTCTATGGATCCACACAATTATCAGCTTAGCACCACCCCGCCTCCCCTCATCGGCCCCTGCACGCTGTGAAGCAATCCCCCTTCAACTGTTCCCCCCACCGAGAGAGAGAAGGCCGTGCGGCTGATGGGCTGCACGGATGGCCCCATGCAAGATTATGTAATGCCCGCCCCCACCCAGGAGAAGGTTACACGCATCGGCCTTAAATGGACTTGCTCCTCAATACATTCATGACCTCCTTCGGCCACGGATATTCCATCGAGATCGTGAAGATCCTCAGATTGCGCATTGCTCACTGTCACCACGGTCTCTAAGGCTTCACACACGGGGGTGACGGCGCCTTGGGAATTGTGGCACCTAGAACTCTGGAACTCCTCGCCCTTTGACGTCAGGGCTTCTGAGACACTTACAAATATTCAAATCTCGACTAAAAGCATGTCTGTTTAAAATGGCTTTCTCTCTCTTTAGTTATTTCCAAACGTCTATCTCACTTATTCTTTCCTTGCTTGATGTTAAACTATGTGCAAATTCCATGCATTTAAAAATGTAAATTATTATCGTGGCTTAATTTGCTGTCAGTCTATGTTTTTGGTATGTAGGATGTTGTGGGTTGCATCCCACCCTGACGCCTGCCTGCTGTGTATTTGGAGTTTTCGTGTCTCTCTCTCTCCCCTGTGGTCACGTGGATTTTTCTCCAGGTCCTCCGGTGTTTCCCTCCACACTTAGAAACACGCGCTTAGAGTGTTTGGCTGCTGTACATTTCCACGTGATGATGAGCCACTTCGTTGAGCTATCATTTGTGATAGCCAGGTCACTTCTGAAAGAGAGATATACATAGCTCAGTGTGCCTTATCTGGTAATTAATAAATACATGCAAAAACATACTTTAAAAGAATTGTATGGTGCATCCAAAGTCATCTGTAACCTGTACATTTTTCTTTTGCTAAAGTACTACTTTCGATAAAGTAGAATCATGATGGAGTTAGCAGTGATGGATGGTCATGTACAAAGAGCCAGAATGTGCTTTGAAAATAATATTTAGCTATGCATACCAAAAAAACAAATATTCACTAGCTATCTCTTTCTCACCGAATCATCATCAGCGTTGTGCGCTATATAAAGACTGGTCTCCACCATAGGATTATGGAATCCACGCCGTGGTCAAAGGACTGATAGCAGAGGCATGCGCTGCACATTGTTCGCAAAGGAGAACACTTTTACGCTATTTTAGTCTTGCGTGTGGCAGCCATGTGATCAGGAGCTACATAGCGACTGCTGATCGCCACCAGAGGGCTTCAGGACAATGTTTGGTGCAGTTTTGCTCTTTCTCTGTTGGAGGAGCACAGAGCAAAGTGGATTAATTAAAACGTCCATTGAACGTTTTTTTAAAATATTTTGCTGTCCTTTATACGATTTGTTTTTGCTTTTGTTATTTTGGTGATGCAGGATGAATCTTGCAAATTGATCATCCTAGACTCTTGAGTTCTCGCCGAGTTAAACAACACAAACTTGAAACCTGCATGGCACATGTCTGGTATGTGTGCATGGTGTGTGTGGTGTGTATTGCGTGCATGCTGTATGTATGTTGAACTTCTTCCGCACCGTACGTAGCCGACCGTGCTAATCGGGGGTGAGTAGCGGATTAACACGCGTACTTTGTGGGGAGCGGCAGTGTTGTGGTTAGCACGCTGCTCAACGAACCCGGCAACCCAAATTCGATTCCCGCTCACGACCGACACCACTTACGATGACCTCGACCGGTCCCGAGCCTTCCCTAGGTCGACTCAGTCTGAGTACCTGGTGTGATGTGTAGTAAACATCGCCACTGGGGAGACAAAGGTGGCCGGGCGTAGCGCTGGCCACCCACCCCCTCGGCTGCCAAGCCGGCCTGCACAGTGCGTCAAGGCTACTCGTGGGCTCTGTGTCTGTGTGCAGTGGACTGGACAGGAACTACTGCCGCAACCCGGACGGCAGGGAGGAGGCCCCCTGGTGCTTCACCGTGGACCCGAGCGTCCGCAGGCAGCTCTGCTCCCACATCCCACGCTGCGCCCAGCCGACTGCAGGTTCGCTGGCACGGCCACACACACACACAGAGTCCTACGGCCGGTGTGTGCCGCTTACCTACCCACACAGAACACAGAACGAGGGCTCCATACACCCGCTGTCGGGTCTAACCCACGTGTGTCTGTCTGTCCTCAATCAGCAGTCCACCCTTAAACCGTGGTAATTCATGGTGGCGCAAAATAACCATTCGTGTCTTTGCGGAGGTTGTGAATGACAGCATAAATAAGCAGACAGTAACCATCTCCTTTACATATATTGTTCCCCTTCACATTAAAATAAATAAATATAAAAGTATTTCTTACACAACCCTCGTGGGCTTTTGGGAGTGCATAACTTCAGCAGCATTGAGACAAGCAAACCGTGGACAGGTTTTGACATCTGCAGTGTCTCATCAGCAGGGACAGGCTTGCTCTAATCGATGCTGGTGATCTGCCGCTCTCACAGGCAAATACACCACCCCCACCTCCTCCCCCCCTCTTCCCCCCCCCACCTCCTCCACTCCCCCCCCCACCTCCTCCACCCCCCTCCTCCCCCCCACCCCCTTATGCTATGGGGGTCCAATGTCAACCCAAAAACTTTGCTTGTCTTGAATCAAGGCTGCTCAAAATATGCACTCCCAGAAGGCCATGCGGCTGATGGGCTGTGCAAGCAATACGTTTTGTGTTCACGTGGAGGGAAGGGGATGTGAAGGAGGTGCATTGCCTGCTCATTTATTCAGTTATTTACAGTGGAATTCATAATAGTGCCCTCTGATAAGCACTTGCCAGATATATAGCAGCTGCATGTCATGTAAATGCACATGCACGGTTTATTTGCCTAAATAAACTCGAAACTTATATGGCACGTGCAGAGATGCGCACACCTGTGCGAATTCTCCAGATAAGTCTACACGGCACACGGTACGGAGTGAGCGGTGGGCGCAGCAGGTGAACTTGCAGTGGAGCGCGATGTCCACGAAATACGCGTCGTCCGTATCACGACGGCCGTGATAGATCCCGTGACGTTGTTCGAAATAGAGTCGCCCACCTGTGCCGGCGTCGTGGTCCAAAATTTGCCAAAAAATGAGAGACAGAAAAACATGGAGTCGCAAATTCCTGAATTGGAATAGCCAATGGCAACATCGCCGCCGACTCACAGGCCCGTGCCACGCCACATTGTGCTGCACACAGGCAGCTGCCATTGGGGGGCCCCTTGGCAAAAAAATCAAGAAAACTGAAGTTTGGGCATTTGAATGATTGATATGAAATGTAAGGTGCTTGGAGATGCTGGGGCATTTAAGTGGCCAATACGTGTGAATCCTTGTCTCTAATTCCCTATTCGTGCACAAAAAAAACAGTCGGCAGAGAGGACGTAAATAGCCAGACTTGCGTCAACTTTGATCATGTGAAGACATTAAGCGGAGTGTCACAACTTAATCTCAGCGGCTGTAAAAGAGTGGGGCGTCGATTGCTTGACAAGTCTTCATCTCAGGCGATTCGTCTGCGAAGAGGAGTGGCGCGCAAGAGAGAATTACATAACACTTTACCACCACGAATATAGACAACTTTTCTCATTAACTCTGAAAACTGGGAAACTACACTTAATGCCAGCCTCCCCACCAAACTGATTGTGCAGGGCCCTTGTTGCACAAGACAAATACACATTCGCCAAACATATAAAATCAACGGATGGTGACACGGGACTGCAGATTAGGAGAAAGGGGATAGGCGATGATGATGGTGATTTCACGAGATTAGTTCACCTTCACATTCTTAAATAAACAACACTATGTGTACGCGTGATAGTAGTTAAATGAAGTGTGGATGAGGTGGTAGGTGGGGTAGATCCGGCGATCCTGAATTGAGCTGCCCGTGATAAAACCTGTCTCTCAAATCTAACGAGCGAGTTCATAACCTCAGCAAGCCCTGGCGTCGATATATTTGCACTCAAAAGAAAAAAAAACACCCATTAATTATTTGATTATTCTCGTCATCTGGAGTATTCCACGTCAGAGAATTGTGTGAATGTATTCACGTGAGTGAGTGTGTGGGTGGGTGGGTTAGTGAGTGAGTGTGTGGGTGGGTGGGTTAGTGAGTGAGTGGCACCTGCGCTGGACTCTCGCACGTCGAGTCAGCAGTAAATTCACGAAGGGATCGTTGCTTAAAAATCCCGCTTCATTTGCACCTGCAGTATTTAGGACAAAAATTAGAGTTTTTAAAGTGTGAGATATTTGTATATACGTTGAACTTTCCTTCGCACCGTACGTTAGCCAACCGCGGGCTAATCGGAGGTGCGGGGGGGGAATATTGCGAATTGTGCTCGACCGCACGCCCGAGGCGGTCGGAGCGACGGCACCTTTCTCGAATCTGCTTTCCCGTCGTTCTCCACCATCCCAGTTCGGAGTCGTCTGCCCGTGACACATGTCACAGTGCAGGACTACGCGGGCGACTGCGGCCGCGCTTGTTGCGACAATTTCGTCGCTGCTTGGAGCCTGACGCCGCGCTTTCCCCGTTTTTCGTCCAGCGTCGTTGGCAGAGTGCTACAGCGGATCGGGCATGGCCTACCGGGGCGGCGTCGCCACCACCCGACACGGCCGGCAGTGCCAGGCGTGGAATGCGACCTTTCCTCACAAGCCCTGGTGAGCAGCTTGATGTCTCCTTCCGAGACCGTACTTGTATTCTGTGATATCACAATAACTGCCTGATCAATATCTCTCAATGGACTCTCTCACTTCCTGTGATATCACAATAACTGCCTGATCAATATCTCTCAATGGACTCTCTCCCTTCCTGTGATATCACAATAACTGCCTGATCAATATCTCTCAATGGATTCTCTCGCTTCCTGTGATATCACAATAACTGCCTGATCAATATCTCTCAGTGGACTCTCTCACTTCCTGTGATATCACAATAACTGCCTGATCAATATCTCTCAATGGACTCTCTCCCTTCCTGTGATATCACAATAACTGCCTGATCAATAACTCTCAATGGACTCTCTCGCTTCCTGTGATATCACAAACACTGCCTGATCAATATCTCTCAATGGGCTCTCTCCCTTCCTGTGATATCACAATAACTGCCTGATCAATATCTCTCAATGGACTCTCTCGCTTCCTGTGATATCACAATAACTGCCTGATCAATATCTCTCAATGGACTCTCTCACTTCCTGTGATATCACAATAACTGCCTGATCAATAACTCTCAATGGACTATCTCCCTTCCTGTGATATCACAATAACTGCCTGATCAATATCTCTCAATGGACTCTATCCCTTCCTGTGATATCACAATAACTGCCTGATCAATATCTCTCAATGGACTCTCTCCCTTCCTGTGATATCACAATAACTGCCTGATCAATATCTCTCAATGGACTCTATCCCTTCCTGTGATATCACAATAACTGCCGGATCAATATCTCTCAATGGACTCTCTCACTTCCTGTGATATCACAATAACTGCCTGATCAATATCTCTCAATGGACTCTCTCACTTCCTGTGATATCACAATAACTGCCTGATCAATAACTCTCAATGGACTATCTCCCTTCCTGTGATATCACAATAACTGCCTGATCAATATCTCTCAATGGACTCTATCCCTTCCTGTGATATCACAATAACTGCCTGATCAATATCTCTCAATGGACTCTCTCCCTTCCTGTGATATCACAATAACTGCCTGATCAATATCTCTCAATGGACTCTATCCCTTCCTGTGATATCACAATAACTGCCGGATCAATATCTCTCAATGGACTCTCTCACTTCCTGTGATATCACAATAACTGCCTGATCAATATCTCTCAATGGACTCTCTCCCTTCCTGTGATATCACAATAACTGCCTGATCAATAACTCTCAATGGACTCTCTCCCTTCCTGTGATATCACAATAACTGCCCTGATCGATTAGAAGGGCTCCTGCACGATTGGAAAGGAGCTTGCCACGGTCTCTGTTTAAAAAGGAGAGATGTCCGTGTGCGAGTCGGAAAGTTTTTGCTCAGAATCATCATTCTCAACGAATGTGCCACGAGGCAGCCTGTCAGCTTGGGGAAGAGACACGATCATTCAGACAGCAGCCAGCCAGCCAGCCAGCCGGCACAGATATTTATCAAAATGTAATTGGATGTAATCTACCGAGCGCTGGAAAAGAGGAGCAAGGACTTATGCAACGAACTGCGGTGACTAATATTGATTCTTCAGGCTCGGGGTACATGCACTGAATTGCGTGTGTAAGAATCGATGTTTTTTTAATGTATTTACGCGAGCTATGCACATGTACAGCCTAATTTTATCATTCCACTGTTGATTGAAGGCCTCATCATACCTTGCAGACCGTGAGATACATTTTTTCCATACTTCACCACGGTAGCCAGTGCGGATAGGTGAAGGTGGGAGTAGTTTCTGGTCATACCACCCTCTTTGCTGCAACGCCGTGCTGGCCTGAACAGGTGCTCGCTAACAGCACTTGCCCCAACAGCAGTCTACAGCAGGGTTGCGATTTCCGCATGGAAAATGCGGAAGGAGGGTTCAAATTTTCCCGCATTTTTGCTAAAGTCAACCGCAAACGGTGGAAAGACTACTCCTATGACCGCGCGCTTTTAACAACACGTTAATGCGTTCTATTGGAAAGGATACATGCAAGGCCCAGCATCACGTAGGGCTTTGAGTTACTGATTGGAATGAATATATGATTTCCGCATTTCCGCACAAGAACCACATACTTTATTCAAATGCGGAGCCGTGATTACGAGCACATGTACATGATGTATCCTTTCCAATAGAACGCATTAACGTGTTGTTAAAAGCGCGCGGTCATAGGAGTAGTCTTTCCACCGTTTGCGGTTGACTTTAGCAAAAATGCGGGAAAATTTGAACCCTCCTTCCGCATTTTCCATGCGGAAATCGCAACCCTGGTCTACAGAGAGATCGTTCCGTGCATCAGAGTGCGTGTGAGTGTGTGCATGTGTGTTGAACTAACACAGCACTTGCCCCTACAGTATGTTAAGGCTATATGGGGGATCTTTGTTGAAATACTTTCGCACCGTACACGGCCAACCGTGCCCATCGGAGGTGATGGGAAGGACAACAAACTAGTGAGGACTTGCTGGCGTTCATTGGGGCTTGCCTCCATGTCAGCCTTCATTCCCGCTTGTGTGCGTACATGCCTGTCTCAGAGTACACGTGCGTGCGCGTGTGCCAGGTATACCCCTGGGGAGCGGTAGTGTCGGGATTAGCGCGCACCGTGTGACGAACCTGGCGACCCGAGTTCCATTCTCACTCACGGCCAACATCAGTGACAAAATATCTCAACCGGTCCTGGGCCTCCACGAGGTTTACTCAGCCTTAAATGAGTACCTGGTGCGGCGTGTGAACATCGGCACGGTGGTGCTGGTCACCCGCCCCTTTGCAATTGCGGCACCTTAAACTCTGGAGCTTGTCGCCCTTCGAGGTCAGACGACGAAATCTTCAACTCTCGACTAAAAACGTATCTCTTTAAAATGGCTTTCTTGCTTTCGTTATTTTCAAACGCCTTTCAATTCTCCTTTCCCCGGTTGACGTTAAACTAATTCCCACTTGCCGTGCATAGCCCCTTGAGAACAATTGTTAAGGACGCTTTGTAATGTTTAATTGTTATCATTTGCCGTGTCGTCCTGTCGTAGGTCTATCGGCGACAGCGCTTGCCTCCGACGCTCTGTTAAGGCGATACGGTGCGCGGGGGGGGGGGGAATCTTTGTCTTTGACAGGTATACACCCAAGAGCCACCCTGGAGCTGGGCTAGAAGGTCACTCGTGCCGTAACCCCGACGGGGACCCATGGGGGCCTTGGTGCTTCACCTCTGACCCCCTTCTTCCCTGGGACTACTGCAGCGTGGAAGCCTGTGGCAAGTTTCCCTGCCCCCGCCACCCGCACTTCGGCGTGAAGATGGTTCGTTCGTCCCTCGCCCGTTGGGCGGCAGTGCAGGTGGCAACGCCTCGCGCCTCACAGCAAGAGGCGCCTGGGTTCGATTGGCGACTCGGTTCGTCTTACCGTGGAGTTTTGTACGTTGCATGGGCATCCTCCTACTTCTCCGGTTTTCTCCCTTAGACAGCTAAAAACAATAAACAAACACCGACACGATTTGACTGCAAACTCAACTCATTCGTCAATAACACTGTGGCCTTGAAAAGTATGACGAATATTTAATATAAGCGACATTGCGGGCAATGGCCCTTCGTCAGGCAATGGGGCCTTCTCGAAAGCACGTGCGTCGCGAGCCCGAAACGTCGCCTATTCAAAATGTTCAGTTTTTTTTTATTTCAAGGCCACAGCGTTGTTGACAACAATGTGCGTTGCGGTTTCTGTTGCTTGTGCACCACTGCCAGCCAATGCAGTTTCGCCAAAGTAATCTGTGCCATGGAACCGGCATTGGCCAAACATACTGTAGAATGAATGACTGCACCTGGAAATTACTCGGTTGGGATTACACAAAGTGACATTGCCTGCCCCCCGCACCCCCCCCCCCCCCCACCAAACTGGACAGCTGTAAAAAAAGAGCTTCAAAGCTCATCGGATTTCTCCAGGATAAATAAAGGTTCTGATTGTGACTGCGAAAGCTTGGCAGGACCCTCCTGAAAGAGTCTCAAGTCACACCAATTTTATTTTATTTTACAAATGTGGCGCCTTCCTGGCACAACTTTGCCACTCAAAGCTCCATAATCACATTCATACTCAACTATTAAAATAAATACAAATAATGAGAAATATATATTTCCATACTATCTACAGTTGCTTTAAATATTTAAAAAATTCAAGCAAATTGAGGCTGTGAGTTAGTTGCTGTTTGCATATGCAAAGATAAGTATTTTTGAGTTGTCACTGTAAATGTAGTCAGAATCAGAATATGTATTTATACTGGAGGAATCCGATGAGCTATAAAGCTCTTCTTCACATATGTCCAGTAGGGGCACAGGGTCAGAATGTCACAATGTAGCGATGATGGAGTCGAGTGTGTGGATTTACTGTCAGACGACTGCCAAAGCGTCCAGATTTCTGGAGATAATGGAATTTGTTTTTATTTCTTTCTCTCCTATTGCAGATGGACACGACCTACACATACCCAATACATCCAGTAAGCAATGTACACGTCTTCACATTTGCTGTCCAAGGTTGAATTTAATCACAAATTGAACCACAGAAGGCGAGAGTGTCGGGTCGAGATACAGTGCCAAGCAGTCAATGTAAACATAATGACGGACTGAAATTACCGTCCGTGCAGATGCGGCGTAAGATAATCTTGGGCGCCATTGTCACCACGCATGCCTTGTGAGATAAAAAATCTGTTTAATGAGAAAATGTTTGTCCTTAATAACAAAAAAACCCAAAAGCGAGTGTTAACTTTGATTCAGTGCACTGACCATGAGTGTGAGGCATAATTTTAACCAATGAATTCCTACTCCCTCCCTTCTCCAACACTCAAATAATTTGACGTGGTGTCTTTCTTCATTGGCCTTCTGTTCTCTGCTCAGTGATAGCCAACGACCTGACGCATTGTCCGTTGCCTGCGACAGCTGCCTCCCGGCTTGCTTGTATTTTCGTGGGCGAAAGGCACTTTCTAGCGACGCGTGAGGAGGTGACGAGCGTTGAGCACGAGCAGCATTTAGAGCAGCGAGACAGAGAGTTCTTACAGACGGAGATTAAAGCCGAAGAAAAAAATCGAATGTTCCTACCCATTTTACTTCAAGGGTATCACGTGGAGAAATAACTTCCACTGTGTAGGCTTGTTTTATTTTCGCTACGTGTCTTCGGGGTCGTTAACGGTTGTCGTTCATGCACGGGGTCCGACGTTTCGCGCCACGTGCCACTATTGGGAGCTTCTTCGGGAACTGAACAAATTCAGTTCCTGAACAAGTGTGCGGTACGTGGAGTGAAACGTCGGACATCATTTCGAACAACGCATGGTCCAACTGAAAGTACACTCTCGTCAATAACGCCGTGGCCTTCAAAAAAATATATAATTCGCGATGTTTCGGCCAAGTGCCTGTTTTCATGGCAACATTGTTTCCTCTGTCCTCTGTATTTAGCTGCTATAAAGAAGGTCCGTTGCCTGAAACGTAGAAATGGTTTTTTTTTATAAGGCCACAGTGCTGTTGGCGAACGTGTTTGGTTTTTGTTGTTGTTAAGTGTTATGTGGTTGTGCACCACCGGCAATTGCAGCATCGCCAGATAATTAGCAAATATACATTTAGAGAGCCAGAAGAGAATTAACATGCCCTCAGTCTCATCAAGGTCACTCATTGCTTTCCGTGTCAAGCGACGGACTTTTCCCCATCGCCGCTTTTGTGATTGCTCGGTTGGTGTGAAACGCTGCTTAGGTTGGGGGGGGGGGATTCATTTTCGAGCTTTATTGGACAGTCCAGTGAGTTGTATTTTAGTTAGCCTTGCCAGATGTGCTCAGTTAAATTCGAATGAAAGGATTACGTTTTTTTCACATAATAATCAATTATCTAAATTGCAGTAATAAAACAGACGGCGGCAGTATCCTGACGAACTCAGCTTTCCTCTCGCCGCTGTTGACGGGGAAACCTTGAGGGGCTTGCGTTGGACCGAGCCCAGCTGCATGTAGCAGCAGTAGGTGGCTATACCGTACTGCTGAGCGCTAGTGAGAATGAAACCAGTGTGCAATTGCCTCGTTATTCTCCTGCTGCTGCTGCTTCCGCAAAAATATCCACAATCTTGGGGTGTCCTTCACAAGGTTGTGAACAGAATGTGCCCAATGTGATCTTGACATATGCAGCATTCCTGTTGTCATTTTGCTGCTGAACACACTGCTTTACAAATATTGTATTTGTTCCGGCCTGCAGACATTTTTGTTTTCCTGTCTGATGATTATTCGCCCCTTAAGTTATAAAAGAGCTTAAATATTAGAAGTCAATATTTTTCTCGACAAAAGCGAATGTCTCTTCCGGAAACCAGACTGGCTCTTGCGTGGTTCAGCGGCAGAGCCAGCAGCCCGCAATTGGAAGGTTCGGAGTTAACAATCCTGGTCGGGGGTTGATTCAAACCCATCACCCCCTCCACCCCCCCGGGGGTCGACAAAATAAATACCACTTTGTGTGAAGTCAATAGTTGTTGTCCTTTGGGGAAAATCTACACCGCCATAGGAATGTGGAATTTCCACTACTGACTCAGGGTTGTAGACAGGATATTTATTTACTGAGACAATGAACACCAACGCCTCAATTCTCATTTCAGCCAGGAAATCAATTTGGGTAAACTCGTGACGCCGGTTACACATTGTTCAGTGGCTGAGCCAAACAGCGGTGTGCGAAAAAAATAACGACTGACATTTCACACCGTATCTCTTGTTGAGTTGCTCTTCCTTCAAGGAAGCACAATTGCGGCCTGAAGAATCCAAGCCAATCACTGCTGGTGCGCATTGCAGGCGGAAGGCGCTCTCACTCGCCCTGGACCGTCAGCTTACGCAACCGGTAATGAAGTGGTGTCACGTGACCCACCCACACGAAGCACCCTGCCCTTTCTCGTTCTATAGATCCTGCCACAGGGTCACCAGCTGAGCCCCCCCCCCCACCCCTCTGCTGAAGAGTTCAGCAGCCCCCACACATGTTTGATACGGTATAATATTTACATAGGGGTGGCCCGAGCACAAACATGCTGCGACTGCTACTATGACCCTGCAGCAGTCGAAGGTGCTGCTACTCACTAACGGCACTTTCCCCAATGGTCTGTTGAGGCTACACGGGGGGATCTTTGTCCTTTTTGCAGTGTAACAGTGCAGCGAGTCTTGCAACACGTGCACCTGACTTTGCAAGCCTGCAGGCTCGCCGCCATAATCCCCGTGGAGGGGTAATGCACGCATTTTTCTCGCACTGAACACACACTTAAATACATAAATTAAACATCAGTTTTCGTATTCATTTATTAAAGATCCCTTCCCCTACGGCTGTATGGCGGGTGGGGGGGGGGGGGCAAAATAAGTGGAGGATAGAATGACAGTGGCCAGACCCACGGGGCTGCATGGGGACATGGGGCCCGTGCCTTCGGTATGCCGATGCCGGATTAGCCCAGAGCCTCAGCCGTGCCACCAAAGCCACCTTTCCAGCCGTCATGGAAATGCAGCATTTGAGGTACAGGTAGCGAAAACCTTCGGCCGCGGTGCGAATCGTACAATCGGCAATATGGACGGTGTCCGTTTGGGATCTCGTTGCAATTGGGCCCTCCGTTGCGTTCACGGTGGTCACGAGGCACATTCGTGGAGCGTTCGGCACTCTGGTAACTGTGGCACGCTCGCGCACTCGCCCCCCTTAGGAAGAAGAAGCACTTCTGTGGAGGCAGCCTGGTGGATGAACGATGGGTGCTGAGTGCCCGCGACTGTTTCGTCTCTTGGTGAGTGCCCGGCTCAGTGCATGCACTTCAACACGTGTCATCCATGGAGCCCCAACCCACTCTGTTTCCGTTGGTAAACAAATACCCGAATTTTTATTCTTTTGGTCTGTCGGTAAAGCCACGTAGATAGAAAAAAATAATCCAAATAATAACAATTATTTTTTATATCGACGTGGCTTTACGGAAAGACCCACAAAATATGAATTCCTGCAGTCACGAAAGCTTTAAGTTAAAATACCCGAATGTATGCATTCACGTTTCGGCTTCTTGCGCCGCCGTACGTAAGCCAACCGTGCTAATCGGAGGTGCCTCAACGGATGAGGAACAGCAAAAACGACACGAATGTTCTCTCTCTCGTCGTGACCAGCGGCTGACCTCATCATTGGCGTTGAGCTTCTGAACCACATTGGCTGTTGCCGTCGTGCGCAAGAATATAATTGCACCCTCTACGTCGTATGAACGATCGGGCAGTTTACTCTGTCGCTCGCCTGTGCGTCGCGGGGCACGTCGAAGTGGAACAACGAAGATTACTGTTTTATTTTCTGAATGACGGCCACGCTGTACAGACGACGCAGCCCTTCTGCATGTGTATGCTAATGAGGAGGCACATGCGCCCTACAGCAGCCGAGTACATTTCACGCTGCAAGCGCCGTCGCGATGGCTCATTTGTATGTAGAGTCTGTATTTTTTTGCAGGAAGGGAAGATGAAATTGGGTGGTAGTAGTAGTATTAATAATAATGAAAATGATAAATGAAATGTTTATCTCAGAATTGCGTGACAGCACGGCTCATTGCGCTGTGTGCACCTATTCATAGTTGCAGTTTTCATTTACCCCTACACCCCCCCCCCCAGAGACGAATTCTGTTTACAAAACAAGTCGTCTGACGTCTGCATTAGGCCACGGTCAATGTCGAGAGATCATCGAGGCCAATGCCACTGATCATGACCACACCTCCAGTGCCGGATTAAGCTGTAGCATATGATATAAAGGGGCCCTAAATAAAATCCATTAATAATAAAACACATTTTTAACTTGCATAGTAAAGTACTTGTATTTTTTAATTTGCTATAAGCCAGATAACATGACAAATCGCTAACCTTAAACAACCAGTCGTTCATATAAGTTGAGGGTGGTATAGTACTATAGTAATAGAGCAAGTGCAGAATCACTGAACCAGAATTGACCCTTAAATGTGCAGGGCCTGTAGCATATGTAGCTACTTTTGCTACTCGGATCATCCGGCACGGCACACCTCGCTGCTTTACTAAATCTCACCATCGCTTCCTACTGCTCGATCCTGGAGAGATTGCAATCTCAACACCCTGGCATCCCAAGATCCACTGACGTCTGGGTGCCACTCGCAATGTACGTTCATGGTCAAGAGATGTGACCCGGAGCAGCTGTGGCTCTGCACGTTGGCCTCTAGTCCAGCGCTGTGCAGGCAGCAGCGTGGGTTGGAAGATCGCCGTGAAAACTCCCTTCCCGCGGGCGTCGATATGACCGCACTACTTTGGATACAAATATACCTTCGCCGTGGCCGGGAATCAAACTCAGGTATTCCAGCTCAGAGGCCAGTGCTGTAACCACCGCTCCACCCCGTGTACATTGTACGTAATACCAAACTATGCAGCATGTATGTGTGTATGAACTTCTTTCGCACCATATGTAGCCAACCGTGCAAATCGGAGGTGCGAAGGGAGAACAACAAACTAAACACAAAAAGCAATTTAAAAATGTAGCAATTTTAAACAAATTAGTTATTAATCTAGATTTGAAAGTGCATAACTCCAGTGGCTTCCTAATATCAGAAAGAAGAGCGTTCCAGACGGCCGCAGAAGCCCATCTGAAAGCACTGCGCGATGCTGTGACCGTCTTTGTTCGATAGCAAGCCAAAAGCCGCCGCTGCGAGGATGACCACCGGAGTTTGCGTGATGGTGGTTTATGTTCCTTGACGAGATCAGCAAGGTTATTGCCGTTCGCTTGTGGCAAGCGCTTCGTGTGCAATGAGCGCGACCTTGGCTACATACGGCGCAGTGGGGCACACGGACAGCCGGCCTCCAACCCCTTCGGGCCTTGTTGGGCTCTCGGTGTTAACGTCCAACGGTCCAGAGAGTTGGACTCGGTTGCTATTTAATAGAATTTCCGTGATTCACAAAATCAGACCGTGGCACTGTCGGGATGTTTGGGGCGCTCTGTTAATGCCCACGGCTGAGAGAGGCATTTTTTGCAGGGTGCCTTTAGCCTCAGCTAACCAGTTGGAAGATTAATAAACATCTTCACTCGGTTCAAAGATGTTCCCGGTTACGTATCAAAATAACACCTTGTCCTACTACATCGCTGGCAATGATTTAATTCAAGCAAATACTCCACGCGTGTTAACGCCTGCAGTTCTCGGGCGTGTGTTCTGGTTGTACCCCATGTCCACTGCATCAGGCACAACTGGGAAAAGCCCATGTATGAATTCCCTGTCAACACTGTGAGCTGTTTTCACTCCCCCGCTGTGTAATTAGTCAATTAGCGGATTTGTTTACCCATTACGACCTCACGATTGAGTCTGAAGACTTTTCTAGTTCTAGTTTGTTATCCTTCCCCCGCACCTCCGATTAACACACTTGGCTACGTACCGTGCGAAAGAAGTTCAACATACACACACATACAATGGTCCAGTTTGGCCAAAGATACATTTTAATTGTTATTTTTTTAATCATTTCCTTTTCTTGCGAGTCCCAAGCGTATGAGATATTTCGAAGAAATGAGTTCAAAATCCGCATGGCTTTCACAACGTCCTTCTTGGTGTGCTGCACTCTCGAGGCAACCTCCGCCGCCTCATGCCCCTCTCTCTGCCACGCGCGCGGCCTCGGTGCGATGCTGCTTCGATAAGAATCTCGAAGAACCCGTGATCATTTTGCGCGGAGTTTTTTTGTTTGCTGCGAGGGAGGGAATTTCCACCCGGTCCACGCTGATTTACATCGCTAAACGAAGTGGCAAAACGCCGCGTGGGGTATTTCATGGCAACCGCCCGCCAGCTCGAGGTTCCCAGTTGTTCAGCCCCGACAGACAAATTTCGCGAAATCAGCACGGACGCCCGACGCTTTTAAGGATTCATTGAGGCACCGCGCGCGGCGAATATAAATCTCGAGAGACGACGTAACGAGGGCTTTTGCGGAGGTCGTCTGTGCCCAGCAGAGGACGGTGGAGGTGTGAGAAATCCCCCCAAAGGCACTTGCACAGGGATGATGAGTCAAGGTCAAAGGGGTCATCGCGGCTAATTCTGTTGGTGCCACGGAAAGTCGCAATCACTTCCCCGCGTCTCCGATTATAGCACGGCCGGCTACGTACTGTGCGAAAGAAGTTCAGCGTACATACGTCTCGATCCTGTAGTTGCGTGGTTAACACCTGGCCTGCAAGATCCACTCACCTCTGGGTGCCGCTGCAATTTAACCTGCCCTCCCCTCCTCCACCACCCTTGCATATATGAGAATCATCATATGTATTTATCCTGGAGGAATCCGATGAGCTATGAAGCTCTTTTCTTCATAGATGTCCAGTAGGGGTGGGTCAGCAAACCAACAATTGTACCAGTGTCGGATGATCCGAGTAGCAAAAGTAGCTACACATGTAGTAGCTACACATGTAGTAGCTACACATGTAGTAGCTACACATGTAGTAGCTACATATGTAGTTGCTACGAGCCCCGCACTTTCAAGGGCCCCGCGCTAAATGCTTTCAAGCTATCAATTCCGGTTAAGTGATTCTGCACTCGCTCTATTAGTATAGTACTATACCGCCTTAAACTTTTATGAACGACCAGGTGTTTAAGGTTAGCGATTTGTCGTATTATCTGGCTGTATAGAACATAAAAAAATACAATTACTTTACTATACAAGTTAAAAACTTCGTATATATATTTTTATTTAGGGCCCCTTCACAACATATGCTACAGGCCCCGCACTAGCTTCATCCGGCACTACATTGTACAACCCCCCCCATTTCCTGATCACCTCTACAACTCTGCCCTGCCACGGTCTAGTCCACCTTCCCAGCTGCTAACTCTGTCCTTCCCATGCCATTCGAGCACGCTCCACGTGTATCTGCGCTGCGTTCGACGGTCATGGTTCTCTTTGACCGTGCTTCACCACGCTGGTCAATGCGGGTTCGTGAAGCATGCGAGAGGGGATGAACCATGGCCAGTCCAGGTGTTCGCTATGGCGGGACATCTTAGTTCACTGCATTCGTAGTGAAGCTCACTCACTCCTGAGACACGACAAATAAAGATGGCTGTCTCTGGTGTAGGCCAATCAGTTTCAAAGACAATGCATTTCTTATATCAAAGCGTGTTTGTTGGCATGCTCACCACAAGTACGTGTGGTTAATGCAGACTTGATATTCGGTGTTTGAACATCTTAAAACTTATTCTTATATTTTCTAAAAAAATCTACATTTGCAGACACAGCCTGGCTCAGCCTGACTCATCGTGCCTACGGTTTTTTCCCTCCTGGGGGAATTGAACCGTGACCTTCACAAATTAAAACATTAACGCCCCTTGCTCTCCCCCCCTCGCAAGGCCACAAATGAAGGCACCCCCGCACAGCGAGGCATCGGGTGAACCAAACCAAGGTCCCTCCCTGAGCGCCCGACGTCTCGTGACGTCGCCCGGCGTTGGTAAACGAGCAAGCTTCGTCGAGCGCTTGGGGCGGCCTGTGGTCTCTCTGCACCCGCCGCCTGGGCCGGCAGCACGCCGTGACTCGCACTGACCCTCGCTGCGTGTCTTGCCGTGAAGCAAAAAACAACAACACAAAGCCGCTACGTCGGCGCAGCTTGGTGGTGGGGTGGGCAGCAGAGGGGTCGGAGCGTCGGCACGGCAACAATGGGGGTTATCGCTGCGCTGCGCTTTTGCTGACAATTGGGCATCGAGCTGCCTAACACCACCGGCATCACGCGTGGTGATTACCCGCCCAGGCCCAATGCAGGCTCGAGCTGATAGAGCCAGCTGATACATCGAGCTAATTACTTGGTGGTGGTGGTGGTGATGCTTGTGGTGCTGTTGCGTTTGCAAAGTTGCACAAGGTCAATTAACACCAGCAAAAACCTCAACGCATTGTCAACAACAACAACAGCAGTGTGTGTGGCCTTCAAAGAAAAAAACATAAAAGGCGACGTTTTGGGCAATGTCCCTTATTCATAGCACGTGATCAGTTCTGGTGGGATCAGGTGCGTGCATTATTATGGGCGATTGGGCCATCGGACTCTCTCAATCGGCGCAGTGCAACGGAACGTTCACGCGAGAGTCACACGGCGAGTCACGGCACGCGTCCGTCTCTGTGCGTGCGCGCGTGACAATTTTCCGAATCGTCACGCGCGCGCTTGCTGCGAGACCCCTGGGCCCTGTCTCCCTTTCCTCCACCCTGCAGCGTTGCCCCAACTCTGGCCACTCGCGAAGACGCGAGCTCCTCGTTTTGTTGTTGCTGTTGCACGCCGCCCGGCTATTCACACGGCGCCCAGCCGATCCACGGCGCTCTCCGTCCACTCCCCCTCCCTGCTATCTGTGAGCTCCCGGTGATTTCACAGACTTCTGCCTCCTTTTCCACACGTTTGTCACACTTATGTAGGGTCCGCTGTCCTTGCCAACCTTTGGTTTCACAGACTTGGGAGGTGCAAATCAAATCCATCGTGGACCCCCTCCCCCCACCTCCTCCTCCCCGGGTCGCGTTTCGGCACTACCGGAGCGGAGACTTCGCGATTTTCCTACTCGCGATGTCCGTGCCGTGTCTCACGCGTGTCTCACGCATGGCTTGGCCAACAGCTAAGGCTGCCGCTGGGTTCGGTTTTTTTCCCCAGGTGGCTGCCATCCGTGTGGGGGAAATCCAGAAGGCTTCCTGGGGGAATATTTACAAGTCCCAGTCTTTGTCAGTGATTTAACAATACACCAACCACCGAAGACAATGCATTTACGCGTAGTAGTATATATATATTTTAAGCTCTCCTGACATTGTGAGATACGCTTCTCCCCCGTGATTGTGACCGGGATTTTTGTACGCACGATTTGACCGGGTGACACAACCCCCCCCCCCCCCCCCCCCTTGCACAGTACGTCCCTGGATACTCGCTTGAACAAATATATTCAACACAAGCAGCGGCCGGGTCACCCACAATTTAGGCATTCGACAATGTCACCCAAGCGCCAGAGTCGGTCACCTCTTTTATACATCGCCACGGGAGACGTTGGACGAGTGCTGAAAATTCGACAATTCCACACCGAAGGAAGCCCACGAGATGAAAGCGGGTGCAGTCACAAGTCGGTGTGGCCGGGCGCTGTGCTGGCATCGCTCTGATGCACTGGGTTCGTATCCTGGGTTCAGCCTTCCCACGGTTAAACCCAGTTCTCAAGTGAGTTGATGGTCTCAGCCAGGTCACCAGCGATCTGCACTGTAGTGACGCCTACCAGCAGTGGTTATTTGTATGGTTATACAACACGGACGATGTCCTGCTCGTCATTACAAGGACAGAGATCCCCTGTATAGCCTGATCAGACTGTTGGGACAAGTGCTGTTAGCGAGCACCTATGAATGCCACCACGGAACATAAGGGGGTGGGTAGCCAACACCACGCCCGGCCACCTTTGTATCCCCATTGGGGATGTTTGCACACCACACCAGGTACTGGTTTAAGGCTGAGTCGACCTAGGGGAGGCCCACGACCGGGTCAGATAATCGTTACTGGCGTTGTCCGTGAGCGGGAATCAAACTTGAGTGGCCGGGTTCGTAGCGTAGTGGCGCTAATCGCTGCAACTACCGCTCCCCACTCTCCGTTACGCACACGAGCAACAACTGCCAAGCGTCGACTGGGAGCCAAGATGAAATCCGTGCTCTGCACGAATTCCCTCAAGCTACACGCAACACCCTCACTCAACGTTACCGCGCACGAGAGGAGTTCTATCGTAACCGTCACACGCAACACACCGGTCAGATGAGGCCATGAAGGCGGCTGTCTCTGGTGTAGGTTACAAAGACGACGCAGTGCCGGATTAAGCGAGTGCGGGGGCTGTAGCGTGATGTTATAAAGGGGCCCTAAATAAAAAAAAACACAAATGTTAAAAAACATTTTTTTTTACTTGCTTAGTAAAGTAATTGTATGTTTTCATTTGCTATACAGCTAGATAATACGACAAATCGCTAACCTTAAACAACCAGTCGTTTATAAAAGTTGAAGGCCAGCCTATCCAAAAGCTATATAGCTTAGTGGGCCTTACCTGGTAAAGTAAAAACAAGTTTTAAAATAGTTTAGCAGCATAACCACGTGTTGACTCATCGATTATATCAATTGATACAGCCCATGGATATTGCATCCAATCGCCTGTAAAAATTGTTGCGTTTAGGTTTACGCAAATTGTACACGGATCAGTGGATTTTTCCTGCTTTGTCCTTGGACTGTCCATACGTATTGCTACACCTATTGCTGTTGTCGTGGGTTTGATTGCTCATTCAAGTTCTAACCATGCTCGACATCCTGCTCAGCTTCTGAGGTCTGATGGGATCCAGGGCATTCCGGGTGATTTGGTCATGGGTCATGTTTTTCTTCAAGTGGGCCCGTTATCCGTCTCCTATGATGTGGTGATGAGTATTGGCATATATAATTTATTAATCCGGGGTTTTGGGACCAACACTGCAGAACATGAATATGAGAATTACGTGAAGCTTCACAGGTTACCTACTATGCAGTCAAGACGACATGGCAGTCAAGCCAATATAAATATGTCGGTGCGAGTTTCATCACCATTTTGACTGGACTTTTTTTTAACGGTTGCTCTTTTTTATTTAAGTTTGCTCTCGATATTACGACACGTGGTGAATACATTTAAAGATCTTGCTCCGGCAATGAGCAGTGCCACCACCCAGTGACGGAGAAGAAACAACTTGAAATAACTGCGCGTGAAGCCACTTCAACTGCAACTTCAACTGCAACACGGTAGCGAGATGTTGACTACCTCGCCTGGTATACAGGAGGTCGTGGGTTCGATCCTAACCCTAACGATGCCTGTTGTATATTTGGAGTTTGCATCTCTCTCTCCCCGTGGTCGCGTGGATTTTTATTCAGGTCCTTCGGTTTTTTCTTCCACATTTAGAATCAACGTGCGTTTTAGGTCAGTGGGGCCTTACCTGGTAACATTAAAAATAGGTTTTTTTTGTTTAACTTCATCTAAATTACAAGGCGCACCATTTATAGGAGCCGCGTATTCGTCGTTGGCCAATTAAAACATGCTCTCATTTTTTTTCGGCTGGAATTAATCCTAAAATTAAACGAGGCTTGGATGCAGTCGTTGAAGATTGTGAAACCATCAACTTTCTCTACACTCGACAATCCCGTTTCATCGCGGGTGGTTGCCAGATTCGAACCAGGATCTCTGTGGTGCTGGCTCAGCTGTTTGACGTGGTCTTAGCACCCCGAGCCACCCAGTCTACCTCATTGTCACTGCACTTCAGCGGGAGTATCTCTAAAGCCATCGCGAGTAGGCGTCTTGCGATTGATCTTGCCGATTGTGCCGCTCTTCCAAATATTCACACTGTCGGCACCGCTGGCATTTGAGTTGAGCCGTCCGCAATACTGCGGAGGCCTAACGGCATGCGCTGCTTCCGTAGATAAGAAAACACATTTGTAAGCATTGCGATTGCGGCTGCATGAAGAAGAAAAAAACAATTAGAATTCCAGGCAGCTTCTGCTGATAAAACACAGCTCATCTTTGTGTATTAAGCAGTCATTATTATTTGAAGCCTGGACATGCGCAGCGTCGACGCTTAGATGCCCAATCAAATCCAAGAGCAATCGTGCACCATTTGTGCTCGTCTGAATTAGCGCTCCTCACGATGAATGTCGGTGGAATGCCGGTTCGCCAGAGAGAGAGAGAGCTTTCACGAATGCGGTATAAATTAACGCGTTTGCAAACGGCTGTGTGACATGACCGTCCGTATATATTTTCGCTCGTCACAGCCCCGGGAACATGTCCGGGTTCGAGGCCTGGCTGGGCATGGCGAAGGTGAAAGAGGGAACCCACGAGCGCATGCAGGCCGTGCCGTTCTCGCACATGTTCTGCGGACCGTACGGATCCAAGCTGGTCATGCTGAAGCTCTCCAAGTGAATCACACACGCGGACACACACGCGGGCACACACGCACACACAAGCGGACATACGCACACAGGCACGCACGCACACGCGGACAAATGCAAAGATCCCCCTGTTTGGCCTTTTACGGACTGTTGGAGCAAGTGCTTGTGTTAGCGAGCACCTCTGCGGGCCATCACGGCACACGACGGTGGTCAGCACCACGCCCGCCCACTGTTGTGTCCCCAGTGCTAATGTGTTTTTACACATCGCACCAGGTACTCTGTTTAAGGCTGAGTCGACCTAGGGGTGGCCCAGAACCAGTTCAAATATCCGCCACTGATATTGGTCGTGAGTCGGATTCGAACCCGGGTTGTCAGGGTCATAGCACAAAGTGTGCTAACCACTGCAGTACCGCTCCACATCAAAGACAAAGACGTTCATGCGTTCATGCGTACGTACGTGCCATGGCTCGGTTATATCGTGACCGTCTATATCGCATTAAATATTTACGAGACGACAGCGGTGCCTGGGTGCCTGTGTGGCTCGGAGGTCGGAGCGCTGAGCTGGCACTGCTGAGATCCTTGATACAAATCCAGGCTTCAGCCGCCAGTGATTAAAAACCGGGTTCTCAAATACGGTGATTTTATGGTCTCTGCCCGGTCACCATTGACTGCGCACACACACAATAAATAAACCACCCAGCCCTTAATTCGCCTAACTTCCACATCAGAGTTTTAAAATATTGGTTTGACTCTCATTCCACAAATATTCCCACGTGTAGAAGTGCGGCTTGGAAAGTCAAGTGCCGCCAGAGGATACTTGAGATGCATCAGCGGTAGCTCTGTGAGGTCTGCTTCCACGAGCCGTGTTCTAACACTCTGCATGGTGAGAGATCTGAATGGAAACTTCATTTCGCGACACGACTCTGATTAGCTCAATCGGGACAAAAAAAAATAGGTGAAAAAATAACAAAGGAGACGTTTGCTTTTTTAAGGGACTGCAAGCGCCAATAACCACATAATTACCACTGCTTTTAGAACGGAAGTCATATTATCTATGCTGAGGCTAAGTACTAGAGAGAGCGGATGTATTTAAGGACCTATATTTGGAGATCACACTTAAGTACACCGTGGTGCCGACAAGATCAGTTTGGCTTCGAACCATGTTGTTTCGATATTTTGGGATTTTAATTCAGATGATGAATTTCTATATAACCGTAGGACAATATATTTTAGCGGGCATCAAAGTTCATTGTTTTATTCTGTTAAGAGTTTACGCGGCTTATTTATCACTCAAAATAAGTGGTTACGCCAGCGAAATTTTAAAAAGAGAGTGAGTCAATGGGTCACGTGGTTTAATTGGCAATCTTAAATAGCAATTAAATCGTGGACCGTTTTTAGATTGATGCACGTCAAGACGTGCATCAATGTGGCGCAGTGGGTCTTGATGAGCAAAAACCACCGGATTGATCTCCAGATCTCCAAGTCATCTCGGCAGAGTGTGGAGATGGGCCCGATGGAGTGTATGCTCAGTACATGTATCGCTGTTGTAAACATTTAGTTATTTATATTTGTTACCATTGGAGGAAGCAACGGAGCAGCGGTTAAGGCACTGCGCTCTGAACACACCGACCTGAGTTAGAGTCCCGGACATGGCTAACAACAGTGACAGGTGATATCTGAACTGTTTTTGAGCCTCTTACCTTTACCAAACCCCACAGATCAGCATGGTGAAGTATGGTCAAACAAACCCCCATGACTGACCTGGCATGGAGAGACCTTTATCCAGCAGTAGATTGACAAAGAGCTACACATTTTAATTTGTATTTGCTCATGGTAAAACTATAGACTCACGCAGTAGTAATATGCAGAGATTGTAAACTAAACATTTATTATAATTTAAGTGTCGTTAAACCCGCCACCACCCGACACAGCCAATTAGTAAGGTTTCTCACGTAAACAAAACATGCCAATTCGTTACTAGTTCAGCACACCGGCTGTGTGTTGGAGAGCGAACCCACTGCAACAATTACATTGGTCGCGAAAGCCACCGTGTTAAATGTAATTCCAGGTGCCGAATTTAAGCGAAGAACGAATGTGGGGAATTGTTCTCAGAGTTCGAAATGGCAAAGTACACATGTTAACAAATTGGCATCATCGTGTTTCCACTCAACAAAGGAGAGCGAAAGAGCAATTCCTGATGTGTACCAAACGGTTGTCGTGGGAGGCTGGAGAGCGAGGCACGACCCCAGCCTGCCAGGCAGAGATCTCCCACGCACGGCACACGGCGTCACCGTGCCACGACGGCTTCCCTAAATCAGCCGACATTGTCATTAAAAGTCAAAGTCAAAAGGTCCCTGTACTCATATGAGCACTGGGTGATGGCTCATTTCCATTACATGCCTCGCCTCCCTCCCTCCCTCCATTCCCTCCCTCCCTCCTTTTTGTCCCCGATCAGAAGAGAACAAAAAATGCTTGGTTATTCGGCACTTTGATTCATTCATTCGTGTCGTGTTTTTTTTTGACGTTTCATTTTGGAATTTCATGGTCCTTTTTTTCTTATTTTCTAAACACAAGAAATATAAATGTAAGGTAGTCCCTCGGTTAACGTTTTAAATCCATTCCACGAAAGCTACTGTTAACTGAAATAACTGTTAATTGGACTCACATATCGGTTGAAAAATACGTCAAAAAAATGTACTGACTGCAAGAGGGCTGTTTTTTTCCCACTGCCCAAAACAGAAAACGTTAAAATGTAAATAAAACCAAGTCGAGGTCTTGACGGCTCAAATGGCACGTCGCTGATTGGCTGAGGGCATGGCTCAGCCACACTTTACGAGCGCTCGGATTGGTCGAAATTGGCGCCCGTGTGTATACAACGTAAACACACCGCTCATCAACATTTTAACATTAGTGTAAACCACGGGGGTCCTATGGGAGGCGAAACATTAACCAAACCACCGTTAGCCGATGTTGTCACTGTTAACCGAGGGACTACTGTGTAGCATGCATCCCATTGGAGACTGTGGAGACAGAAGCAACAAAAACCCATCCATCCCTCACGTGGGTCCCACTCCTATGCAGCACACACACCTTCCCTCCCCGCTCATCCCGCCTCACTTAGCCTCACTCAACTCCTATGCGCATCGCAAAGGTCCCCCTGTCACTCTCCCTGGCGTTTGTCGTTCCGTCGTCATTGGGACTCATCGGTGCAAGCGTAGAGCCATTTGTAACCCGTTTGTGCCTGCGGGACTTATATTATGTTATTGACAAATGCATTGAGAGCGTTGTGATATTTTGAGCTAGATTGTCGTTATTATTGAATGTGTCCTGTATTGCCAGGTGCAAAGATACAGATTCACAGCTGAAGTGCAGGAATCTGTATCTTTGCACCTGGTAATACAGGACACATTCAATAATAACGACAATGTAGCTTAAAATATCACAACGCTTTCAATGCATTTGTCAATAACACTGCCTTGAGGTGAGGCTATGAAGAAGTGGCAATTTTTGCTTTGCGCAGCACTGACTGCCAACACAGTATCACCCAATACGTTGTTAAATCTAATACTTCTCGATTTAAAGCTTTCGTGACTGCAGGGATTCATCTTCTTGGTTCTAATATTGTTCGGTTGTTACTTACGCGAAATATATATACCAAATTACGGCTGGGACAATGATGATCCGAGTCAAATAATCGACTAAAATTTGTAATCGACTACGTTTGTTGTGGTGGATTACTCCGGCACCTTCAAAAACCGGCAGCAGCCTCTCTATCCTGCCTCGCGAAGGTAGGAAACCCCCTACGAGCCACGCCTGGCGTAACGCGGTTGGTAAATTTCAATGACGTCACCAAGCCCCCGCCCATCACCACCCGTCCAGCGGCACATGCGGGAACAGAGGCGAGACTTTCATTTAAAACTTTTTGGTTTCGTGCGTCATCCGATCGGCGGTGGAGTAATTAAAACGATAAAATCGGTATAAATAAAAACAACTCTGAAATGTTGTAAAAACAAGAAACTTGCGTCGAGAATTGACACGCTTGGCTTGAACCGATGGTTGTGGCACCTCGTCTCTCTGCAGGCAGGTGCTGCTGAACGGTTCCGTGGCTACGATCTGTCTGCCAGACTCCCACGAAGACCTAGATCTCCATGGTGAATGTGAGATCTCTGGCTTTGGAGATACCCAAGGTACATCTCTATCTCTCTCTTTCTCCGTTATTCCAGCACGATGTATTGGGCACACAGGCAGAAGATGCCTTGCAGGCTCACACTGCCAATCACCTTCATTGCACGTGCATCGACAGGCATCCCTCGATATATACGGAACAGATACGGTGCTGAAAGTGATCCGAAATGTGAAATTCCATTAATCGTGCCGTTTTCCCATTGACTCCCATTACATATCTATGGAACCTTTTTGCCAATATCCAAAATGATGAAAAATAAGAATAGCTTTTACCCTTTCTAGCAATGAAACAGACGTTAAGATGTTAAAACACCCAACAGATTCCTTTGACAAGGCATCAAGTCTGCATTAGCTACACACAATTGTTGGAAAACATGCAAACAAACATGCTCCGATGATATATGCATTGTCTTTGAAACTGATTAGCCTACACTAGAGGCAGCCTTCTTTATCGCCTTGTCTCACCAGTGTTTGACCAAAAGTACAAATACATTGTCTTTGTGTTTTTTTTTTCAATATTTCCATTAGATAATTGGAGATGCGTTCCTTCGGCAAACATTTCACGCCCCAAAAGCGTAACAATTTAATCACACCGAAGAATGTAGCTAACGTTTTTTAAGCATGTGTTTAATGGAAAATGTATTATTTTCTGGTAAAACATGAATAATAATACTCAAAATAAGTCACGGGAAACCAGTAGAGTTTGACAAATGCACTTAAACGACCTGGAGCACAATTAAATGTGCTCTAGGACAAATGCAAGCTTCTAAATTGATTTTTTTGCCCCCCAAGTTTGTTTTATAATTTTGAGATTCAAAATTACATAAATGCGATTCTAAAGTAAGGTACGTGGAATTAGTTCCCCGATTTATAAGTGACATCTTTGCAAAATTCCGTACATCGAGTTGCCTTATAACGAGGGATGACTGCTTCAAATAAATCCATTTTGTCAATCCACTGAAAGTCTCCCCACGCGGTGTGGGACATGGGACTTGTTTTGAGCATACTTCCCCGCGCGGGTCAGTGCGGGTTGCTGTAGGCAAGGAGGGCAGACGCTGGAGCATAGAAATACTGTACAACGACGGGTGTTAGCTTCACTGCCCTCTGCTGTAAATGTAGCCACACGCCTGGCTATTGCATTCGTGGTTGCCCATCAAAGGACAAAACACACTTGAATCGACTTCACTTCTGAGATCCGATCCGATGAGATGAGACGCATTCAGGGTGAGTCGGTCATCAGAGTCGAATGCACCTTGTGACCTGCTGGTGAATGTCGCTTTCAAAGTGTGAATCATTTTCCGTATAAAAATAGCAAGTTTAATAATAATAATGATTACGGTCTGAACCAGGTCACTAATGGCTACTCAGAGAAGCCCACCATCATATCAAAAACGCCAGATTTTTCTCATTTGAATTGTGAGAATTGTTGCAATTTCCAGTCTACGAGACAGCGCGCTATGTAGGTCGTGAAACGAAATTGTGCCCGGAATTGATAAAGAGAGACTGGTTGAAGAGACCGTTCGGCAAGTAGTTATATCATGTCATCTATCCACGGCTATTCACCAACACAAGGTGATGATGCACTGATTACTGAGAGAGGTCTGACATGGAAAATTCTGTGTCTTGCCAATATTAATGAAGCCTTGTCCCTTTCTCATATCATCCTGATGGCACGATTGGGGGGGGGGGATGTGAAATGAGAGTGGGGCAAGGCTTTAATTGAGCCACGGCTTAAACATCAGATGTTCCAGCAACACCGAGTAACCTTACAAAACCTCCAACTGAAACACTTTTACTCATATCGGGATTCTAAATAGGTATGATATATGAATAGCCTTTCGAGTGCGATAATTGGATGACCGTGTAGTGTAACAGCTACATTATATTTCTCCACTTTATTCGGGATTTATTATCTACAAATGGGAAGGTCAGCCCGTAGCAGTGCAGTGTCACAATTCATGTAGATGTCCACAATGCTAATTGTGTAACTTACACTTCTAATAGCTTAAATGGCTGCTCCCAATCACATGTTTTTGGGCTTGAGTCTTTTTTTCACCTCGAGCAATAAGTAGGTCGAAAACAATGGGAATAATACTCTGGTGACGTTAATGCGCAGCCCCAGGAAAAAAAATCTCTGCCCTCGACTCTCGGTCTTGGGTCCTATGGGAACAGTCCCTTCACCTCCAGGATGACTCAAAAAGGAAACGTTCTAAGTCCTTGTCCTTGACCCTGAGAACCTTAATGACCTGTGTGTGTGTATGTGCGTTTCACACCTGTCAAGGTGTAATGTTTCATGATAGCGGTCGTAGAATTTTTGAAATGTTGAGCGCTCATTTTAATTGTAATGATGCGGTATTCGTTTTCAAAATAATTATCGCGAGTTGAATTAATCCGCGATTTATTCATTTTGTTTCAAAGTGTTGAGCAGTTTCCGTGCGGCAATGCAATCTTTTCTCGTTGTAGCCTAGAGGTTAATAATAATAATGATGCAATTTATAATGCGCACAAATTTGCGGACATAACGGCCGCAACTCAGAGGCGTGGAGCCAAGCTCAGAGTCGCTCGAAAGCACGTGGTTATAGAGGTGAGTGTTTAAATCTCTCTTGAAGGAGGCGTATGAGGTGATGCTGCGAATATGCAGCGTTTACTAGGCATCGATGCTAGGGTTGCCACCTCTAAGGTACAAAACACCAGGATATATATTGTGCAGAAGAATATCTCACAATACCAGAATAGGGGAGAGCTGCATGTAAATTTGTTACCTTGAGTGGTCTACGATGTGTAAGCAACTGACAAACTGTACCTTAAACTCTCCCAGGAAGTCTTTCAGGCTACCCAGGATGGCTGCCTCAACAAGATGTGGCAACCAAACTTGACAGTGGCCTCGGCCAACAGCAACCAAATCGCTCGCGACATTGTGCAGTTGAAATCGTCGCCTGCAAATGCTTTTGTCCACAAACGAGCGAGTAGTTGCACAACGTGGAAATTAAACAGCGCATTCGGGATTGTAAAAAACGATCATACGCATTTCCCCAAAGTGCATGCGATGAAACACATCACCGCACATCTCCTGAGCAGATGGCTTGAACGTAGAGCGCTACCTCGACTTCGTGCAACCAGTACTGCGACTGCCCGCACAACTGGTTGCACAGATGCCCGCACGAAAGTGATTCGGTTGCATGTGACTAAGCTGTGCAATCTGACCTCACCGACTTGCGGGCTCCACCTCGGCGTCTGTCTAGCTGGTTCTCAGCCTTGCATCACCGCTCACCTTGCTCCCTGTGTGGACACCTCACTAGGCACCGGTGATGAAGGCTTCCTCAAGACGGCGTTCGTGTCATTGGTCGATGCCGAAAAGTGCGGACAGCAACACAACCGGCACATCCGACAACGTGAGATCTGTGCGGGAAAGGGGGACAGGAGCGGCGACGCCTGCGAGGTGAGCAAGCGCTCGGCATGACCCTCCCGGGCTGTGCGGGGCGGGGAGCGGTTGCGTCAGGGCATGATTAAGATTCTTGTATGCCCTCGGCACTTCTGTTCCTTAGGCCTTCAGTGATAACTTTCCAACAGTTTGTGTACTGCTGCCACACGTTACGACTACTGCCGCTGTCATTACGCTTGTTTCACGCTTACTTCGTCCAGCCGCCGGACAGATGTCGTTGCTGATACGTTCATTATTTAGTCTGTGCCCGAGTTCGATGGGAGTGCGCTGTGCGCTGCAGATAAGCAGATTTAATTAGCAAACTCTGCCTCTTTATGTATACGCTGTGCCTATCCTTGCTATATAAATATATTCACTCAAGAAGATATCTTGGTTACATTTTTTATCATATGAAAAGGAAACACGGTCCAAAGTAGTTTTTCGTAGGCCCTGGGCACAGCGGCGACTGTGGCCTATCGGATAATACGACCCCGAGTTGCGTGGCCGTTGCGGCGTGAATGTTCGACGATCCGGGTGAGTTGCCGACGTCGATGCGTGCGGCGTGCGGGAGCGCAGCCGCTGAGAAGGTGGAGCGATGAAGCCGGTTCGTCGTGGGAGGGTGCCACGTGGATTAAATACGTCGCAGGAGTGCGGCGGGAGCTCGGGGCGAGGCGGCGGATTGGCCATCGCCGATGATCACGACGATGCACATGGTATCTGAAACGTGGCCTGTCCCTCCTCGACGCGGTGTGGTCAGCATGAGCACGGGGGGTGACAGCGGCGGTCGGGAGTAGCGCTCGCCGCACTCACCCCTTCGTGTACTAAGCCGTCATTAGTTGCCATTAACTTGCAACGTGCTGACAAAGCATCACTCATTGCCGTGTGTCGCATACCACGGGAGCACAGCTATTCACCCGACGAGGTGTGATGGGAACACCGTTTACACCTTTCCACTGCTGGGTGTAAAGAGGCGGAGGGGGTTCGGGGGGAGGGGGGGGTGCTTTCACCGCCGTCTCAGCTGCCGAGCAGCGGCGGGGAGATCGAACTGGCAGCCACCTCTGGATGGGAGAAGTCCACTGCCGCCGCCCTTCATTACACTCCCCCCCCCCCCCCGCTGTGGCGGCGTCCAAGACAGGGCCGTGTGGCAACGCAACATAAAACGCGAACGCCGATTTCTTTTTTTCTTGTGTAGAACTGCAGCGCAGAATGTGCGACGATCAATCGGATCGTGACAGGAACGGTGGCGGTGGGGGGGGGACAGGTCTCAAGCCAGACGGTGGGGCCCTGTAAGAGCAGACCTACTGTAGGAGGTGGCGGTGGGGGGGGGGGACAGGTCTCAAGCCAGACGGTGGGATCCTGTAAGAGCAGACCTACTGTAGGAGGTGGCGGTGGGGGGGGGGCAGGTCTCAAGCCAGACGGTGGGTCCCTGTAAGAGCAGACCTTGGAGGTGGCAGTGTTGGCTGTGGTACACCGGTGACATCTGGCAGAGAGAAGGAAGTGACGGCGAGGTGCGATGGTATCAGTGGCATTGGCCTTGATAATATTAATTATGAGTGCTTCTTCTTTCGTGTGGATTAATATCAGCAGATTAAAGATGTAATTTTAGATTTGTTATCCACTCAATGTGTCTGTTCAGAAGCAGAGTGGATCTCGTCGATTCCTCCTTTAAAATGAGTGAAGACAGTGAAGTGTTTACAATGTGGTCGATGGTTTGGGATTTGTGGCCACACTCGCAGGGACGGTTTGGGGATTTAGGGGACGTTCCACGCCTTGCTGCCTGCAACCGCGGCAACAGCGAGGATGGCTGTGTGACCAAGTGCGTGCGGCAGCACACCCACTTGTGTGTGTAAGGGGGGAGCGGTGGTGTAGTGGTTAGCGCGCTCCGCTATGAACCTGGTTGACCCGGGTTCGATTCCCGCTCACAGCCAACACCAGTGACGATTATCTGAACCTCCCCTAGGTCGACTCAGCCTGAAATGAGTACCTGGGGCGGTGTGTAAACATCGCCACTGGGGAGACAAAGGCGGTCGGGCGTGGTGCTGGCCACCCACCCCCTCGTGTACCGTTCTGGCCTTCATAGGTGCTCGCTAACAGCACTTGCCCCTACAGTCTGCTAAGGCTATACGGGGGATCTTTGTGGCAACACAGCGCTACAAACCCGGCAGAGACCCGAGTTCGATTTCTGCTCACGCCTAACATCGGTGACGAATATCTGAAGCGGTCATGGGCCTCCTCCAGGTCGACTCGGCCCTCAAATGAGTACCCCGGGACCGGCGTGTAAACATCGCCACTTGGGAGACAGGCGGCCAGGCGTGACGCTGGCCAGCCCAGGCCCTCATGTGCCGTGTCCGCCTTCAGAGGTGTGCTACGCGTTCACAGCACTTGCCCCAACATTCTGTTAAGTTTATACGGGGGGGGGGATCTTTGTCTTTCTCTTGTTTGCCTTGCTAAACAGAAGGACTACGGAGGCCCGCTGGCCTGCGTAGACAACAACGAGCACTTTGTCCTGCAAGGGGTGATGCCTCCGGCTCCTGGCTGTGGCTTGACCAACCTGCCTGGCGTCCACATCCGTGTCTCCCACTACCTGCACTGGATACACAAGATCATCCGCACAACATGACTCGTCCCGCGCATTCCCACTCGCTTCACGTTAATGTCAAAATGTTATTAAATTTTCCATTACAGTACAATCATTTAACTTTCATTTTTTTTACAACATAATATTAATTGCGGTAGGTTTCACACGTGTTGAAATGAATTTGTTATCGTTCGTAATAAAACGTATAATAAACTTGTGTTTGCCTCTTTCGTCACATGTTGATCAGACCGCAGACGTTTCACCCACCATCACAGTGTGACGCGGAAACCTCTTTCTAATGGGACTCTTTTTCATAAGTGACTTGTCCACAAATGGCAGCTCAACGAAGTGGCTTATCAATATGGACATTTATTGTGGCCAAATACTCTAAACGCATTTTGATTCTAAATGTGGAGGGAAAAACCGGAGGACCCGGAGAAAAATCCATACGACACGTAAACTCCAAATATACGGCAGGCATCAGGGTCGGGATCGAACCCACGACCATCTTATATACCAGGCGAGGCAGTTAACATCTCGCCACCACGGCACCCAATGATGTTCACCATCGTGTGATCGTGGCGTGCCGTACGCACGAACTAAAACACCCATCTCCTTGCTGAATTGAGAGAAAAAAAAAACGTCCAGCACTTTTTGTTTTAAAATCCACGCCTTCGAGTCCAATTACAATTGCATGGGCGCACACACACAAAAGCACGCAACACTTTTTTTGCCCCCCCCCACCCCCGTTTTTTATTCTCCTGATAATAACGCTCGCTTATCATTTGTGTTTCACCCTCCTGCACGAGCGACGGATAAACCAAGGACATCTGGCGTCTAGCGTTTTGTTCCCCGAAGAATTTTGTCCGCGGGACTTTTATTTAAAGACGTCTTAAAAATATATATAATCCCACATTTTCACGCCGCATAAAATGGCAGGTGGGATTTCACAACTCCCAGGGCCTCGTGACCATCGGTGAAGGATTCCAAAGGAAGGAATCGCAGGGTTAAGGCGAGTCAAACTAATTTCACTCAGAGTGGTTGGGTGCGACCCACATTTACGGTTGTTTCTCAACATGTCTTTGTGGTCGTGCTGCCGATTCACAGCTGGGTTTTCTTCCAGAAATAGAATAATAAAAACAAACTCGTGGTAGAGTTACGGGTGTCTGGGTCTGAGAGTGCAGTATGTATTAAATATTGTTTTTTTATGTTACCAAGTTAGGTCCCACTGAGCTATGTAGCTCTTTTTTCAGAAGCGACCTGGCGATCACAAATGACAGCTCAACGAAGTGGCTCATCGTCACGTGGAAATGTAAAGCAGCCAAATACTGTTAAGGCGTGATGCTGATTCTAATGTGGAGGGAAAAAACCAGCGGACTCGAAGGAAAATCCACACGACCACGAGGAGAGAGAGACAGAGACACGCAAACTCTAAATATACTGCAGGCGTTAGGTTCTGGATCTAACCCGCGATCTCCTGTATACCAGCTGAGGTCGTCCACATCTCTCCACCGTGACGCCCCCATATGAGAGCAATTGTGGGGCACAGCCACCTTCATTTCATCAGAATCAGAATCAGAAACGGTTTTAATCGCCATGTAAGTTTGCACAAACAAGGAATTCACTATGGCCGGACGGTGCATACATTGAACAAGTAGGAATCTTAACTTATATAAAAGGTATACACTCTAACTATACTAACGTTACAAAGTATAAGTAATACCAAAGGGCTAAAATCTTTAAAATTATGAATAAGTAGACCTTACAGACCAAGCCACAGCACGTCTCGTAATAATCATTATACTCTTAACCCAAACGATAAATGCGTTGAGCTGCTTACCCCAGCGATTTATTCTGTTCAATTATTGAGAATGGCGATATGTTCAGGAGCGAGATGTCCGTGTCTGCTGCTAGCCACGACGAGAGGGCTTGAGGAGAAAGAGAGAGTTCGTGTCGTTTTGCTGTTCCTCCTGTTGAAGAAGAGCAGCGATCGTGGGTTTGCTCTGTGGTGTACAGTTTGAGTGGCCTGGCGACAGTCGCAATGTTACTTGTGTCTTTCATGTACCTCTACGAATCTCTGTGTTTATATATCTGTGAATGTCCACGTATTGCTACGGGTTTAGTATGAGGTCCAAACGTTCGGGATGCATGGCCACAATCGCACGGCTGTGGTTTGTGTCTCAGATTTTCCATTTATGAAGGGGATGTAATACAGGTTGATGGTTCCACCAGTGTCTTCGAGGAATGTCAAGGCCACGAAAAGTATCTACATTGTGGATGGATGAAAGCTAAGACAGCAGAAAGAGTGGGCAAATGCAATGCAAAACAGGCGACTGCACAACAAATGCAGTCTGGGCTAGACAAGATATACAGTACAGTGAGGCACAAAGAGACATTACAGAAAGAGTGGGCACACACTGAGGCTGTACTCACTTCATTCCAGATGAGGTGGGGTGGAAAGGTAACAGTAGGGAATGGTGCGGGTTGGATTGCAGTGAGAGTGTTTATTAGTCAGTACAATGTTCGTCTTGCAAACCAAATTCGAGAAGAATTGGTTTCTTTTGTACGGTGAATTGCAATCATATACCATTAATTAAATACGCGATCCCATTTACGACGGTAGGAAATGAGATGTGATTCTGCAATTGAATTAGCGACCTTAATCAATGGGATGGAAATTAATTCTGGCTCATAGGCGCATTGGCCATGGATATCGTTTGACCAGACTTGAGATTCGTCGGTGTGGGGAGGTCTAAGGGTGACCAGGATGGTTCACATCACGCTCGCCACCGACGTTGGCTGTGGAATCGAACTTAGGTGGCCGGGTTCATAGCATGGCGCACTAACCACTGCACTACACACAGACACACGCAGACACACACAATGAGATTGTGTGTCCGAGACCACATTTGATTGCTCTCATGAATGTAAAACATTGTGACTAATTAATTCATAATTATTGACATCTATTTTATTTGAGATCAATGTTAGATTATATAACGACGACTTGATTCGCGTGCAATCGATTTGTCTCCCGAAAAGAAATTGCCAACTCTTCAAATGTTGGCCTCACTGAGAAACGGTTCGCTGGCGCGTGGGGCCCCCCGCGCGCGCGTGAGACAAAGGCGACCGGGCGTGACGCTGGCCACCACCCTCCCCCCCCTCACGTGCCGTGACGACCTTCGTAGGGGCTCCTCGGTCACAGCACTCGCCCTGACGGTCTGTCGACACTTCGTGGGTAGGCTCAGTTGCGCGTGACCGGTGTAGCGTCAGGTGTGCCGCTGGATTATAGAGCGGTGCAGCGCGGGGGTTACGCAAGTAAGTCCAGTTGGCGATACTTTAGCTTAATTCCCACGCTCGGAAAAAAATTGCACAAGGGCTCGTGCAAGACCAGCGTCAATAAAAAATAAATTTGCCAATTGTGCCGCGGAAGGCTAGACGTGGCGTCGTAGCGAGTTGGGGCAATGCATTGCCGTAGGCGCGGCAATTAATGTTCTGCATTGAGCCATGAAGGTTGTTACGCACAGCATGCCGGCTTGGGTGGGTGAGTGCAATTCTTTCGGAGGTCAGTTTCCAGGGCTGCGATTGAGGAATTGAAAACAATAAAGTAATGACCCAGTGAAGGTCGCGTCACCTGCAGCCGACGTCACTGTGCACTCTAAAAGAAAAGACATGACACATCGCGGCTTTTAATTCAATGGATTTCTCTCTCTCACTTTTAATGGAAAACATAACTGGAGACACAACACGTTGCCTTATTGATTTTGGACAGCAAAAGGCCCATCGGGTAGCGCGCTAATTTCGCAGACGACTCAAAGACACGTGGACAATTCCTAGCGATGGTGAATATTCGCGCGCGATGAAAAGGGATGAGGGAGCGTACTTGCGAAGAGCCATTTGCCGAGGAAATCCCACGTGAATGTTGATGAGCGTGGCAGACGTCCGGCAGGGGAAGGCAAAGTGATTCCTGAAAACCTGCGAAGGACTGACTGGTTGGTGTGGGGGGGGGGGGGGGGCGATGGGGACAGCATTTCCATGGTTACCTCCGGGCCAGCCAATGAGCAGACACTGTTAAGGGGCGAAAAAAGGAGGATGCTGCTTTAAAACGGCAAGGACAGGGAGGGGAAGAGGGGGGGGGGGGGCTTACAGCCGACAATAGACGACAATAGTCCATTCGCTCTGCCTCTGGGAAGCCGGGGTGGTGAAGCACCAGCGATAGGGATAGGCACGGGACAGGCTGGGGGGGGGGGGCTTACGAAAGAGAATAGAGATCCGAGCACAGTGAGGGATGGAGGAGCGGTGATCATTCGAGGAGACGCAGCGGTAGGAGAGGGGTGAGGTGGATAGCAGAGGCGTTGAGGGATCAGCGTCAGAATCAGCATCATTAGCAGCAGCAGCAGCAGGATGATGATGATCGTCGTCATCGTCAGCGGAACCCGTTAAGTTAAAGATCCCTCGGATTAGCGGCGAGACGGGGGAAGGTTTTTTTTCTTGGGGGGGGGAGGGGTCTGTGATCACAATCGAGGAGGAGCGCCAGGCATTCTAAGACAAAAGGCGGCTTGGCCCAGTGTTGGCGGTCGAGGCGAGAGGGCGGTTGGATTGCTGGCTCCGTGAAGACGAGGCGGGGCTGCTGCTGCTGCTTGCTGCTTGCTGCTGCTTGCTGCTTGCTGCTGCTGCTGTTGCTGCTGCTGCTGCATGTTTGATGGATGGTGCGCAGCCGAGCGAGCTGCGGCCATTGCGAGCTGGCGCTGAGGTCGGCAAGGCGTGAGGAGACGGGGAGAGGAGGAGGGGTGCGGGGCGGCGTGGGGACGAGCTGATGGGTGTCACACGGAGGTGATGCGGCTTATGCGATAGCATTTAAAGGGCGAGAGAGAGAGAGAGACGCCGAGGCCGAGACGAGCGCGAGCGGCATTGGAGGCGCTGTGGGCGACCGGGGCGCTGTCCATGGTGCTGCTCCAGAGGGTGTCCGAGGCGGTGCGCGAGCCGAGAAGGTGGGTGGCGACGTGGAGTGGTGGCGCATCGCGAGGGCGTTTGTGGCTGCCTCGTGCTTGTCCCGTGGGGGTTCTGTTGTGCCGCATGTGTTGGTGTGTTCACCTCTCCCCCCCCCCAGTGCGGTGCCCTGGGTTGTCATCCGTCGGATTTGGCTTCCGTGTGGGTGATAGGAAAAGCCAGACCTCTGCACCGAATGAGATGATTGGTAATTGCATCGTTACACAACACCGCACGCGCGCATGCATTTGCACATTCGTGTGAATGTATTTACGTACGTACATTGTAACATATAATGAATGTCATTACAAAGGGCATATTAGACATACAGATTACACAATATTTATACATATATGTGTATGTGTGCGTGCTTGATATGATGTGTATTATAATCTTTATTAGCGGAGCTTCGACTTGTGTGTTTATATGCACATTGAACTATGCGCATGTGTGTACAGCTGTGTGTACTATGTACACCTCTCGGCCTACTGTCTAATTAATATATTATCGGTTTGTGAACAGATTTTTTGGGGGGGGGGGGTGGAACGGATGCTAAAATATCCCCATATTACATTCACTTCTGAAGCACCGCCGTCTTTATGAACCTGCTATTAGCCAGGCAATGATGTGATAACAGCTGTAATCGCATTAAGGGTAAAAACCCCACCATGTAAGGCTTGTGTTAAATCGGAAACTCCCGTGTGTAAGTCGCTTTGCCCTGTCCTTTATATAACAGCGTCGGCTGGTTCTACACGAACAACAAAGCGCCACCTTCATTTGTCGGGTTAGGAAAAATTAACCCCTCCGCTTACAAATCCCAATTACTAACGACGGTGATGATGCTGATGGTGCACATTCTATACGTACGTACCGGGATTATACTATTTACATATTGCATCTCGCGCGTGACACGTGCATGCACATGCGGTTGATCTGATGTCGATAATGCAACGTTTTGCATTTGACGCCGGCTCTTAATAACAATATTCATACAAATGTCAATTTCATCCTATTTGCTGCAACAACAAAACATCCGTACGGAATGTGTAGCCACTGCCAATGTTCGTGGTTGTGATTTGGCAACCGTGGCTATTCCATGGCTATACCGCTTGCCTCGCGGTCAGGAGGGCTTGCGAGTTCAAGTCCTGGTCGGGTGTGGACGCAGCACATCCACACATCCGGGTGTCAATGCAAGAAGCAGCGCTGTGGCTGTCCTATAGATCGACTTACACCGTGTAATGATCGTCATCAGTCGGGATCAATCCACTGCTGGATGAAGCCCCCCCCCCAATCCGTTGGCATGTGTGACGGTCTTGTGATAATAAGAATGCATCTAGCACCTGCGCGTGAACTGAATCCATCGCTCATCACATCCATCATCTCACTCCATCTCACCATCTCACTCCATCTCACCATCTCACTCCATCTCACCATCTCACTCCATCTCACCATCTCACTCCATCTCACCATCTCACTCCATCTCACCATCTCACTCCATCTCACCATCTCACCATCTCACTCCATCTCACCATCTCACCATCTCACTCCATCTCACTCCATCTCACTCCATCTCACCATCTCACTCCATCTCACTCCATCTCACTCCATCTCACTCCATCTCACTCCATCTCACCATCTCACTCCATCTCACCATCTCACCATCTCACTCCATCTCACCATCTCACTCCATCTCACCATCTCACTCCATCTCACCATCTCACTCCATCTCACCATCTCACTCCATCTCACCATCTCACCATCTCACTCCATCTCACCATCTCACTCCATCTCACCATCTCACTCCATCTCACCATCTCACTCCATCTCACCATCTCACTCCATCTCACCATCTCACTCCATCTCACCATCTCACCATCTCACTCCATCTCACCATCTCACTCCATCTCACCATCTCACTCCATCTCACCATCTCACTCCATCTCACCATCTCACTCCATCTCACCATCTCACTCCATCTCACCATCTCACCATCTCACTCCATCTCACCATCTCACTCCATCTCACCATCTCACCATCTCACCATCTCACCATCTCACTCCATCTCACCATCTCACTCCATCTCACCATCTCACTCCATCTCACCATCTCACTCCATCTCACCATCTCACCATCTCACTCCATCTCACCATCTCACTCCATCTCACCATCTCACTCCATCTCACCATCTCACCATCTCACTCCATCTCACCATCTCACTCCATCTCACCATCTCACTCCATCTCACCATCTCACCATCTCACTCCATCTCACCATCTCACTCCATCTCACCATCTCACTCCATCTCACCATCTCACCATCTCACCATCTCACCATCTCACTCCATCTCACCATCTCACTCCATCTCACCATCTCACTCCATCTCACCATCTCACTCCATCTCACCATCTCACTCCATCTCACCATCTCACTCCATCTCACTCCATCTCACCATCTCACTCCATCTCACCATCTCACTCCATCTCACCATCTCACTCTATCTCACCATCTCACTCCATCTCACCATCTCACCATCTCACTCCATTTCACCATCTCACTCCATCTCACCATCTCACTCCATCTCACCATCTCACTCCATCTCACCATCTCACCATCTCACTCCATCTCACCATCTCACTCCATCTCACTCTATCTCACCATCTCACCATCTCACTCCATCTCACCATCTCACTCCATCTCACTCCATCTCACTCCATCTCACTCCATCTCACCATCTCACTCCATCTCACCATCTCACTCCATCTCACCATCTCACTCCATCTCACCATCTCACTCCATCTCCGCGGTAGGCGCGGGATACTCTTGCGCCGATGGGGAGACGGGGGGGGGGGGGGGATTTGGGGGTTCTTCAATTGTCTGCTATTCCATTGTTATTCTCCACCCCTGGCCACCATCAACCTCCACGAATGGACACGCGCTGCCCAAGGCCGCTTTATTTTCCGAGTCGTGCATGTGATGAACGCCTCTGACACTTTAGTCAGTGTTAATCCCAGCCATGCAATTATCCACATTTCTTTGGGCCACTTTTTTCGGCCATTGTTCAGTGTTATTTGTCAATGTCAACGTACCCGGCCCACGTCTCAGCAGGTAATGGGTATATATACACACACACACCGGGTAAGCAGTCCATGTTTAGAGTCAGGGCTATATTGCTTTTCGTGATTGTGTTCACCTTTCCAAAGCTCCCCATCCTACTCTCTGCCTCCTCTTTATGAAATCACTGATCGTATCCCACCTTCGCCAACTTGCCCATGGTATAACGATCCTGCTGTTTTCCATATCTACATTTGTTTAGCGACCTTGTCGTACGTTTCTCCTAGTTACCTTGAGCCTAACTTTCCAGCCTTCTTCGATGAGTTCTTCCGTATTTCCCTGCAGTTTATTCCCAGCGGTTGTTATAATGACGTTGTCAGTCAGCAAATCCGATTTGAATTATATTTCTTCTACTCGTACTTCTATCTTTTGTCCCCCAGGCATAGTAGAGGAGAATAATATCCATAATTGGCTCAGGAGATGAGCACCGCCCATGTGCTCTGACTGAATGTTGAACATAGTTCATAGTTTTAACACTGTGAATAAGTTCACACTTATTTTATTTGTTACGCAGATAATCCCATTTAGCCAGTTTGTCCTGGCTGTTTTGAATAAGGAGATCCGTGGTGTGTGAGCACAGCAAACACAAAGACAAGAACATAAACACAGTAGAATCTCGGTTATCCGCGCTAAAGACGGGGAGGATGGCAGGTGGATAATTCAAAATCGCGGATAATCCGAAAATGACAATTTTCCGCGGATCTCTATGCCAAAAAACACTAATATAGGGTGAAATCATGCTTAAATTAAGAAAATTTAGTTTGTTAATGAACAACTGAGGATTTCGATTGTTACTCTTTCGATTTAGAACGAATACTAATGATCTACCGATCGATACGCGTGCTCAGTGATAATGACACTTTCCTGCTCCCACGCAGAAGCCTCGGCCCACTAAGTGGACAGCAGCAGAGCCACGCCAATCAAAATCAATCAGCTCCGCCCACTGTTGTAAATATATTACAACTACTGTACTGTAGAGGGGATCACGTGGATTTCGTATTAAGCGGAACATATTTATTCGGTTTAAACACGTGACTTATACTAAACATTTCAAAGATTAACAACGAATAACTGTTTTTAGATTACACTGGTCAACACACTTTTTCTGGGATAAGGTATTCCAACGGTTTTGTAATTCTGGGGTGCTGATTCCAAATCTGGCATCAGTTTTTGTCTATCACATCAGGTTTTTGAGATATCAAATATTGCATTTTCAATAAAAACTGCAAAAGAAAAATATTAAATAAATGTGGATATCTACATAAAATGATATTATAAACACACTATCCTAAAAATACAGCACCATATTTTAACACTAAAGCAGTCACTGACTCGCAACAACTTGCAATCATAAGTGACAGAGTTAATTTCGGGTAAAATCAATGAAAATCGGGTATGCCGATAGCATAAAAATGATGTGAAATAGCAAATCTGAGATCAGATTTGGAATCAGCACCCTGAAATTAGTCTAAAACAGCTGCAAAAGTCCAGGCCAGAAAAAAATGCTTTTTTTTTGTTGACCAGTGTTATTAATTTGGGCTTAAGGGGCAATTCACGAGTTATTAATTTACGAAAAATCTTCAGGCGCGCGGTTAATCCGCATATCGGATAAACCGCATGCGGATAATCGAGAGTCTATTGTAATGCATAAATGAGAACAGGGCCCTCAATGGATATTACAGAACAAGCAGAACAAACACATGCACATTCCCAACCAAAAAACGGGCCCAAATATAACGTGAAAGAGTGGGGCACAGGTACAAGTAAGACCCATTGTTTTCGTCAAACAGTGAAATAATCACACGCGAATCGAACAAAAAAGAGAGTCACATTCTGGCAAATCGACCGATGATGCTGGATGTAATTACCAGCAAAACCTCGTACTCAAATT